AATAAATATTTACAATTTATCAAAAATTTTCGCGTCTCTGCTCATCTTCCAAACGTAGTGTTGTGCATGTTATGCCACGTTTCCTGACCTCTGTTGAAAAAGAATTTCCAAAATTTGGACATGTTCGGATTTATTGTCAGAAGGAAGGACGCAGTTGGATTTTAGAATTCCATTATCCTTCCGTGAAATTGCCTCTTTACGTTGCTTTATGCCCATTGCACTCTGCCAGACGCCGAAAAGCCAAAGTACCAAGCCTGGCTATCTCACCCCGCCCGCAATAACATTATACAAACTGCATTAGCTTACATTACATTATTATGCTGGGTGGGCACGTCCCATGCTTTACATTATGGAAAAAAGCAGGATACAATTCAACGACTTGAAGGATAGTATGGGTGCCATGTGTCGTAATATATATACATAAATCTACTAACCACTCCAACTATTTCGATACATGCAATAACCACGGAATTCCAGCCACTCAGCCCTTATCAAATTTCAGGGTCCTGATTTTTATAATTCCGTTGATAGTCGATTCGGTTTTATTTGTCGACGATGGCTTGTGAAACGGCGGAGTGAAAGTAGTGCATGTGCTTATCGTTAGTGGGCTCACTCAGATTGAATAAAATAAAGATGTCTCATTATAGAGATCAAGTCAAACAAAGCAGCAGCAGGAGCCGGCTCTGCCTTTACAGAAATGTCATAAGGTCAGAGTTATTTATAGCACACGCATCCAGAGCTCCATCCAGTCGCCCACCGACTTCAACTCCACTCAAAATTTAGAGTGGGTGGTCAGATCCGGAGCACTGCATTATTTCCCTGCATTAACCGAGAACCCCTCGCGAGGGCATATCTTTTAGTCGGCATGGCTTTCAAATTTCGTGTTATGTCATATGGAGAAAGCGAAGGTGAACGATTCAACCGTGTGATATAAACGCGAGAGGCCGAAAAACCATTGACATGCAGATTTGCACAAGTCAATTTATGTACATGTATAAATAAGTAGAACATAAGGGGGAAATAGAGCAGGGTATGTGTCGCGTTTTTAGTTGTGCGAGGTCGAGATTGCTTTACTACTGGACAACTCTATGGTTAATTTAAATATCGGACTTTCTTGCAATATTGTTGAATTTAAAAATTCGCTCATTTTTCTAATCAGCGTATTTTGTTCAAGTTCGAGTTTTCACCAGACAGTTAGTGACTTGAAGCAAAAAAAATCGTCAGATACACGCAAACCTCATCAGGTTCACATCACCATTTTTCTCGTTTTCGCACGACTAAACCGGCACATAGACATTGGGGGTAAACGAAAAGGGATTTCTAATCCACCATCGCATTTCGTTCTTTCACCACCTGAAGGACAGCTGCCACCCTTCTTAACGCCTTCTCCAGTTGCATACTTGCACGCACGTGGACCCCATCGTCTTCCACACCGCAAATTCAGGTTTAATTGAGTCTAGCAACAGGATGCCAATATTAGAGAATTTGAAAAAAGTTTCATAATTTACTTCAGAAATATGCACTGAGTTACAAGTAAATATTTCTAGAAAATGCCATTTAACAAGTTCTCTGACTGAATTTCCAACGACACGGTGAGTTGAGAGATGATGATGATGCTGATGACTTTGTTGAAGTGAGGGGAATATATTTATATGTAGAAAGAGAGCGAGAGATGAGAAACTGCACATCCCCATCGCATCCAGGATATCGATCTATTATTTTGACGTTGTTGTTCATGATTCGGATGAAATTGAGCCTATCGTACACTCAGCTCTATGACATGAGTGAAAACGATCTCAGATTCCATTCCTACATAACTTTTGTTCTTCAGCATCCTCAATAATTTTTGTAAATAGTGTAGACATGAATGATTCCTACGTCCCCTGAGGATGTAATGCATTTCGCAAAAACAGAGACGTCCCAACAGATCATTCGAGAGGGCAAGAAAGTGGCAAAAAGACAAGAAAAAGCAGCTAGAGATAAAATCTAAACATCCGTATTTTCCGTAATGTGTAAAGAATGAGGACTAAATCCTCCCTCACTATGATAATGCGGTCTGCATATAACACTTTTGGTCGGATTTGTTGATGTTGATAGGATACACATGGATTAGGATTTGTATTTATCTGGATGAAGATTGTCTCGGGCTTGGCAACTGCCCAAATCTACTTCTACTACTACAACTACTATACGGCATTTTCTACAAACACAATTCTAAGCTTAAATGAATAAATGCTTATAAATACAATACTATCATACGATCTGTATAGGTAGCTTTACACAAAAAAACTAGGGGGCTTGCTACACACATATTTATTGTATGTACACACACATCCTTGCGATGACCAAGTGGTATTAGATGAAACTATATTTTTTACTGCAGATAAAATAAGCAAAATTGCAATTTTATCCTGAAATATTTTATAAAGTACAACAGCAGGTAGTTCGCAACCACAAAACAGCTCACACATTCTGTGCTGCATTTTCTCCCCCTAGTGTACATACATATGTTGGCCCCAGTACGAGTGTATGGTGAAAGTATGCATGTTCACTTGCCAAAATCTGTTTCGGGTATAATTTATTTTACTACGGCAGGTCAACACTTGGAGTGTTGGGACACGGATATAGTTCCACCTTTTTGTAAATCTGTGCCAAAAATAGGATAAAAACCTGTGTTTATACATTGTTGTCACGAATGCAATTTTTTACGCTTTCAGTGAGAGAGGTTCGCAAATTAATTGTTTTATGGGATCCACAACCTTCATCCACATGTGACACACACATCTCATGCTGGCAAGTCTGAAGGTATTTTTTTGGAGCCGCTCTGCGAATTGGATTTAGAAAAGTTGTGCAGCAATAAATTAAAAAGAGTTGGGCATTACATTCCGTTCTATTACTTTGTTCACTACTTTTCTTTGACTTGTATTGCGGGAAGGACGAGCGAGTAGTACGACTTTATTTTTGGTACCCGTAGGCTCGCAAGTGGAGAGAGCCAGCAAAAGTGTGATACACAATTCATCCCAATACTTGGTTCTTCCATCCTTATCTCTCCATCGGCTCGGCTCGAAGGACGGAGGTGAAAGTGGCAAACTTTTCTCATATTCATTTCTCCGTATCGGTGGTCTGTTTGCATCCGAAAATGGAGTTGGATGGGAAGTTCCTGATGGTTCTGACCATGGCTGATGGAACTCTGAAATACATATGGAAACTAAAACTATGTACATTTAAAAAGTTGTGGATTTTCACATTTTACATAAGCATTATGCATGTACATGTCGTAACATAAGTATTCATTTCGCGAATGTATATGTATCTCGAAAGTACGTGTTTTTGTATTTCGTAAGAAATGGACAGAGAACGAATAAAATTGTGTCTGAACAACTGAATGCAAATATTTGTTCAGTGTTTAAAATCTGACCTCGCCCAAAACGCTGTCCGTCTGTAATGGTCTCATCAAATTTATTTCATACACTGAGTAGCACCAGATCCTGGCTGGAGGTTGTCAAGTTGTCAAGTGGTTTCAACTTGTTCGAGGGATTAAACTGGTTAAAGTAGCTCTTGGTTGGTCTCACAGAGATGGAATTGTCAGTGGCGAAAAACCACAGCTTTTGAGCCACTTTCTCTTATTAAAGTCGTACACATGCACACATATAAAGCTTTTCTGAGCATTATTCAAACCAAAACTATTTATGAACAGCTCCATGCTAATTTTTCTTGAATACGTTATAATGTCAAACTTTGCTAACCCGTATGCCTCAAACAGAATTAATTGCACACATCATAGTCATCGAGTTAGTTTTATTGTCTTGCCTTTTGAAAAACTTTGGCCAAAGAAACGAATTATGCTGCAGTTGCACCATCATCACATTGTTTCATAGTATATATTTTCAGTATATTTCGCATCTGCAGCATTATTTCGACCACGTTCTTCTCAAGTATTTCCCATTGCAGAGAGTGAGAGGGAAGGATTTCCTTTGATGTCCTCCAGAAGAGGAGAGGAAGTGGTGGTGGTCGTCGTGGAGGAGAGAAATTGTACGTTGAAATTGGGAGTGAAAGCAACTAATTCCTACGAAGCTGGCCCACTGCTCTTCCATTCCATCCCACATGCACTGACTCGACTTTCTCTCCTTTGTAGAAAAATCTTGCTGGAAGTCGGAGGAAAAGGCCTTCAGTGGAAGAAAGACTGCTGAAAATCCAATCGATTCTTCCTCTTTTTCACTCTATGAGCTCCCTTCACTTTTAAGGAATAAAGTGTAAAGATCCGGTGTGCATGTGTGTGTTGAGGTACGATATTGTTTGTCTTACGAAGGACGTCAATTGGTATTCCACACGACACTGGACACGATGGAAGGGTTGAATTTGCTAATTCAACCAAATAAAATTGAACGAATTATTTTCACAAAGTACATTTCAGGAAATGCTCTTGTGTTTATAAATAGAACATTAGGTACATGAATGAATACACACATTTCTTGTTAGTATTTCTACTCAATGTGTCATTTAGGTGACAATGTCACATGTAAATATGCGCACACAGATACTACATACCTTTAGGTATGCATGCAATAAAAGGAAATGTCGATGGCGCAGATGTTGGTAATTGTGTACTATTAGTATAAATCCCTGGACAAGAGAGGTTCATTTAATTGGGTAATAATTCGATAAATTCAGTGATGTTAAAAGGCTGAATGAACACTTCGTGTCCAATTAATCAGATCAGTTCAATTTAATTGTGTAATGGAGTTTTGTTCCGTGGAAAATGTGTCTGTATACATATTTAAATCACAGATTCATTCACGTGTCGAGTTGATTTGTATTATTAGACACGTACCGGACAGGTGTTGAATGACAATCAATGCACTATTTTATCTGTGGCAATGCAGCATGTATCTAACAATTGTACACGTTTATGCATATTCATGTATTCGTCCAACTTGTTAAATCACAATATACACGTGACATGTATTGGTCAGTTATTGAAATTCTATTTTTTTATGCAGATAACAACTCTGGTGAATGCCAAAGAACGATCTTTCTGTTCGGAGCGGACGGTATGCTGACTAAATTTAATCAACGAGTTCATTCAGAACCTAAATTGGCTATGATATTAATTTTCCTATATTTCTTGGCATTGTAGCTGCGTGCGATATCACGCGTGGGACAATCTGTCAACATCGCCGTGGAACGGTTCGTCACCGGTGAGTAAAAAGCCTTCACTGCAAACCATCCAAGGAGAATCATTTCTCGGCTAATTTGTCTTGTTTTTCATTCCAGTTGGTGAAGCGATTGCTGATGGTGAGTCGTTACTTTCTACACGATACTTGCACTATAAATGGTAAAAACGGGTTAATACAAAGATTGAAATGGAGTTTTAACCTATAAAACGTGTATAATAAATGAATTACAGATAAATTAAATCCGCCAGTCTGTCAAACTTATTGCCTTCAAAAACGTTTTGTAATTCTTTAAATTTAGGATGACTAATAATTTAATTTGACAGACTCTGATGAAATCCGGCCACAAATGTATGCAGCCTGCCAAGAGGCTCGAGCTTCAGGTATGCCTTTAGCTTGTGAACAAATTGCGAATAAATTTCACTCAATTTCCGTCACTTTTTCACAATTCCTATAATTTTTCAGGTGCAATGATAGAAAAATTGTGTGATTATGGGGGCAAATGCATCGAAGGGGGAGTTCCTCGCGCAGTTTCGGACCGTGCCGCCATGGTCCGCGCTGCCAGATCGGTGCGTAAATGTGCATAAAGCACAAGATATGTTTTTTTTTTAAATATTCGCATATGCAGTAAGTGCTGATTGTTCAATGTTAATTAGTTAATTATATGATTTTTATCTTTAGCTTCTCGCCGCCGTCACTCGTGTTCTTCTCTTAGCCGATAGTGTCGTGGTTAAGCAACTTCTTCTCGCCAAAGCCAAGGTAATTGTAGTTGGCTAGTTCTTTCCTCCTTTGAGTTTTGTTAATTAGTTGAGTCGATGAAATTTCCAAGCATCACCCAAATTAGTTAGCATTTGTTGCCACCCGTGTGGACCAAGATTTAATTTCCCTTTCGAGGAAATTGTGAATTGGAGCAAGCGGGCGTAGATGGAAAGTCCTAAACGTTCCGTCTCTTCGAGTCAGTTGGGGCTACGATGCTCGGCGAAAGTTGGTGGCTGATTAGCAATTAGTCAATTATATACCAGCGAACGAGGGGGAATTATATACGGACGAGTGAAGGGTGCAAATTACTTTTGCCATCTTAATACGTTGCTATCAGTTCAGGGTGCGTTTTTCTTCCCTTGGACCTAAGGAATTTTGATTTAATGATTTATTACTTTTTGATGAGACTGTCAAACACAAAAGTTGTATTCATATTTACAACTAAACATTTTCAAGTTTCAAGTTTTCCCTGTAGAAATACAAATAGTATCCGTATATTTATATTATATAGTTCAGTAGCGGTTTCTTACAAACCCAACCTCCGAAGTTTTTAAGCTCTTTGAACTGAAAACGTCGTAGTCGTTTTTCTTTGTCTAGAAGGATGAATCCACTTCCATTATTTCTTGTGAATTAAATTTCCGTTCGATTGACTGCCCACCGCAGTTTTCGCTCTGACAACTTTCTCTTTTCAGCCCGTTTAGGATTTGCTATTAGAATTGTTTAGAATGGGGTTGGTGGATGTTAAAGGAAAATGATTGCGGAACCAGAAACGGTGCATATTGTGTTGGTCGGTTGGTTGGCTGTGTGTGAGAGGTCGGATAATGCACCCCGCAAAAGTGGGAGAACAGACGCCACGCCACCACGTGTACTGCATGGCGAGAGCTACAGATTCGTGAAAAGAGATGGAATTTACTTTTGCCCATTTCACGCTCTTGTGAAACACCTAATGGACGTTTATTGAAAATTTAAAGGGCTCTCAAGTGTCTCTGACTTCGTTTTCTCCCCTCCCATATGCACCACGTATGTATATAACTCAGGTTGCGAACAGGAATACGGGCTGAGAATCCAATGTTATTTATCGAGGTGATAACCAAAGTGTGCGGTTGTGGTTTAGTAGTAATTGGCAAAGTATGTCCACTAATGTTCACCCATAAGTAGGCAAAAAAACAATCTGCAAGAAATGTATGTAGGGCTAATGGACCAACAACTAATATTGATTTTGATACACATTTTGAAGTCTCTTCAAAGTGTGTCGAATTTGAGATTTTTTGGTTTCTAAATTAATGGACAATGTAGGAATTTCATTGTAGTGCCTCTAGCTCGACCACACAGGAAAGTGCAACCATTTGCACCCACTGTTTCAGAGAAATACAAACTACTTGTTGTGGATTAAACTTCAGTTTTGAATCATGTTGCTGGTCGAGTGTCAGACTTGTTGATTTGGCATGAAAATATCCATGAAACAATATGGATGGCAATTAAAATAATTAGGATTCAATTATAGTGTGTAGCTTGCGAATGACTCTTCGTTGGTTACTGGATCCTCAGCGTCAACACAAAAAAAATATATGTATGTAGCTCAAACCTCATATCACGAAAGTTTAATACAATGTGCTTTCTCAATACTTTTATCAATTTGGAACCTGTATTCGTGAATTTTATTATAAAGTGTATACCTTATGAATTTGTGACGCTGTAATTCTTATTCTATTTCTTTTATTTTCAAGGTCTCGAGCACTTTAACCAGACTTGAGAGCGTTACAAATTTTACCGAGGTACGTACATATTTTACATTATGAGAATCTTTTTGGAATTTAAATTAAAGGCACTGATGAAACTTACCTGTTCACAGTTTGTCAAAGCCTTCAGTCAGTTTGGTTCTGAGATGGTGGAGCTTGCCCAACTCACTGGTAACATAACGTTATTCTGGAAATAATCATATGATTCTGGATTGGAATATAACAATACTTTTACGCATATTGTTCTATCGTAGGAGATCGTCAAGCGGACCTCAAGGATGAAAGAAGAAGGGCACAAATGGGGGCGGCACGACATGTACTCGAGCGGTCCACCTTGATGCTACTTACGTCTGCCAAGGTAAAATAGTTCTCATCATTTCGTTCGATTTCCTAATACGACGCCCCTTGATGGGCCACGCTGTATGCTCAGATATATAAATTCATTATGGTGATAATGATAACCATAACCATTAAATTTGTGGGTAAGCTGACATTTTATCATACCAAGAAATCCATAACACTAAATGAAAGAATGGGCAATAAGCGATATGTACTTATGGTTGCACCGTAACCACGACCAGCACAAAGGAGAGAGAATTTGGCTTGGTGACATTTAGGAAATGACACCAGTCAGCCTAGGATCAAATTTTGAAAATTGATGAAGGTGAGAAGAGATGATGGTGGTGGTGGAGTGATGGCGTACCTAGTATACGTACTTATGTAATATAGTCCATGGATGTGGTGCGTGACTAAGTTTTGTACAAACGATGGAAAGTGATTTCAGCATTGACTTGAATGATTCTTGTCATGACTGCGAGAGTGAAAGTGGTACTTTTCCAACATTATTAAGATTTGGAGTGACGCATTTGTACAAAAATCAGGGTGGAGAATTGGATGGTGGAGAGGAAGAAAGTAGGAGCGAGAAAGTAGGACAAAAGGTGCGACATGACTTTATTAAATTTTTTACTTTATCGTAACCAAAAAAGATCAGTGCGGTGTGGTTTTTATAGCTCTTGTAAATTTTATTAGATTCACAGAAGATGACCAATTTGCAAGGTTTATCTCAGGCTTGAAATCTGGTCGTGTGGAATGATATTCAAATCTGCTCGTGACTTTCAATATTTATTTACCATTTCAAGAATACAAATTATGGAGCTCAAACTAGATTCATGCTTTATTAATGCTTTGCTTAGATGAGATTTATTTAGCACTGATTCTCAATTAGGTAGATATTTCATATATCTGACGACGACATTCCTATTCCGTGATCATGCTTTCACTTTATTGCCTGTTCTCAAGAATTGTGTCACTTCAGTCAATTTCGCATCAGCCAACCCATTCTAATGGCGTAGAGAAAGAGAGACAATGAGGCTTTCCATCGTCATTTCATTGTCCCATCATAATTTTAGCGAAATAACCCGCAGCATGGCAAGTAGATGACCCATAAACAAAATCCGTAGCCCAGTTTGAACCCCTTTATGAATTAGGATGCTGCTCGGTCTGTCCGTCTGCTGGACTATTTAAAATTCCCTTTTCAAATTCTGCACTACTGCAAATACGATCAAGTAAAATCACCAAGTTATTTTTAAATTTCTGGCTTCCATTTTTTACCCAGTGGGCGGGGTAAAAAAATCAGAAATCCGTCATGTTTCGCAGAAAGTGTTCAAGAGCGATTTTCGCCTTGGTTTCGCCAATTCCTTGAACTTGTTTGCCACAGTTATTCCGTTGTTGTAACTTGTAGCTGAATCTGTATGTAGAAGAGCTGAGTAAATTTCGTTGTCTCGCTGGAAGCTGCATACTTATTACTTTCACTGGCAAACTCGTCTCGCTGCTCGTCGCTCGGATGCCATGCTGCGGTTACCAGCACATTTCTGTCCACGTGATTTTGGCTAATCACACTAATTATCTGCTCCACTTCCCCTCCACCTCTGTGCATATCGAAATACTTAGCATCACTGAATATCATGCTGTTGGGGCGTAAAGTGAGCTAACAAGACTCGGATTTTGAATAAATATCCAACTAGTTTTTACTTGACTGCCTGATTAGTACATATTTATGTCTACTCTCATGGAGCACAGATTCTCTGGCAGAGTGGTGGAATTCCTCTCGTTTTATATTTACTTCCTTCCTTCCTTCACTCACTGGATGCCCATGAAAACGAATTTGACGCATTTATACGAGACGAGGGAGGAATGAAATGAAATGAGCTTAATGTTTAGCGGCAGTATGGTAGATCAAGATTCTCAGACAATTTGGATTTTTGAGGAGAAATCTCATCTCATCCTCTTCCCTGCAGCAGAAAGAAGAAGGAGGAGATTATTTGAGCCATTCATGAACATTCATGAACTATTTCAACTAAGAATAAAAATGTTATACGAGGAATAAAAGACATTGTATTGTATTGTCTTTACACATTGTAAAGCAACTAATAATCTTGCATGTTCAATTAAGAATTTCTTCAAATTCCATTGTTCTCAAAAATGATAGGTGATCTCATGAAAAAATACGACCCATAAGCTTAGCATTGTGAGACATGAGAGGATAAATGTTTCATTACTTTCCAGACGGTTCTTAAGCATCCAGATTGTCCGAATTCGAGGGAGAACCGAGATACTGTTTTTTGCCAAATGAGGAGAGCCATGGACCTAATTCACTACGTCGTGAAGGACGGCGTACTGGACTCAGCAGCCGCCCTGGTTTCGCACCCTTCGTCATCGTCAGCACAACCATCCCGCATTCCCAAACAGGTTGGAAGGAATTTAAAAGAAACTGCAAATAGACAGAAATCACAGCTTCAACGTTGATGAAAATGAAAATTGGTGTTTGCAGGACGATTGGGAAGGCAACCACAGCTTGAGTTACAGTCTCCAAAGGTTTTTGGACCAGGTTGAGGTGAGTCGAATGACAATGTTAGGACCACAATCACAGTCCAGAACCCAGCTTCCAGCCACCATCGAGCACATTATGGAACGAATTCAAGTTAGTTTTTTACAAATTAAAAAATCATATTACAACTATTTCGTACTTGAAGTTCATTTTTAAATACGTCTTTTTAAGGACTTTACCGACTCTATATATATTTATATATATTTATATATAATTTATTCATCAACAGGTGGTTACCCTCGTATTACAATTCCTTTAAAACTGGCAACCATATTCTCTCTTTAAAAACAAAACAATTTTCTCCCAGGAGTGTTCATCGAAATACGAAGAAATTACTTCCTTATTCAGACAGTAGGGATGGGTTTTTAAGAAAGTGTTATGGAAAGGGTTTCGTAGGCGGAAGAGGTACGCAATGTAGAGGCAAATATGAAGATGCGCCTCCATCTTTCTGAGTGGATCTTTCTCTTCCGTGGACGTGGATGCCTTATCTTCCTTTGTTTTTTTTTTCTTTCTTGGGTAGTGTAATTTCACAAAGAGGGATCTTCACCAGAGTGCCCGTTCCAAACTCTTTTTCATACTGCGCCACGGTACCAGTAGGATTTTTAAAGATATCGTGAGTATCTTTCCCATTGATGGTCTGACCACCATAGATTATTTTGGCATCACAAATTATGTACAGAGCACCATTATTATCCTTCACCAAGTCCACCAATTTCTCTCCCTGTTCAACTCGTCTTCCAAATGGAAATGGGATTGATGCATTCTCAGATTTGGAATTGTGAATCTCCTTAATTTCAAGTTGGAATCCCTGTTTGTCCATTTCTTCCTTTACTTCTGCCTCCAGACCATTTGCGAGTGACACGGATAGGGTGATGTACTTAAATTTAGTGGGATTGATTAAGCATTTCAAAAGTGTAACCGTCTGCAAAACCGCGAACCTTTTCTCGGCATCATTACAACTATCAAAAAGTTCAGGTTTTCCTACAATTCCCTTCGGTTTGACTCTGCTGCTGAAGGCTTCTTGTAGATGGTCTTTATTTTTGTTTGTTTCTTAATTATAGCTCATGAGCATATGCCCAATTTCAGTGACTCCTGCCTTCTTATTTTTGAACTCGTAGACTGCATAGCCGGTGCTCGGTCCCTTGTGTGTCAGGCATTTTGGCTCTACTTCGTCTGCCCTTGTTCCAGAAAATGCAGAGAAACAGTCTACGAGTAAGAAATAAGTATCATAACTGATTGAAGTAATTTGTTATATTAGTTCAAGATGTTTAGCAACCTTCATAAGTGCAGATCGGCCGACAGTCCATCGACTTGTTCCTGAGACACAATTGGTCTGACTTTCTTTCCCTCCGTTGTCCAAATCCTATGCTACACTTTTGTTTCCACACAAATTTCAACCCAGTTTCTCCTCCGACATCAAGCCCTTCTTCGCCCGCAGCTTTGATTAAGGCAATGGCAGATGCTTTCTCTTCCGGTGCAAGGGGCTGCAACTCTGGTGGAGGAACAATCGGTGGGGTGCATTGAGAAAGTGCTTCCGGTTGGCTATAAATTAGATCTTTGGATTCCATCACGGTAAAAGTCTGGCCAACAGATAGAAGGCTGACTTAACTTCCGATCCGAACCCGACACCAAGTTTTCCACTCGTTTGCATCATTCTTATTTTACAAAATCCTGGGGGTGGTCCTCTGACCTTAATTTCTTGTCGATGTGGAGGAACTGTAGTATTTATCATTGCATTTAATTTACATTACAAATGAATCTATGGGCATATTATGAGCAACTATAAAATTGCAATATTACCATTACTACTTTGCTCAATTTTCTTCAAATCACCACCGCCTCCTTCTTCCGACTTTCTTTTATCACCTTGTTCCATACTCTTGAGCACACGACGTAACTGATAAAGAGCGAAGATCAATTATTATTTTTACAACTTGACCTGAGAGATAGTGAGAAGAGTTAAAATTATTATAGCGGTCTCTCAAATCAAACTTCCACTGTCTCAAAGTGCCTCTAAAATCTATTGTCAATGAGTGTACTAAATTCTTCCCTTTGCGTATCCACAGGACTTTACCGATTCTGCATATACGGCACACGAGCACCGAGAAAACATGTAAGCTTATCCGACAGAGGAAATGGCGACGTGAAGAATATGCACCCTCATGATTATCTCTTTGTTGCTTGTAGCCTACTCCTCTGTGATCGTGTGAGACTGCAGCTCAACCAGCTCCTGGGGTCCCTCCTAAGGGTATAAACCATGATATCTTCTAATCTAAATAAATTATCGTTTATTGTTTTCGCCGCGTAAAATAACATATAGCGCTTGACTGCAAGTAGGATTATAAAAGTGTAGAACTCCTGTCGTCAGTCAGATTGAAGAATGGTCTGAATTAGGTGATATGAGAGGATGGGTGCCGTTTTTTAATTTGGCGTCTATTTACTCTCTCACTCCCCATCTTATATTGAGGAACAAATAGAGTGAATGGATAGAAGGGGACGAGTCGACGGAGTGGAATGGATAAAAGCTAGAAATTTAATTAGTGCTCTCATAAAAATTTACGACATCGCTTCACCAAAGTCCCAGTGGTATCCTCAATTCATCCTCATCGTGTGTACGGCATTCTATGAGGAGAGAAAGAGACAGAGAGCGTCTGAGGTCCTTTCCATATCCGGCCCAAATTCCGGGCGACAGCAAATACCAAGAATTAGTAGAGATGGACAAGGAGAACTAATGGCCTGACTGACTGAGTATTGCTGGGCCCATGTGCATGTTTGACTGCCAAGGACCAACGCCACCTCCTCAAGGTCTTTTTCTTAAACCCAGAATTATCCCTTAATGCCGAATTACTCTTCTATTTCGCACAAATCATGAAAGAGAAAAAAGTAGTGTGAATGAAATAGTATTGGAATCCCAATATTCTAGGTCCTACTTTGGATGAACAGCATCCATGTGAAAAGGGTTATCATATATCTTCATCATCCCGCATAAAAGTCCATAGTTAATTTTGGTTGGTTAGTCAGCCTTCGGAGCTGGTGGGTTGAGTTGATTGTAATATAATACAAAATTTGGAGGAGGAAGCTGTGGATATTTGAGACTGACACTTTGACGATTTATGAGATGAAGTCGACAGCTTACTTCCAGTCAGAAGAACTCTCCTACTTCAAATTCATTGCTTTCTCCCTTCTTCTCCTTCTTCGTCTTATCTCGGAGCAGCCAACCAACCACGAAGGAAGCAAGCAACATTTTCCCATCCTAATTTCCACTCTACTTGTCATCAACACTTGCATAATAATGATAAGTCCAAATCCAAAGGTAGAATTCGCTTTGTACTTGGCCTGAATCTGAGGAAGACGACGAGTCGATGGCTTCGTGTGTATTGAAGCCCCGTATATGAGACTCACATTTTATTTTATGCGGAATAAAGGCAAACCGATTCGTAGAAAGGATGAAACCTTATTTGGATGTGAGGAGAAGGAAGGCTGGGAAAAGCCTTGAATCTCCAACCCAAATGAATAAGTGATGAATGCAAATTTGAATTTATCTTGGGCTTCTTCGTGTTCCTGCACAAATTTCAATTTGTCCTTCTCCAGCTTTCCCACCAATTCTTCTACCCTTCCTTCCTCGTGGCTCTCACAAGCTCAACTTAAATTTTGATGGGATCTTTGAGTTGGAAAATAGGTTCGTCTTTTTCTTCTTCTACAACTTATTTTGTGCAGAAGCAGGGGAGAAAATTTACGCAAAAAATTGGAAAAGGATCTCGACGACAACCAGCCCGTTTACTTTTGATGTAGATCGTGTCTGTCTATGTATCTGCTTAAAGAGAAAGGCTGGTCGGGGTGGATTGACGTCATGAGAAGAACAACACGCGGCTGCTAAGTTGGTGCCGCAGTCTAGAGTTCCCACGATATCGTTCCCTGTTGGTGGTGATCATTTATTTATGTTGGTTGACTTTGTCTCAAGGGAGGCCACACACTCGTTCGTTGGCGACCGATTTCTGCATCATCTTTATCTTCATCATATAAATCTCAGCAGATAGATCGAGCGAACACCGAGTAGGTCGACCGCGTCCAGCCGCTTCCGGCCACATGAATCGATGACCAATTTACATTTATTTACGGAACAGATCTATCCATCCATCGTAACAGTTTAGTTTTTAGTGTGGGGTCCATGGAGCATAAATTGTTCCAAATTTATCAGTTATGATTTGCGACGGTGTGGGAAACGTGCAACAATAAATAGAATAATTTGAGATGATGGGCTATGCGAGTTACGATAAAGGGAGAATGTTCCCACGAAACTCACTCGAAACGACCCATTACCCAGAAACAAATGGTTAATTATCACTTGCCAAACTAAAGATAAGTAAGGCGAGTGTTCGGGGAGGAAGGGCGACGGCAACAGACAGAAGATGAGGACGACGAAAAAGAGGAGGAGGGCCGTTTGTATGAAAGAAAGTTTAATGGAGAAAGTCCGTCCAGCAATTTGATGGAGTTGCATTTCTCCCACTACACACAGGCACATGGCATATAGTAGAATAGTGTATGGTGGGATGGTTCAGAATGGCTGACTAATGCCTCCTTAGTTTAGTTAACTGCGCTGAGGAGGGGAGCTTGCGAGGTTGATAATAACAGATCTCGATGCCCTTTGGATATGTGGTAGGGTCCTATGAGTGTACTAAAACCCTGAAGTGGTTTGACTCCATGGCCACATTTGCGCCCGCCACACCCACTCAAAAATGCCTAAAAAACGCTTTCACTCCAGTTTTCACTCACTCAAATCCACGCCAGAAATCCAATTTTACTCGGATTTTGAAATTTCTTTCATCATTACACTCCCAGATAGTTGCTTTCTTCAATCCAATATCAAACCCAATTTTTTCGAAATTTTTAGTATTTTTAAAATTTGAAATTCTGAATGAGGATTGTTGTAGTAATCAACAACTCAAATTACGCCTACGAAATAATCATCAGCAAAATTGAGTTTGATATGGAATTGAAGAAAGCAACTATCTGGGAGCGTAATGGTGAAAGAAATTTCAAAATCCGAGTAAAATTGGATTTCTGGCGTGGATTTGAGTGAGTGAAAACTGGAGTGAAAGCGTTTTTTGGGCATTTTTGAGTGGGTGTGGCGGGCGCAAATGTGGCCATGGAGTCAAACCACTTCAGGGTTTTAGTACACTCATGAGACCCTATCACATATCCAAAGGGCATCGAGATCTGTTATTATCAACCTCGCAAGCTCCCCTCCTGAGAATGATGAAGTTTGTAAAGAACTAAACTCAAATGAAGTAGAACTAAACATAACGAGGGCGTAAGAAAGCTTAACGACAAAGTTAGAGGACGTTAGAATTACATTAAATACATACAAGATGGGCTTGAATGATAGATTTAAGTATAGGATTTCTGTAGTAATGATTATACTCAATTCCTATAATTGTTCTAGAACTCATACGAAACTAAAGACCTTGACATTTACCAACTTACTTTTCCAGGATACAAAGGATGGTGGCTCCCTCGAAGTCGAAAGTGCAATCGAAGGGACGCTCAAATCTGTGTATGAGCTTCGAACCCAGCTCCAAGAGATTGCACTTCTCCAAGTAAGCTAAAACAGATTATGTCCTTATACGTAAATATTACAGTTGACAACCTATCATGAAATTGGAACAAATATTTCGACGACATTCACTACTATTCGGTGTCGTTTGAAATGTGTAGGCTGGTGATATGGTGAACTCGTCCAAAGATGCATCAGAACTGATCGGCGTTCTCCGCAACGCCGCCCTCACCACAGATGCTGACCGACTGGACGAAGTTGCCGATTCCTTTGGGGAGCATCTCGACCACTCTCAAGAGGTAAAAAATTCTACTGCTAATTTTACCATGAAGTTTGAATGGCTTGAAAGAAATATAAAATAACTATTAAGAGATTAGTACCAAATAGAGTTAAAAAATTTACTGAGCAGTGAAAATTTTCGAGCCATTTGAATGGACGTACGTCACTCGTGCACAAACGTTCATGATACCACTCCCAGGAGATAACCCCTTTTAATACTGCCTCCCAATTGACCTTCTCCATACAGCAAAAATATTATTATTATTGCGGCCCATAAAAATCCAGCCCTCTTTACCACACTTCTGGACCCTCAATTAACGAGGATGATGATGCATCAAGTGTCATAAAAGCCGAGGTCACAAACTTTTTTACAATGCCTTCACCCTTCAAGAATTTCTTTTGTGATTGCTTTTGCTGCGATTGTGATCTACGAGTGACATACATACATACATCACACATTTAGTTATGTACGTATGTATATGTATGTACAATATCTCCGTATACAGATGATGACGATCGTGATGGGTAGGCTAGACGATGACGATGATGACATATTTCAATAAGTTTGACTGACTTTTACTGGCCCACATTCTTGAAATCTCGTGCAGTTATGGTTTATAACCACCAATAAAAGAAAAACTTCTTTATCCGAGCAGAAAACTTTTTAAAAACTTGTCACAATTGAATATTCGATTTTGTCAAGAAATACTGAGAAATGTAGGCAAGGAAAGTATTTCGCTAACTCTGTTAACCTTCAAGGTTTTGTCATTATCGGGTAAGTTTCCTTGTTGAAGGCAGATCGGGGAAGGGACGAAGGATTGCGACCAAGTTTCTTTTATTGCTTTACAACGCTGTTGATGTGCTCCCTGCGAGGAGACCGAGTTTCCAGAAAGACTTTCTCTCTCCTCGTGTTGATCTTTCACCTTTTTTCAGAGCTAGGAATTTCCAGTGTGGAGGGAGATGTTGCATCTTGGTTCGTGGCGGAGTGGTGGTGAAGGAAAGTGACTTTCCTTCCTTTCTCCACTGACTGAGAGCACGGGGCCATTCTTGCATATATGCCATTTAGTTTGGGAAAAAGTAATTTGATCAATTTAACTCTCCTAATGCTGGCAGAGAGAAAGAGAGGGGAAGAGAAAATCTGATTAAAATTACTTTGTGCGCACTATGTATAAGACTTGCAGAAATGATCAAAGCTTTAGAGTGGGTTTTTGGTTGAGAGCTTTTTAGAGAAGAATTCAATTAAATGAGGCGAATAGTACTCCTCGATGGTAAGTAGTCAAGTTGGTTGTTGAAGGCCAACTTCTAATTATGCTCTCTGTTCATCAGCAAAAATATTTACTTTGGCGTTGTACTAAGAGCAGTAAAAATATGACAGATCTCGCAGGAGCAAAACAAATAACATGGTTGACTAATTATTGAATATTATTGGTTCCGCCGACTTAACTTTCACCATCTTTATGCATTTAAGTGTGTGTCTTTTATCAGGTGTGCAAACTTCTTCGTCACATCAGCCCCACGGACTCGCTCCATGTGCAAGCCAAATATGCTGAGATTAACTTGAAAATTTATGGGCCCCAGTTGGCCGTCGCCGCCCGAGTTTTGTGTTCAAACCCCACTTCCAAAATTGCCAAAGAGAATTTTGACGTATTCTCCGATATGTGGCAGTCGCTAATGGAGGTACGTATTGCATGTTTATGTATATACGGCAGAATTTTAAGTATTCAGTTTAGTTTTATAAATACATGTTGCGTTTGCAATAATTTACGATTTCAAAGTTCAATTATGTTCCACTGATACATATGATCTATTCCTTGTGCTAAAATACAATACATATATTGCAATCCATCTATACAATTTTTGTATATTAACAGGACGTGGCGTCTCTTACCAACGACATGGGGGATGTTTGTCGAACGAGAGCGATGGGGGATAAAAACTTTTATATGTCACTACCGAGGCCAGGGGTAAGTTAACCACTGCTATATTTACAACACATCTGAATTTTTAGTTAATCACCCAAGCCTACAAAACCACACAACTTTCCACACAATTATATACACAATAATTCTGTCATTTCATTTAACACACTATTTGCATTGCTAACTGACGCTAATTCTTCACAATATTCATACATACACATTATTCCAAGCCATTCGTACACACTTGATGGAATCAGTTGGAAGAAGTTTTCCAAACACGTTTTCTGAAACTACAAAAACTTTTGAGACCCAATCCATGTTTGAATTAGTTGTACTTCTGAGTTGTGAGTGTTTTGGTAATGTACTAATTGGTGTGCCTAGTATGTGCCTCCATCTAACATTAATCACATTGGTGGTGGGACTGGCAATGCCAACAATCCAGTCATTGCTGCACAACCTCCCCCACAACCACTCCCTGAAGTTGCAGACCAACAACAACTGGTACCCATCGATGATGATGGAGGTGCCCTCTACCCGGTATTATTTACTCTGCTTTTCCTAAGTATTTAGCCTTTCCTCGTTATTTTCGAATCCTGGATGGCTTTCACTTTCACTGTAGACAGAATCCTAGCCTAGTCGTGCTAATAACATGTGTAGTTTCAAATGGATCCAGCTTTTTTGCATGCCACACTGCACTTGTTAATCTAATGTGAAATAATCCATGGGTGAAAATGTTAAGCTGCGCATAAAATTCAATTGTATGCATGCACTAGTATTTAGTACGCAGTAAAAATCTAGCATGTTGTACATAAATATGAATGTCTTGTAGTGTATTTAATTGTAGGCAATACTTGATATTATATAAAATTATGTATATTTGCTAATTTCAGAAACATGGTACCACAAAGAAACCTATGAAAGCAGTAAAATTAGACAATGAGGTGAGTAAACGAGCATACTGAAAAACATCTATGTATATATTTGCGTCAATTTACGACCCTGGCCAAAATCTGAATTTTTGCTAATGACCAAACTTGATAAACTATGATGTAGACCCAGTCATAATTATAGTGGTTTTATGGTATTTTATTAGTTCTTCGTATCACCACGCATCGCAAAGCCCACACCTTAAAATACTTTTAATTCCGTGATACTAACGGCGGCCATTTTCCACTTCAACAACTGAGATGTAACGTTTTGCTTTCCTTCCTGCTTCTCAACCACGCTCCGTCATACATCCCCTTGTACATACCAGTTAGTGAAAGAAACGAAGCCGTAAATCCCCATTAACCAGTAAATAAAATAATAATCCATGTGGGATGAAGTGGATTTGGGAGGAAGGTGGCTGACTATGCAGTAAAAGTGGGGAAGCAGCACTTTCTCAGATTTATGTAGACATTCTTCAGTAGATTCCAAACCCAAACAGGTTTGAAGATGGCAACGTGGACCAAAAGGATTTGTTTTTGAAGGACACTACGACGCCGGAGAGGAATCCAATTGTACAATTCCGTCCAAAATATCCAATGTCTCAGATCCACGCTTGTATTGCTTAAATGGGAACAAATCCAATTCAATTTCATGAGAAAATTTAGTGGGTACAGACATAGTCGCATCTACATGTCTAACAAAATCACAATTTCCAAAGTTATCCTATAACAGGCGGTGAGACCTTTTGGGGGAAAGTCTCTCGCCACAATTCAACAACTTAACCAAAGATAAGGCGTCACACATAGATCGCACACCGATCAAAATTTGTTTGTCGGCACTTTCTCCAATTCTTATATACGTATCAATTCATCAACTGAACTCGAACGAGCTGTGATTATATCACTGCACGGCATGGGAAAGAGCCCATCATACTAGAGTAATAACCATCATAGTTTTCGAGGCGAGTTGAGATAGTGGTTGGGTAGTTAGTACTACGTAGGAAGTAGTCGCAATCTCACAATAATGGAATGGACCATAAACTTTGCCCTTAACTCTGGAAGTTTATAGTTTGAAAGTTTCTCTCTTTCTCTCAGTCAGGTCTCAGTCAGACGTAGTGGTCAATTATTCCGCCAGACGTAGGCCTTTGGAGACAGCCGCCGAGTCTAAACAAAGTTGATAACATGATTACCACTGAAAATGCCAAAGGCAGATTTTCCGTGAAATAATTTCCCAAGAGGTGTAGGTAATAAAGGAAATCAAGGATTGGTCTAGTTCATTTTATTTGACTAATGGGAATTTTAAGTCTAAATAACAGGCAATAAGAGCAGAAAACCAATCAAGCAAGGCTTCAACGACAGATTTGACAGATTTTTGGAAAGATAGCGACAAGTTGCGATGTATTCAATTTAAAGACTTGCCCTCTCTCTCTCTGACCTAGTTCAGAGAGTCCTAAAAAGTCGTTCGGATTGGAAACGCCTCTCGTTGCTTGTTTCTTCTCCCATTCTATTCGACAGTTGATAAGGTTCACTTACTTAAAGTGAAAGGGCATCGAAGGTGGGCCGTTCCTGGATGTCGGATCGAAGGTAGGAATGATTTCTCTCGAGACTTGTCCACCAACAAAGGAAAAAGATTTCTCAACTTTCTCGTACCAAAATCTCCAAAAGGCTGTCCGTCTGCAGATGGAAAGTAACTCAATTTGGTCATAAGTACGGACAGAGAAAGTTTTGCGTCTTCTATATCTATCATTTCCTTCCGCTTCCCCATGCTTTCCACGGAATCTTTGAATTCGAGGTGTTTGCTGGTATTCACTATCTATCTGGCGTATTATGTATGTACTCTTCATGAGGGTCATACCATGAACCTTAGTGAAATTGAGCAATTACTGGGTTGAAAGAGATTCGGAAAAATAAGTAGATCATGCCAATATCGATGGTAAGTAGGTCGCGAAGCATGTTTAAACGCCTTTCCTCTTTTGGGTAAGATATCTTGTTGGCTGTGTATAATAATTTGTATGAAAATATGGTAAAATGGAATGTGGTGGAGTAATAAATCAGCAGAGGGTGGAAGATGAGTTGTCTTCGCCAATAAATTCTTGTTGTGGGTGGATTAGCCCCGCCACTGCACAATGGTTATCATAATTCATTAGTATTCTCTTTTGCCCATCGCCGCATATCAGTCCTCATCCTCACTAATGGACTATACAAACTGGCCAAAAAGATAGATTCAAGCATTTTTGTGTAGGTATTCAAGAGCCCGATTGGCTATCTCGTGATATTCTCAGTATTCTTTTGCAATTGAGATGCACAACGTATACGTATGCATTACTTGTTTATTTTTCCACAGGAGCAAGAAAAAATAGCCAAGAGTGCTCTCGATATGAAGCTTGTCACGTCTGATCTGGAAGCTGAAGCTGAGAAATGGGGCGAGGAAAATTACAACGACGAGAACAACGATATTGTCCGCCGGTAAGGAAATACATATTTGTCTGTACTACATTTCCCTGGATTTTTGATACTCGGTACGCTCTAATTAAGACCATTTATTAAATTTCCAGAGCCAAAAATATGTCCACAATGGCATTTAATATGTACCAGTTCACCAAAGGGGAAGGAGCTCTAAGGTCGGTAGATACATTTCTGTTTATTTTATAATATGTTCCTTCTTCTCCCAGTTCAAATATCTGTAATAGCAATTTAATAATTAACTCAATCAAGCTAAACCTCCGCAACTAAAAAATTTAGCTTAAAACTGAACCCAGCAAAAAATATTAAATCATTAGAGTAAATGCTTTAAATGCGTTTTAGAAACCAAACAACTTAAAACTAGGGGAAGACCAATGCTAATTTCTGGTATCTGGTAAATAGATCTACATATGTACGCCATACATTCGTCCACATTGCACATGCTTGTGCACATATATCTGTACCTTTCCAATACCATATTTGCATCCGAGCCAAGTCCTACGACAACCCAAAATTTTTAACATCCTATAATTTTTATCGATTCCGTTTTTGCCAGCATGTACCTAATAATGTAACTCTATCCACTTTGTCGACTGCTATTACTCAGAAACGAACATAATATAGCACCACAAATCTATCTAACTATTTTTATAATGTAGTACTCTTATGTATGTACCTGTGCAGCCCACAACTTTTGCAGATCTTTTTATTTCATTTGGTAGTGATCGCTCTTGCGAGTTTGCCACTTTGTTTTCCAGCTCTTCAACGCGTACCTACATAAGTTTCTCCACGTCTCCTTTTCCCTTTGCGGGGGTGTAGCTGACGATTGTTATAACTCAAGTGTCCCAAGTCTAACATTTTAAAAGTGGGTGAAATGAAGGGTACATCTTGGGGTGTAGAATGTGTGTGCATCGTTTCAACAGGGATTTAATTACTCTAATTGTTTGTTTAAAGGACGACCCAGGATCTCTTTACGCAAGCCGAATATTTTGCAGAAGAGGCCAATCGACTTTACAAAGTTATCCGACAGTTTTCATATACGGTTAGCACACATTTCTTGGTCGGATCTTATATATGGTATATTTTTGCATTGATGGATCTTATAAATGGTCATATTTTTGTGAGCAGGTCCCAACGAGCGTGGATAAGAAAGATCTATTGGAGAAAGTTGACGAGATTCCAAACCGAGTGCAGCAGCTTCAATTTACCGTAAAGAACCCAACGGTGGGTAAGGCTGCGACGTTTACGAAAGTGGACTCTGTAATCCAAGAGACAAAGAACTTGATGAACGTCATCTCCAAAGTGGTCACCACGTGTTTCGAGTGTGCTTCCAAGGTAAGCTGAGAAATATGTATGTATTAGCAGGGATATTATTCCATCTCACCAACCATCACACCCATCCACCAACCACCCACACGCAATAAAGCATTGGCACAGAAGAACACTGCAAAAACTAACAATTGTTCTCCTCTACCCGTTGAAATATATGTACAAGCACAATAATATTATTCTTCGTCCCACTCTTCCAATAATGCCAACAAGACTTTTTCGAGTGTGTGTAAACTCCAACATTGTTACATAAACAGGGTCTGAAAAAACACTTTATACTTTTCCAACGAAGATGACAAGACTTCGACCCACGACGATAAGATTTGACACATGTATGTATCCCTTATCAGTATTTACTCTCCGTCGTGTCTGTGCATAATGCCTTTCCCTTTGTAACCTTTTTGAAATTGAATCTCTTGTAAATATGTTTTTCCCTTCTTATGTACTAATAACGCAATTTTTGATACATTTTTGAAAATTAATTACGATTAACTCGATATTAACATTAAAATAGTACTCCTACAGCTGGCACACCAAATTAAAATTTTCCCTTTTTGCTGTATTGCTATTATGAACATACAACTCATAAGTAAAAATATATACTTAAACCAAAATTGCTGACAACTACACTTTTTAACAAACATTCAAATACTAATTTGTAAACAATTTTGAATGCTCATAAATCTCAATCTTCAACATTTTTCAAGTATTAACCGATTTTTTGCCAAGAAGCGATTTTTTGACTTATCTTGGATTTTTCTATAGTACATGCTTTCAGCATCGGGTGATAGCATTAATCCCAACCAGGTAGAGTGAATCTACAATCAAGTGTTGTCGTTTTTTGGCGACCAAACTAGAGTAGAATTGCTAAATTGTAGAACAGTTTTTTGCAAATGATTTAGCAGATAGTTATTTAAATAGTATGCCCGTCGTCTGTTTTGTCGTGTTGAATTGTCGCATTTAAGTACTAGTCTGAGAACATTTAGTTTTGTAGTTGCTTCCGTATTACATCCAAGTACAAACTACAACTATACTTAGATAGCATAATTATTAATTATAACCTCATTACATTAAATGACAGAGGGACCATCAACATGAAATTATGTTTATGATAAAAGTACATCCCAAATATATTCATCAAAAGAAAATTAAAATTAATCGCTTTCTACTAAAAATCTGCAAAATTGTCGTACTTTCCCCTTGAACTTTTTCTTGCTTGTGATATGCTTTTCCCCTTCAAATTCTTGCACCTTGACTTACGAAAATATCATAATTTCTTAAACTTATCCTGACCATGTATAACTAATAAATATTTAAATAATGCATGCAAATTTTGATGCCGACTAATTTTGTGAGCTGCTTTTACATGAAAACCACTTATACCGTTGTGCAGTAGCTGACCAAACAAAGTCAACATCATCAAGCAATTGACAAAACCATCACAAGGACAGAACTTGACAAGTCCGATGGTCAGGAACTGCTGTTAACTAATAATAAGTTGTTGACAAGACAAGAATAAATCAGTTATTAATACAAATGGGCAACAGATAACAACGCAATGCCAAGTCTTGTTCTCGTTTTGTGAGCCGTGTCGTGCCTCCATTGTTGATAATACTTGGGCAGGAATTGATCACATAATATCGTCGTCTCGTACATGACTCGTTCATCAGTTTATAAGCATATATTTGTACATAAATGATGAATCTAAAAATATCTCGCATAATTATTTCTATCCCATGTTGTGCTATTCTGAGACATTCCTTCCCAAGTATTATACAACGTACTTAGCGTTACAGACATATTTAGTTGAGTAAGAGTTACCCAGTTATTATTATTACTTTGTGGTCAATTTATAACTCGTCCGCACTCAAGATTAACTTTACCAGTTCTGAATTGACCGCGTGCTTGAATAAATCTATACTTATTTGCAGCCGTCGGGATGCTGATTACCGGGATGGCGTGCTGATATATCTTTTATAATTGTGAATTTCAGTACAAGTTGGACTTTCGTGGTCTGTCTCCCAGAGGACGGAACTCTCCCTACCGGACGGACGCAGAGGATCAGAGCGGGGGGGCTGGCATGGGAGATTCCAAGGTCGGCGGGGGCGGCTCTTCAGATGGTTCCATGTGACAGTTCGGAATGGTAATGGTTTAAGCTACTCGGTTTCTTCGGGATAACATTTTATTTTATGAATTAATCACTCTGAACAGTTAACTAATACGTGTCTTGTCTTGATTAATGTTTCACAGGGCAGAAGGCCCAAAGGCGGAGACGGGCGAAGAACGCGTGTCTCATTCCTCCTATTCTAAATGAACTTCAACTCAACAAGAACCAAATATCTCTGTCTGATTGCTGCGGATTTCTTAATTCCGACGTGGATTCCTTGTTTTGTACATTTTGCAATCAACAAAGAACAAATTCCTTTCAGAGAAGAATATGATAAAGGAAATAATTATAAAAGAGAAGAAGAAGGAATTCCTGTAACTTAGTTGAACCAGAGAGACGAGATTTTTTGAATCCGTATTTTTTTCTTTCTTTTTTACTACTGCATATACTGCAGAGTTCTTGGGGGATTACTATAATTTACTCCCAAATGTATACTAGTATGAGTATAGTTCTTTCTAATTCCATATCTGGTATACTTTTATGTCTTGAATTTTTGCGTGGTACAAGCCTCTTTTAACACGAGGAGGAATTTAAGTTACTCAATTCAAGGTCACTTAAATTACTAAATGATTTAGTAATTTGGGTTACGTCTACTTAATTATTTAGGAGATGAATATATTTAGTTTTAGCTGGAAATGTAATTTTTTTTACCTGATATGTTCCCATTTTCCATCAAGGTCTCTCTCTACATAAAATCTCAATACTAATAATTTACTAATCTTCTCAGCAGCAAAATGCCAAAATTTATGAAGCGTCAAATTCTATGAAGCGGCAGGATGACAGGAGTCATCATGATCCCCTCCACTTACACAACTACTAAATAAATATAACAAAACCACCAAGGTTTGTAACTGCATGTTGTATAGATCTACTAAATTTCTAACATTGTTAACCCTGAAACAGGTAGAAAGGTCATAGACGTCCGTGCTATCCAATATAATCTATTATTGCTCATATGCTCCATCTTTTTGATAAATAGAAGCAATTTATTATTGTGATTGATTGACGTGAAAGTGGAAGAGGCGGTGGCGGGGTAGATACACACGAGATATTTTCGAGCAGTCAGAAATAAGTGGGCAACCAATTTTCCTGAGATAAATGGCTCAAATCCGTCTTCCTCCCTTTCCCTTTCTGTCGTCAAGAAAGTGGATTTGGTCAAGGAGATGGAAAGATCAGACAAATATGACAGGGATTAAAAAACCTCAGGCTGCTGCTCAACCTACAAAAGGGCTGGCACAATTATATAAGACCTTTGATTGAAAAATTACCCCATCAAAAATAAATCCAACTATGCGCACGTAACAATTGTGTCCCAATAATGTCTCCATCGCAGAAATCTATCTTCCTTCGCTCTCGGTCGTAGTATTTCTATCTGGCAAAGAAAAGGTGAATGCTATTTTAGTTTCCTTCTGGTCGCTCACGTTCTTCTTCTCGACCCCTTCTCATGATTCATCAAGAAGATCTTATTTTTGTACCTCTTTTCAAACTCAGCCCACTTCTTATTTCCACTTGATCCAATATTCTGGGTAGCGTACCTTTTCCTACCTTATTAGATGATGATCTTTCCGTTTTGAAATTATTTTCAATCAACCAGTATAGTTTTTCTTTGCCTGTAATACTCTTCTACTGCGTTACTTATCAAATAAGTACCACAACTCAACAATACGTACGTATACGTACTTATACATACCTGCAATTATAATGTGTATTGTTTTGGATAGCATAGTTCCAAGGCCATGCTGAAATTAAAAGTTAAAGTCATTGGCAAAGTTCAGACAGCCGTGACCTTGATTCGCTTATCTAATCGCTTTGAAATCAGTGAACGATAACGTTCAGGCAAAATATTACAACTTACTTGATTCGGTGTCACTTCAACATAGCTAATGCCAATCCTATAAAAATCAGTTATGTATTGGTAATAAATAACACAGAGTGAACAAACACTACACAACGAATCATCTCAATGGTAGATGTTCCTTTTAAGCAATTAATTCATGAACGCTGCTCTAAGTTTCGCCTGCTGTGCTCAATAATTTCGCAGGATAATAAATATTAACGCTGCTCGTCTGTTTAGATTAGAATTATATTGCGATGATTTTTTGGTCTTACGCTAATATAAATGTATGGATAAGGTGAAAAGTAATTTTGCATGACTAACACAATTTAAAACCAATGTCTATGTCAATCAGTTGTCTTTGTCTTCCAGTAATTTCCCTGAGCAAGCAAGGGCAACTTTTTCAACATTCCTTATTGAGTGAGTGATTGGTTTATTAGTAAAAAGAGTAGAATAGACTAATAGATATATAGACAACTACAAAAAAATAATTCACATCCATAGTTCAGGTACTACTAAACTATGTGTCCAGGCAGATGAAATACATGAACACTGTAACAGTTACAATCAAAATACTATATCACGAAAGTTGACAGCTTTTACTTTTTGACACTCGGCTTGAACAAAGTTGTAGCGAATGTATGGAATTCCTGTGTCATTCTTCACTGCTACATGTGTATATTTACCTCAGCTTCTTGTAGTATGTAAAAGAAAGCACGATTAAAAACCAGGTTATTTATGTATGCACGTATCAGTTTGCAGTCATATAAATAATTAGCTGCACAAGTGAAAACAATCAAATTTGTAATTTACAAAAAAAAGTTTTATGAAATACTTGCCATGAAACCAATTTTTGTTCATGATGATGATGATGCACACGTACAATCACTAAATGTAGCTTGAACACGGTTAAATATTACATAAATTTGCATTTTGTAATGGAACCCGAAAACAAATACTGACCTTTCATAGCATATATTTGGCTAAATATACGATGGGGCAATCTTTAAAATATACGTATGTACTTTGCACTCTTGTTATTGTGATGAAACAGTATGCTTTTGATGTCCTTCCTCTTAAATTGTTTGCCTTTTCGTAAATATGTGTCGCTTCATAATTACTGCGTACTACTGTACTTTTCCTAAAATTACAAAATGGTAAAGTGGGTTTGATTTTTATTCTAGGATGGTATTAGCATCTTCTCAATGTGTGTGTCGTACCTGCTTAATTGTTAAGTGCGATAATATTTATGAGTATATGGATTCGTGTGCGTGATTTCTGCTGTTTTTATACACGGTGAAAAAAAGCACCGACAGTGATACTCGTTCTACTTGTCTCGTGTAATGTAAAAATATTACAAGAAAGGAATTGTACCCCTGTCTATTTTTATGAGAAATATATCAAATTCCTGTCAGGCGATATTAATTGTAAAATATATGAAAATGCTTCAACATATATATTAAAAACGTTAAAAAATAGAATGCGCTGTCAAAAAATATTGTAACTGCCACTCATGAAATTATTCATCTATGTGAAGTAGCAATTATAAATAGATACATAGATGACCTATGTACTTGGATTATATACTATGGCCAATCTAAAACAAACACGAGGTTTGCTCCTTAATCTGTCATTGTTATAGCTAAATATCTGTAATAATCATACCCCGGACAAATATTTTTTTATCCTACCCTACTCGTGTTGAGCTCAACATGAGTAGGGTAGGATAAAAAAATATTTTTCCGGGGTATGGTAATAATGGTTTGCCAAACATGATTTACTAAAGGACATTAATTTATTAATTCTAACCCGCAAAAATAACGGGGGTTGGATTTTCTCCTTGTATAGTAAATACATATTTCCTTATTAGTAAACCAGATAACAAAGCTGTATTACGAACGCCCAAAATAACAGGGTTACAATTTTCAACTTTCGTATTTATTTCAGTCCAAATTCCTTTAAAGCTTAAATCTGTCATAAGTTATTTTATATGAAAAACAGACAAATCAACGAATTTTGTTACTTGATGGCAATGCGTGTAATGATAAGGAGCTGCTATGTAATTTACATATGTGTATGCATTAAAAGTTTTTTCTTAAACACTTCAGTATGTTTCACTACAGTAAACTTACGGAATATATTATGGAATGTATAAGAAGAAAATCAAAAGATATTCAAAAATAAAAAAAAGTATCTTAAAAACTACCTAAAAACTGATTCTTTAGGGTTTATTCCATTTGAAATAATTTCGGAGTGTCCATAATCATAATGATCCACAATTCTGCTTCTTTGCCTTATAAGTGTAAAAACCTATGTACGCTATTTAAATATCTCGTACCCTTATTACATAGTTTATAACATGTAGACGCTATATTATTTAGCTACATTTAATTGCCTCATCTTTTTTAAGGGATGAAACGCATTTATAAGATCGTTATGTCTGTCTGTCTGTTGGTCCTATTTATAACTCGTGACAACGACATACAGACTTGTAACTTGAAACCTAACTTATTTAGGTCTAAACCTGATTAGAAAGGTCGTGGGTCATAGTTTTCTTCAACTAGAACAATTTCATGTGAGGACTCATACTGTTCACCCCTTCATTACATTCGTTGTAACGGTTTATTTAATGTGCAGCAACGTATGTAAATAAATAATTTCAGAGTTGCCCTAGCTAAACTTTGAGTATATGCAGATAGTGGTCGTTCCACATGATATTTCAAGTGCACAGGATGCAAGATAAGGAGTAGATCTCTAAATAAATATGATTAGAGATGAGCTTGCATATCTGACTGCATAAAAAATTGAACAATTTAATCGGTGTATAAAATTACTTCAAGTTGTCATCATAAACGTCATTGACGTTTAGTAGACCATCTCAATTTACATAGAGAAAGAAAGGAGAAAAACGTTTCTTCGTATATTCAACTGGAGTCTTGAGTCTGAAGGTTATATTATAGGCAGACAATTAATTAGTTTGTGGGAGTTATCGATTAGTTCAAACTAGTTGTAGTCTGACTTTTGTGAACTCCATACTCCACATTTTATCGAAATATTTGAAAATATAGTTGAAATTGATTGAATGTAAACAACGAGTAGCAAGATGCCACGAACCTACGTTGATAATGCTTACAACCGAAGTGCGGGTCGTGTGGGGATGGCTCACGGGACAGCGGTGATTTCCAGCGCAAGTAGTGGGAGGAGCTCATCGTCCTACAGCGGTGGCGGTGGTGGTGGAGGGGGACGCACATATGTGGACAACTCCAGTAACAGGTAATCTTGATTCTGTGCATACCTACATATGGAGTACATTTATATGTCGCGGAGTGATTAATTATATGAAATTTGTGACTGCGTATTATTCAAAAGGGCGCTGGGTCGAGTCGGCCTTCCTTTAGGAAGCGCAGTTCAATCATCCTCTGGCAGCAGTAATTCGCATTCAGCCGGAAATGGCAGCAGAGCTTATGTTGATAATGCACAGAATAGGTTAATTAACACTTACAATAAATATTTAGATAAGAACCTAACAAGGGCCTGGAATAGGCAACGATTTATAAACATATTGCAATTTTTGTAGGTCTTTGGGACGAGTGGGGCTTCCGGTTGGTAGTGCAGTTCACTCTACAAGCAATCCCAATTCAGCATCTCATGGTTCCACTAAAACAACCTACGTGGATAACGAAATGAACAGGTTTGACTTTACTTTCGATTCATTCGTGATTATATTTTCAACAGGTTTTAGTAACTTTTTGACTTAATATCTAAAGATCGCTTGGTCGGGTTGGACTTTCACTGGGGTCAGCGGTTCACTCCAAGTCAGCTGGGGAAAACCATTCGTCATTATCCTCGTCTGCAGCGACGCGATCGGTTGGGGCCGCCTGTTACGTGGATAATGCATATAATCGGCGACTGGGTCGGGTTGGGTTGGCATATGGAACGGCAGTAATGTCGACCTCCAACTCAAGCTCTGGCAATCTCAATGGGAATACAAAATGCTATGTTGACAATCCCATGAACCGAAAGCTCGGACGTGTCGGAAACCCGTTGGGATCTGCTCCGGTCCAAAATTCCAAATCAGTGAGATGTCATTCTCCATTGGATGATGTTTTTAAGCCATTGATTCGCATTGATCCTGAGGTCTCTTAAATCTGTTCTCTGAATTTAGGCTATTTTTACGCAATGATTATTTGAACATCAGTTGTATTTGATTGAAAAATGGCAGGATACGGATTTGGGCGACCTTCTGCGACAAATTCGACGCCTCCGCGATGATCTTAGGAAGAACGATGAGGAAGCAGACTCGTTTCGGGAACGCAATTGCGATGCAGCGGAAGGGATTGTATACCGGCATGAAGCTGCCTTGACTAAACATCGAGCAGGTACTTTCTGATACAAAGTGGTATTCAAATTTAAATTTCTATATTAATCAAATTTGACAGGGCTTCAAACACCAGAATGGGTTCGTGGAGGAGAAGTAATTGACTTCAAGGATATCGAATTGGGTGAGAAGCTTGGCAGTGGTGGGTTCGGTGATGTATTCGTAGGGATTTGGAAGAATAATTTTCAAATTGCAATTAAGAAATTACGAGTGCAACGGGTTTCACAACGAAGAAAGGATCAATTTCAGGTATGGGCTACGAAAAGCTTTATGCACGATGTGTATTGCATATAGATATGAGATATGGTTGTATAATGTGCATACTACTACACAGGAAGAGGTAAAGGTCTTTTCAAGTTTATCTCACCCCTGCATCGTGAAATTTTTTGGCGTTTGTGTGACCCCACCGAATCTGGCCATTGTGATGGAATTTATGGCTGGAGGCTCCCTACACGATGTCCTTCATGTGGAGATGCGTGATCTATCCTCGAACCAAAAGTATCAAATGGTGACCGACTCATTGTCTGCTCTGAAATATATGCATGGGAAAGATATTGCGCACCGGGACATTAAGAGCATGAACATTCTGGTAAAATAATGCTTTAATGAAGCAGCAGAAGAACAGAGTTAAAATACTTAATTGTTGATAATTAATTTATTTAGGTGTGCGATGATTACACGCACTGCAAACTTGGAGATTTTGGCCTCGCTTTAAAAGAAGAATCACGGTCTTCCGCATCAGTCGTTGACCATGCGGCTGTTGGAACTCTGGTCTACAGCCCTCCTGAAGTTATTCGAGGCGATAGGTATGGATGCACATTAGTCCTTAATTTTGGATTCAAGAGGATTCAATTTTCACTATTAGAAAACTAAATGTTCATCATTTCAGGTTGAATATTGAAGGTCTCAAGTCTGCAGATATTTACTCCATGACCATAGTGATCATTGAACTTCTTACTGGACGGAAGCCATACGACGGGTTGAACCAACATCAAGTTCGTGCTGCCATCATGAACAAGGAACGACCATCAATCACCTCACTCACTGATATGAACGAGGAGGCAAAAGAGTTATTGCGACGGGGAATGTCGTCGACACGCCCTTCCGCATCCACAATGTACAGCTCTTGGAATTTGCTGGCTCTAGGGAACCAACTTGGACGCCTTACCCTTGCCGAGTCATCGCATAACGTAGTTCGAACTGATCCCAACGTGATGTAAAAATTATTTATATTATAAATGCTACGTACATATATATGGATGCGTATATATGTTTTAAGAAAATCTTGAATTTGTAAGGTCAAGTTTGCCTCCATTGTCTCGAGGGGTATCCTATTCGTCACAGTTGCGAAGCCTGGACCGTCCTTCTTGGAATGGAGTTGTCGATGATCTTGATGGATCCATTGCTGCCTCGTCGTCGACATCTTCAAGTGGACGAGTATGCATCAATAATTTACGTATGACATGAGTCATACGTAAGTATTATTTTATTAATTTTGTTAACTATTAATTTGTTACGATTTTGAAGAGGAGCTGCCCAGTGTGTATGAACAAAGGAGTGGAATACGTATTCCAATGCGGTCATGCAACATGCGAACCATGTTTCCTTACTTTGCACACGAATGACTCGACCTGTCCAAAATGCCGTGGATCAATTGCCTCCGCTATCAAACTCTTTCTTTAAGTTTAACTGATTTCAGATAATTGTATCACTTTCGTGATGTTCAAGTTGTTCGTCTACCAAAATCTATTATTATTTTCTAAATTTTATTATTTAATTGTTCACGATTGTTTACAAATTCATGAATATTGTTATAGAATAAACTTGCATTTTATTGTTGAAATTATTCTAATGTTATAACTCTATGAAATTATTTTTGTATATCCTATTGGCATTTACAGGAATGGAAACGGGGCACACACGTACAATATCCAATCTGCGCACCCAGCAGTCCGTTTGTGCATTTGCAATTTCTATAGTCAATTTTTCCCTGAACATAACAAATTATTTGTAGAACAGATGCACGAATATTAATTGTTAATCGTCAGATTTAAGATAAGCAGTAAAGTAAAGAATCCTTAACACGAATTAGGTTGTTTTCAATTTACGTATATATTATTCAAAAACAAAATAATACGTTCAAATAATACAGTGTATTGTTGCTTAAATTTGTAATTCTGACAATGCTGGCCAAAAAATTACTGCTCGCGATGGGAGTGGTGCTCATTTCAATTCATGTACAGGTTAGTTGTATTTATGTACTGTTGAATAGTATAATTTATAAAGCGTGAAGTGTGAATGTCAATTATTTTGAGTGCTGCAGATTATCTGAAGCTGAACTTCTGTATAATTTCCGTGTTTATTTATTATGTTAGTGTGACGAGGACGAGGAGGTTGCGGCAGGTGTGGGAGGAGTTGTGGACGATGTGGTGGATGTAATTCCAACTGCCGTCGCCACAGTGTACGAGGAAAAAGAAAATGTTGTCACTATAAACGCCTCGGCGTCAGATCCACCGAATAGCACTGCGTCGTCGACTGACGAGAAACAGGATGTCACGGCAAAACCCGTTAAAGTTCAGGTGTGGATGGATAGATTCATGAATCCACTGGGAAAATGCAAATGGTTGAGCTGATAATGATGACATTTCTGATTTTAGGTGGCTTGTTGGGACTATAGGAAAATTTACTCATATCCTGAAACTATAGATGACGACGAGGCATCGAATAATGACACTGTGTACGACATGATTGCTATTTACTAGATATTTCGTTTCACTTAGACTGCTAGGAGGGGTTGTTTCTGATTAACTGTATACATGTTCTTATTATATATAATGTGTATCTGTTTCAGGAGCAACAGCGTACCACCACTTGAAGAGGAAATACTAGCAGAACCTATTGTCGAAGAAGAAGAGGTGTCAGCTGCGGCAACGGAAATAAATGAATCAGAAAATGATGCTGTTCCGTCGGAAGAAACAAGTTCAGGTTCGGATGTGGGTGTGGGAGATGAAGTTGTAGGCACTGCACCACCCCATCCTTTGGGAATAGTAAACAAAACAGTTGAGGTCAGTGATTCATAAAGTAGTGCTGTTGTAGACTACCCATATTCTTGTGTATCCTAATTAAATTTGTTGGGGTGGATGGATTTGGATTTCAGCTGGTCAACGTGACATATTTGATGAATGACGTACTGTATCAAAATCCAGCCGTGAGGAGCAAGTCCACTCCTGGAAATTGTACACTCGTTCTCTTTTTTACATCCTGGTGTCCCTTTTGCGCCAAAGCTGCACCTCATTTCAATGCACTGCCCAGAGCTTACCCTCCTCTTCGTGTGGTAGCGATTGATGTTCAAAAACAGAAAACAGTTTCCACGTACTTTGGAATTCTTGGCGTTCCAACTGTCGTCTTGTTTCAAAATGGAAAACTTATTGCCAAGTTCAACGATTCTCAGTTTACACTCAACAAGTTCTCAGAGTTCATTGAGTACTTTACAGGTTGGTCTTGACTATTGTACATCATTCTTGACGTACACTCATCATACTTAACACTATATTTTGGATCTGTTAATACCTAGATTTGAAGCATGAGGAGAGGATGAATGTGACAGCCAAGGATTTCGAAGGCCCCTTGCCCTCATTGCCGGAACGTGCAAAGGATTTGTATCTCTTGCTGGCCTGGATATTCCTTCTCGTAACGTGCGCACGTTACATCACGAAATCTGCGATTTGGTGGAGATTCGTCGAATTTGTTAGTGCGACTTGGAGAGAAGCAGAGCTTCAGGCACATGAACACGCCGACTGAATGTTTCTCAGCAAATTTGATCTCTCCATATCTGTGATAATTATAGTCGTTTGTATAATATAGAATCCACATATGTTATATTAGAAAACGCATGATACAACCTACACCAGGCCAAATTATAGAAATTTTTGTTATTGGTACCCTATGCATGGTTGGTATATTTGTCTCATTCAAAATGTCAGTATGAAATATTGTTGACTATTTTTTTCAGAATACTAGAGAGAATATATACAAAATTGTACAATATTTGTGAATATTATAAATAAATCCTTTTATATATCAATCAACAAGAGTATTTAGTTCCCTTATATGTTTAATTCTCCTGATCATCATATTTATATACATATACCATGATAAAGCACAAGTTAGTTATTTACACGGTGAGTGTGTAAACAAAATGTTGTCAAAGTGGATATTTATTACTTCTGCCGTAAATAAATCACAAAAGCTATAATCACAAATGCATACTTATGGTATTCACCAGACTTGTGGAATGGCATTACAGGAACTTTCATGAATAAAGCATAATATGATAATACTGTCGGGGTCAGCAAATATTAATTTATAAATAATGTGTGAAATGTGTCCGGTATCGTATGAATGGGAGTGAGACTCTTTGGTTGAGACTGAAGTAGAGTGCAATTGCAGAGATAATGTATGTATTTACAGATATGATAATGGTCCGGTTTTGTCAAGTTGAATAAGAGATTCTGATTTTGTTGTAAGTATTTGGTCAAGTTTCACTGTTTGGGTTCGTCACCTTCCAACAAAAAATTTTCCACCAAATTGACAAATTCATCCGTGAACTTAAGATGCAGATTGTGCTTCGCATTAGGCATGATAACCATCCTAAAATAACAGTAAAAATAGTCAGATATTCTGACGAGGAAAGTGTTTACATAATTGAGAATTTAAATCACCTTGAGTTTTTGATGTTATCTCGCAGATATTCTGCATGATCCTCGCCTAAAACAGGATCATCTTCTCCATGAAGGATGAGCGCAGGACATTTGATCTTTGGTAATCCATCCTTGAAGACTTGATCTTCTTTATTATGGTAAAAATCGTGCACACCTATTTAAAAATAAGTGATTAACTGATTTTTTCGGTCTTAAGATTTGTATATGTAAAATGCCTTTATGCCAGTCGGCCATCATCTTAACCAAGTACTCTCTGCCATAAAGGGCTAGAACTGGTTCCAACATTTTAGGAGACCACGCATCCAAATCCCCCATAACTGGAAGCAAAATAAATAGTAAGTAGCCTGCCTGGGACACAGGCATAAAAATAATTTCTTAAGAATGATGTTAAGGGCTCATTTTGCCCCCCAGGTACGGTTCACGGACATTTGGTGAACATTACACATCGTTCGTCAGCAAAAGCATGCGCCCCCCATGTCACAATATTTCGGACGTGATCAGGGTAGTCGGCTGCGATATGACCAGCTGAAATTATTTAAATGTGTCTATCACCCGTATTCATAGGTACAACTTATGATATTTCGCGTGATTGTCTAAAAAGAGTGAGGATTAGACTTACCTGTCACTCCACCATTCGACCATCCAAGAGCCGAAAACGATTTGTGACCTAATTTCTATCATACAGAAATATAAACATGAACTATATTGAATGCCAGTAGTCCTGATGTATCTATTAGCTAATAACCTCCATCAGTTTGACCACCAAGTGTCCATCTCTTCGATAAGGGATCCCAGTAAAATCACGCTGTGGTGGCCGACTGTAACCATATCCTTATAAGGATATCGAGATTTATTTTATTGATCTAGGTTATTAGGGTGATTAAGTTAGTCGCAGTTACCTGGAGGATCCCATGATACTAACGTAAATTTGTCCTTGTTCATTTTCTTAAAAATGGGCACAAAGTCATGTTTGATGCAACCTATTTCAAATCATTTCCCATTATTCTTGTTAAAAATGAACAAAGAAGAGGTTGTCCATTTGAACAGGTTAGAAATATTGATTAAAACCTATGATTCCCGGAAGCAAAAGAACAACATGGTCACCATCTCCAGCTTGATCCCAATTCAATTGGATTCCATCAACCTCAATCTTCTCTCGTCGCATGCCCAAACCACGCAGGTCATGAGCGTCAGTGGGTGGGTCGGCTGAAGTTTCCATCTTTACAGCTGCCTCTGTAGAATAGGGTTTTGAGCAGTAGGTCCTTGTAAACCCCCATGTTGCTGGAACCTAAAAATAATATCCAATCGACATGTCCTTGTCAAATACCAATTAGTTTTCAACTTATAATCTTAGTAAGATTATTTTACACCTACACCAGTGGTAACAGAAATCCTTCCTGACTGCACACTTAGTAAGCCCCTCAGACCTTGAACTTTACTCAGGTGAACCGTACGCATATCGACAATCTGGCGAATCATTCTACTCATGGAGGTCATGATAATATATTTCTGAAAAGCATCACATAACTAAAATGTACATTTACCATCTACTAATTCCAACAGGTACAATTTTTTGATGAAATAGTTATTGATCTTACCTTTTATTTAAAATGAGGATGAGCAATGGAATGAGTCACACTTTATTCGGAGGTGTTGGGTCGCAGGTTCAAATTACACTATTAGAAACGAAACACCCAGCTGCCGGGTACGAGAACCGGAAGAGACCTGGAAACACGAAAACAAACACAAACTCTGACAGTTGGTTGTTGGTGGTGGTGGACTCGTCTTCTCTATAATAATGTCGGGTTCAATGGAGTTGAGCAAAAAATGTAACATGCAAAATATTTTATTTGCCACACAGACAGCGTTATATTGCGCACTGCAAACCACCTACTTTGCTTCTTCTAATTAGGACTTTGACTGACATTACTAAAAAATATTCGCAATTTGTAGACAATTCTAGTTTTCACCAAGATGGTCCGATCGTCGTAGCCAATCCTGTTTAAAGCGTTAGAACGGCGAGGTATGTCTAAACACACTGAAGCACAGTGTGAAATAATTATTTGGGTTACTACTAAACTAATAATGATCAAGACATTAATTGTGCAACCATTTTTTAATAAATGGTACTTAATACGACTAAAACGACATTCTAATGTGCTTTTTTTCTGGTGATCTTTCTTGCTTGTTGCATATAAGACCAGCGATTGCACTTCCTTATGCATGCATACATAGATATTCCGTAAGTATATGATGGGAAAGATAATTCACTTATTGTAATGAGCATAATTTTTATCATTGATGTGGTATGTTCGATTTGATTGATCATTATGGATCCTGAAACTCATTAAAAGTAAGTATTTTCTGTGGTCTATTTCATCATTATATTTGGAAATTATAGAGCATATAATCTTATACCGCATATTTTCTCACATTAGTAATAGTAATAATGGCATATTGCAAATAAGAATTAAGGTTAGCCAAAAAAATACGTTCAATGTCCGAGGAAACTACTCGTGCTTACCATATTACCGTACATATAGATATGCAAGCTCACGCAAACTATAAATAAATAGCAGATAAGCGAGCGTTTAATCCGCACTTAAAATAGGATTAGGACCTTCATAACCAGGATCATAGTTCGGTAAGTCTAAAGTTTACTTGATTGATTGAATTTGAGTAGCATGCATGCATGAACTGAGGATGAGTGACATGCAAAGATGGTCAACTAATAAACCGATAATATTAATGCTTACTTCAGGTCAGCAAAACAACCAACCACATAAATACTATTTCATACAAAAGTTGTAGAATTATGGCGACTATTTCTACAGAGTGGACTTTGCATGTTTGGCTCACAATTTCAAATATGAACAATCTTTAAACTCACAATCAGTTCAATTCTAAATATCATGTAACAAATATGCACATGCACTAGTTAAGAATCAAACGATTAAAGATATTTCAATAACGCCTTTTAATGAATTACACAAATATACCCTGATATATAACACACGTTCAATTTAATTACACAATATGTTTAAAATAACCCCTTGCTCTCACAACAAATAGATAAATATATTCTTAATGATTCATGCACAAACAACATGTATCACGTAATTGAGTATAAAATGGTACCACTACAAAATAACCAACCCCACCCAACTGGACATTTGTACAACAGATTCACTCATTTTTTCAGACACTAATAAAATAAACTATTCTATTATTTCTTATTTCTTAAAATATTGTTGAGCGACGTATATCTCACTCGGCCAGATCCGTCAAGGGTTCTGTGTACTGACCAGTCATTAGGATAATTCCTGTGGGGTTGTGTCTCAAGACGTAGAGGAATGGTCGCTCGAAGCGAAGAACGGTTTCCTGGTCATTCGAGTTCGTGGTCTCCTCCTCCTGGCGGAAGTGGTGGTAAGTCTTCGAGTTGGATCGCTGAGTTCGAATACCCGCACGCAGCGTCCTCGGTCTGAATTCCACAGATGGGCCTCGAACCTAAAAATTATCACCCAAACGAATGCAATTAAGCTGACAACATCATGCCCCCCCTTTTGAATTTTTGCTGTTTTGCTTATTTGTTTCGTTGACTTACTTGTGCGTATGAGGGGAATGGATGAGGATTGTTGGCGTACCAACTTCGGTCTTGGTTGTGTTCCGTCGTGTGTGTTGTCGAAGCTTCGTGTTGCACGGGATGCCTGCGTTTGAGCCGTTCCAATTCAAACCTGAGGCGACTGACATCATCTGGCATCGGGGTATGAGATCCTCCGTGATCATTTTGGCTTCTCTGTTGGCCTTGCTGGTTATTGTTGCGAGTTTTGAACCACTCGTTGACCGACATCGGCTCCCCATAGTTGCCGTAATGTTCGCGAACGTGTGGTCTAAGAATTCTGATAAGGTCTAAATTCCGATCCAAATTGCGGTTGTTGTTTTCAGTTAATGTATCCGACAATTTTTCCCAAGTGCCAAATTCCGAAAAGTGCATCATGTTTTTATCCAGGTAGAGATCAGCTAGACCATTTATACCCTTAAACTTTGCCAAGGTGGGTTCAAACATGTCCGTGAGGCCAAGTCGACCCAATGTATGGGAGATATTGACTGAGGACTGGTGCCTGAATCGGGGGACAATCACTTTAAACGAGTCGCGAGCATAGAAGCCTCTCATGAGTCTATAAAACAAATAATGATAAAACATATATACATGCATGTACATACATAAAATCTGTATGTCAAAGTTGCATTTCTTTGCAAGCTTGCGTATGTGCTTACTTTGTCCAAGCTTCCAAATTGAGTCTTGACTTGAGCGAGGTCACACCCCCGAACGCAAACTCGCCTGGTTTTCCGGGCATGACGAGGATGAGGCTGAGGTCTCGCGAGGTGTAGGGGAGTTCCACCGCCGTGGCGTCGAGGTCCTTGTCGAAAGTGGCACGAAATCGTCCTTTCAGGGCAAATGCTGGAACCTGGAATAGGCGACGGGCAGATGGACCTTGGTTTGGAGTGAGTGAAGCCAAGTGAATGAAATTCATAGAGTCAACCGAAGCATCTCGGGCTCCGGCAAATTGACCCTGATCAAAATTAACAATTAAATAATTAATAATAGATTCGATTATCATTTCCCACACGTGTCATTAAAAACTTGTATCTACATCGAAAAATGCTGCGGTCAACATGCTCATGGGCCCCAACAATGGCAAGCTGTAATTTAGCATTTCATACGAATGTCTCTGAATTTGGGCTCGGATCATTTGGTTGATTATACTTTGGGCCAGATGTCCTGTAAAAGTTGACAAACTAAATTTTCATCACGCGTCACTACACTTTTGGCCGCTCCCCTTTACAAATTATTTAAAGTCTTGCCTGCAAACTTGTAATCAACTTCTTCCACTCGTGCTTCGTAAAAATGCTGGACTCGAGTTTTATAAAATTCGAGAACATCTCCCTTCTCCTACAATTACCAAATTAGGTGATGTATGTGTTGTGTCATCATGTGTTGTCACACAATAAATATTATGCATTTATAATGTATATGTGTACCTTATCCGTCACAAGGAGTCTAATAATCGCTGCAAGAAAATACAAATGGTAACATTTCAGAGCCAATAAAAATAATCATTCTGTACCTGCGGCCGTGTTAGGTTGCGAGATAAACGCCTCAGTGACATTGTGGTACATCATATGCGGGTTGAAAGTCAACACGTCGTCCATCTGAAGTAGAGTATCAATTTGTGCAGCAGTGTGTCCCCTCGATCCCAGGAACAGCATACCCAACGAGGAAATAATCGTGAACGGGCTGATGACCATGTTTCCATATTGAGTAGTCGAATGTGAAACTGGATTTGTAAGAGAGGTCAGGAGGCGATAGGCTAATCGGTTATTGATGTCGACAAAGAGTCGTTTCTCCTCGTCAAGAGAAGTGAGCGTGGCCTCCAGTCCAGGGTTTCCTTTTGGAGCTGGTCCAAAATTGGGTCTCTTTTCAGACGCTGCCTGTTCTGCGAGGTGGTGGTGAAGATGATCGTGGTCGTGACCATGGGCTCCTCCTCCTCCATGCCCGGCATGCCCTGCTCCTCCAATTCCGTGCTGATGTTGAATGTGGTGGTCATGAAAGTCGGTAAAGTTTTTACGGACTTGTGTGGGAAGGGCTGGTCGGGACTGAAGCGAGAGTTTGTCTGGTGCAATGAAATCATCTCCTTCAGGTCCTGTCCGATCTGGACCGTATCCGTGACCAGGATGTTTGTAATGAGCGTTAAGAAGGCCTGTTTCGGGATCCGTGTCGTCTGCAGCGCTGTAAATCACAATTAACGAAAAACATAGTTAACGAAGTTAATTAGCAGGTTTGGCAGTTGAGACTATTGGAGACAGCAAGATTGCGATTAATAGATGGCTTTACCCATGTTGATATTGTAAATGGGAGGGTCTTGGGCGATGAAGGTGGTCTGGAAGAGTTGGCATAGGTTTTTTTGTCTTGGTGGCTCCTGGTTTTCCATGCTTCGAGTGAGGTCGACTGCCACCAACCGGGGAAGCAGGTCGCCGTGCAGGTCGAGGAGTAGTTCGACGACGAGGTGGAGGGTCCCTGAACTCGTCCTCATCAGATGAGTCGTCTTGTTCCTGCTGAATCTCGGCAAGGGTGCCAACCTCGACAACAGGGACGTATACTCCGTGGAAAAATGTTTGGTACGGATCATACCCGAAGATTTCGTCATCATAAAACTCGTTTGGACGAGTGCCGCTCGTGCTCTCATTTCCTGGGCGTTTTGCCTGCCAGTAGTGATCCTTCTCCGGACCTTTCGTGGGCGGAGTAACGTACGCACGGAGTGTCGTATATTCGATGGGCACCTGGGCTTGGTCATCCGCCGCTTCAGCTTCGTCATGCTGAGAAATCGTTGCACCTGGGGCGGCCTGCCAACTGTTTCCAGTCTCGTCATCCATGCTTTCATCATCAGCATTGGTGTAAGGGTTATCATCAATGGGAATTCCTATTACAACCACAACGTTAGTTCTCTGCTTCTCCATTTTTTTTACTGTTTGATCCTTATCATAACTAATTGTATAACTACTGCATAACAAGTAATTAAGTAATGAGGTGCAAATTACCCGGGAGTCTAAATTCTGTCGTTTCAGGCATCGCCTCCGTCATGTCTGGTTTCTTGTTTCGAACTGGGAATGGTTTGTCGTTGTCCAACATGATGATCATGGGGAGCTCCAATTTTTGTGTATTCGTGCGATGTGGATTAACACGATTGCTGCTGATTGTGCTCGCAGGTGAGGTTGTCGACTGCAGTTCAGTTTTTAATTTGTTCTGATTTTGATTCTGTGAAGGCTGATTTCTTGACGGCTTTTTTGCAGGTGTGGTTTTCTGGGCCTTTTTATTTCCTCCTGACGATGCAGAAGTCCTCTTTGTGGTGGATGTTGGTCTCTTCGTAGTAGTTGTGGTAGTTCTAACCGTGGTCGTGGTAGTTGTGGACGTCGTTGGTGACGAAGGATTACTTGGTTGTTCACTGCTCGAAGGTGATCCATCCGCTGAACTATTTCTCGCTGTATTAATGGAGCTCAGAACATCGGTGACAATGTTCTCAATCGGCTTCTCTTTCTCATCTCCATCCACGGACAAAATTGCTCCAGAGATTTTATGAATTGCGTCATGCACCTATTACTCAGCCATAAATATAAGTAGTACGTATTATGCGCATGCAATTCAGTGCTCTCATGTAAGTAGGCACATTTCTAGAGTTGCCCCAAATTCTTACCTCTGCAGAAGTTGCAGTATCATTCTCACTTTCCTGCTCTTCCGGCATTGCACTGATGCTGACAACGTGCTTAGCAAAATCATCAATAGCATCGGTGGTGTGGGGGCCAGGGTCGCTGGGGCTGGTGCCTCCGGTGGACTCCATTTCGTCGTCATCTTCTCCAGAAAGGCTGGATCCAGGAACAAACTTATTTTGAGGTGAGGTGACCAACACGGTTGTGGGTGGACTCTCATCAACAGGCTGGACTGAAACACTGTTCGAAGTTGTAGCGGGTGGAGGTGGCTATTCAAGGAACAAGCTCATATTAATTTCGAAGTCCAGGTTATGAAAATACTAAATGGTGAAAAAGAACGATATGTATGTTATTTTTATTACCGATGAATCATGTTTTTGCTGTTCCTCCTGCACAATTGTTTTCAGTGTTTGAATCACATTTTGAACGCCTTCCTCCTTCCGATGAGCCTTGTTTCGAATTATGATTTGAGACGACGAGTGATGATGTTGAGCATCTGTGGGGGACAGGGACCGGATGAGGCTGTTGGACGTGAACGTTGTGGGGACTGGGATGGAGTTAATTGTGAGGATGACGGGCTGAGTCTTCTCGACGGTTGCGTCGTCCCGTGGAATGGACGCCGATGTTTGGTCGTTTGGAGGATCCGAAGGAGAACTTCCACTGCCAAGAAGCACAGAGACAGACGTTACCACGCTGAAAGAAAGGGAAATTATAAAATTGGCATTCTCTTTCCAAGAAATACGAAGAATAATTATCGATCCGTCTCACCTGGAACCTATTATTTCCGAACTTGCTTTTGTGGTGTTGTCATTATCTCCTCCGTTTATCGTGATGGCCGTGCCACCCACTCCCCCGACGCCCAGACTAATGACACTTATCACCGTGAACGCAAAAGTAGCAAAGTTATGGTTTGACATGGTCTCAATAGTAAACACTATAATGCTTAAAATCTGCAAATTTTTGTGGTACAACTAGTACATCATTCATGAATGGAAACAACGTTTCTAATATTCCGGAAACCTGCACATTTTCAAAAATCAGCCACGTTTGCTAATCAGTTCACCAACAAAAAGTAAATCTAAGTGTGTAAAGATGAAGACAGGACCACTTCCGGCTAAATCTCCTGGCTCTCCGTTTTCTTCTTCGTCTTGGCTAAGGTGCTGATTACTTACTGTGCAAAAGAGCAAAAATTATCACAATCAGCATCATCGCCCGTCATCAACCTCACTCTTCGGGGTTCATCTTAAGCATTTGCAACAAAACTTTAGCTCTTTTTCTTCCTTCCTTCCTTCCTTCCGTCTCGCTCAGTGAGCAGACTTTAAACATGACGAAGATTCTTTCTGCAGTAGTCAATTCAACCAAGTGCGAAGCGTTCATTGTCGGTCGGTCATCATGGACCGTATCTTTTGCAAATATAACTAACAAGCCCAACTTTTTTTACTAGATGCAGTTTCTTCGTATTTGGCTTTGCTGCTTTGGGGGATTATACCCATTATCACAACGGGACTCTGGTATATCGTCTTCATCCCATTATTCCGCTGCACCGTGTATGTACGTACGTATTCCTGTACATATGTACATACATACTTCTCTTTAACAGAACGAACATTCTGAGGCAGCTATATAAATCTTGGTTTGAAAAAATGAAAGTATTAATCTACCGTTTTCGTAGGTTATGAAACATTAAACCATAAAGCAGAAAATGCAAAATTCATTAAGAGGAGGATGTTTTAATGAATTAAGCATATTATGTTACAATTCATTCATAATAAGAGTTCAGATTTCTGACAGACTTGGCATAGCAAATGTAATCAGGCCATTGGACAATAAATCCTTTTATTTTCAAAATTTCTTACACAAAGTTACTAAAAATAGAGAGGATAAATAAGTGCACTATGTATAAAGATTTCCGGCGTTGGCCCTCCTCAAGGTGTTATCAATTTCATCGTTACTATGCACAGTAATCTGAGTGAGGGACCCATTGTTCGGATTGGTCATTTTCAAGGAGTTTGTTTCTTCGTGAACTGCTCGAAGCTCGTAGAGAGACCTGCTGTCAGACACATCCAGTTGTGGGGTGGCATAAATTGGCTTACGTTTCCTCGCAAAGCCACTCTTATCACTTCTAAATACGACCATTTCCTCCGTCTCCTCACTTTGACGATGGTGCATAGTAGATCTATTTATCTGAGCCTTTTTGTACTCGTTTTGCACATGCTCGCAAAACTCCCCAAATGATTCCGCGTCCAAATAGTCAGATATTCTCTTCAGAAAAAACCAATCCGCATAACCAATTTTTGAACAAATGTATTTTATTTGGGGATGGTGTTTTTTCATGGTTCTGTTAAGAATGAGATACACTCTGGCTGTATGGAATGCAACATAGAATGACCTGTTGAAAGATATGACTAAATATTAAGTGCATATCTACATGCTTCGTTAACCAGAGGTATTGGAGTAATAACTAATTCATAAAAATATGTATAAAATATTCACCTATATACCAGCAATATGGTCCCCAATGAAAACAACAAGAGCAACCAGGCCCATAGTCCAAGAAATATCTTTTCGCTTATTATATTGCACGCAAGAATACACATGAGATCTAACCTTGTTCATCAGAATTACAATAATTAATTATTGTAATAACGTATGTAGTCTGTGATATGGATAAGAAATACTCACTTAACAATATTCCCCGATGGGCCAAACATTTGAAAATCGCATTTGCTAACTTTTGGGAAAATTATGTCTAGCGGACTCACTTCTTTTCGGTTAGAACTTGCCGAGTTTCTCCAATATTGAAAAAATTCCCACCCAAGCCTCCGAAACTGTCCCTGAAGAAACCAATCTATCGTCCAAAACGAACCCAAAACTAGGAGAAAGTTGAGCAATTCGCTGAAAAGGTAGGAGAGAGCATGTCCCTTGTTGTATCCCAAGCATCGTACAAAGTGTTCTGCTGAAGGATTTTTGGATGAAGGTTTGGAATCTGTGCAGAAACCAATTCATATAAACCAGAAATAATAAAGTTAGAAAGTACTTAGACGAACATGCACCTTGTTCATTTTGTCCTATGTTTAGGAAAGACTGCAGTTTCTGCTTTTCCCAAAATCTCCAGAGAAGGTATGGCAGACGGAAAATGACACCGAGAAAAAGGAGGATGAAAGGCACCCATTGAAAATAATGATGGAATTTCTGAGTAGTTTGCCCTTCAATGTGGGTCCCCACTCCATGGTGGGCGTATAATTGATTTGAATCGAGATCTGGAACCGTGTAAGTCCCAGTTATGAAGCAGTACTGAAAGAAAACGAACATGAAACCAATCCAATTCCAACGAAATATTGTGGGCACTACAAATAATTAAGTAGATTAACTTACTGTGGTGACGGCGGAAGTTCGCAAATCGGCGTCGTCATCGTCTTGCAAGCCGGGCAGTAGACATTTTATATGCGTTCCCAACAATTGTTGTACGAAAACCAGCCCAGATGATAAAACGAGGAAAATGAAGGTGACATGAGAGTGAAGTCTAAATACTGAATTTGTTAATAGAGTTTTATACAATTGTTGATTTTCTCTGGACGACGATCTACTTGGGAAAACCCCCTTCAATTTCCATAAAATGTTGGCTGCTTCCGACATCACTCAAGAAAAGGTACACTTGAAATTCGAGAAATATATTTTATTATGCACAAGAATAAATTCAACTCGTTTGTTATTAATTAATTGTGGGTGGCTCCATCACATCTTTAATTACTTTAAAATGCATCATTTTGTAAATAAATTTATTTGCAAGCAAATATTTATAGCGAGATTATATGTGTTTGTAAACGCTGTTGACAGTGATTTTATCATTTTTGCATTAAAATTGCTGTGAGCGTAGCATAAGTGCTTATACACACTGTTCGCATGCACTATGGATATGCATTACTCATGGTAATATGTATGAGGACGAACAATAATAATGCACATTTAACCTAAGTTATGCACTACTGCCCATTTAAAAGCACTGCATTAATCTAAATCATGGATCCAGTTGATATATGATTAATTGCTACATATGCGTAACTGCATGATGCAGATATGTCATTGCTCCCAAATTTCTGCATGCATTTATGTTTTAGCATTTCTCCGTATTTCATAATAACTGGAAACATGAAGGGAGGAGACAGCTGCGGAAATCTGTAAAAAGAAAGAAATGAGAATCGGAGTTGTTGCAGCTGACGCAGATTAAGCTTTCCATGTACGCAACTCGTATATGGAACATGGCTTACAAAAATGTTTCCCCCATTCGGGAAAATATATTAATTTCACAATTCTCCTTTCTTTAATATCCAAAATCCAACCCACCACCATTTCAAATTGACTTCAGTAACACTGCAATGACGCCAATCTGTCAACAGATTTACTCACATTTTGCCCATTAATTTTACGTCACTACATAATGACTAATACGAGTTACATATTCAACAATAACTTTTGAATTTGAACATGTACATTAGATTTTCACGTGCTCTAAAAAACTTGTACCTTCTTTATGCACATTCAATATTATATTCCCAAACTTCATGAGAAATGCAATGTCCATCACGTGTCGCAGGTAGCCAAGAAATTTTGTGAATAATGGACACGCTCTTGTTTCGGTTGTTGTGCATTGTGCACATCAGAATCAGAATGAATCGTACGAGACATGATACTGCAAAGAGACTAATCCGAAAGTGGGTGAAATTATGAGGACTTATGACTTCCATGCATGAGGTTTGTGTCCCTATGCTTCATCCCTTAATAGCGACATAACAAAGGAGGAGGAGAAAGTCAACTCGTATTCACGCAACTGTTGACTCAAAAATTACGAGTGGAAAAGGGATCCGATTATTAAATAATAAAAGCGATTAGCTTCACCAAGGGTGGGCTAACCCACGGCTATTCTGTTACAGATTTTGCCCACCGCACCGAATCCACCCCTTGCATTGTGCTCCTTAGGAATAATATCGCGTATTATTATACAACGAGAAGAGGCATTTTATGGATGGGTTGTCTCCTTTAATAAAACCGGAGCCAATTCTCCCCATAAAGTGAAACAATATAAACCATCAATATCGTTGTTGTTTGTATCAAGTAGTGTAGCTTAATTATGCCGTGTCACATGTCAATACGGAAATGGATTAAAAGAAAGTTTTTGACTGATATGTACGAGGCAGTGTCGAATGAAATTAGTTTGACAGCATTATTGGAGTTAACTATCTAGATTGGGCTAATAAATCTAATGCTAAACAATACTATCCACAATAAACTGAAATCTGGAATAGTGTATGTATTTAGAGATTATAGTTATGTATACTTAAAACTTATTCTGAAAATATGCAAAACTTGTTTGCAAATAGTACCTCTTGTATAATGATTTTCTTCACTCTAACATTTTCGCTAATGGCAACAAAAATTCGAAAGTGAATTTAAAGCTATGTATATCACGAAAAATCTTGTCAACCTTCCAGAGGTAATTTCTTCTACCTATGTATATTCCCTCAGCAGTTGTGGTAAACTATTGAAAACCGGATGAAAATCTTTTTAATAAATATGCATGTGTGGCATCACTCGCGTCAATGAGCATACCACAAATCTGATGGTCATCATATTTTTTAAAAGAACTGTTTAACTGTTCTATTTATTGGGCTTAAACTTGTTTCTCTTATGTACTTTATTATCACCTTTACTATTTGTTACTATTAAATTTACCCTATGTTCACATTTGTCTTGTGTAGTATTTCCTGACGACAGGGCAGTAATGAAATCCGAGGTATGCAGAAATCAACGATCGGTGTATACGGATTCGGAACTCTCGCCCGGGTATCATCATCATCAGCACACACATCAGTTTTCCCTGAAAACTCTCCCCAATTTCTTCCCCGGAACCAATGGGATTCCCTGCAGATGGAGACTTGGCCACAAGTGCCTCCCACCAAAAGGGAGAAAACCCTGCCCAGTCTAGTCCACTGAAAAGATCTTCTTCGGCATCAGGATTAATGCAGGGACAACTTTCTCCACAAATATGAAAAGTTCCTTTCTCTGCAGAAGCTGAGACGCAGTTGGGATGAACAACAGTCTTTTTTAGACAACGCTGACTCCAATAGTCTAAAAAATTACTGTTAGTAAATTCGTAAAATCATCGCCCAGCTAGTAAATTCACGCATAAATAAATAGCGCACCAGCAATAAATATTTTCAACTCGTGAAGAAGGGTTAAAGTATCTAAGATTATTATAACATTGGAGTAAAAGGTGCAAGTTCTAGGCCGGGATATTTATTTAATTTCCCATGAAATTTTCATGGCCTCGTTCAGTATTCCGAAGGCCAAGAAACACCGCGGAGATTGTTCACTGATCGTCAGAAACCGAAGCGGTGGTGACCCCTCAAAGTCACCTGCCACAGCCTCGCCCACTTCGACAACCGCCTACGACCTCGAACTCGCGACCTACCATCGCCACCTCCAAGTGCAAACGGCCAGCGCCCTCATGGGCCAGTTCTACAACGGAGAGTTGGCTACTCATCATCATCATCATCACTCGGCCGCTGCTTTGGCGTTGCGAGGAGGAGGAGGCACCAACAACGGTGGCGTTGGTGGGATCATCGGAGGACTGAGCTCGTCACCAGGTATTAAAACAGTCCACCATTTTCTATGTTGGAGAGCGGATGAAAGGACAGAGTGAATGCTTCCACTTTCTCCAGGATCTGCTGGGGTGAGTCTTTGGGGTGAAATGAGCCAGCAACGATCCGGTTATGTCAACCATCTTTCCACGTCACAACAAGACTCTGAGATGATCTCCATCCCCTGCGATATTCCACCATGGGGTCCACCCCCAGGAGCCCCAGCCAACCCCCCTAGCGGACGTGGTAACAGTCAACGGTACGATAAAAACAAGTTTCTGTGTGTTACCGTGTCTTGTACAACAATGGGGAAATTGAGATTTTTTAAAGTATAGATTTGGTCAGTCCAAGTCCTCATCGAAAAAGCCACGTCGTCGGGTAGCCACCGTTCAACAAAGACGAGCTGCAAATATTCGGGAACGAAGGCGCATGTTCAACTTAAATGAAGCGTTTGACCGTAATAAGCAGTCACTTTCATTGGGAGGAGGGGACCTACGTTTCACAGATTCTAAGGTTTTGATGCGCTTTAGAGATGTTGTAGTGCCCTATGAGTTTACTAAAACCCGGCAGTGGTTTTATTCCATGGCTCAATTTGCGGTCACACCCCCAAAGGGGCAAAAACCAAGAATGTCACCTTCTGTAATGGTTCAACACAAAATTCAATTTTATTCGGATTTTGAAAATTATTACACCATTGTGATCCCGGAAACCCAACATCAAACTCAACTGTTCTGAATTTTTTAATATTTTCTAAAATTTCCTGACCGTCGAATTTGTCTTTGAAAATATAGAAATGTTTGTTATTGTAAAGCAACTATTTAGGACATCTAGTACAAGAGTTTTCAAAATCAGAGAAAAATTGGAGTTTTGTGGAAGTTTAAACGAGTGAAAGCATCGGCACTTTTTATAGCGTTTTCACCCCTGTAAGTGAGTGTAGCAGACGCAAATGGTATCATGCAATAAAACCACTTCAGGGATTTAGTAGACTCATAAGGCATAGCATACCTAAAGCGTATCAAAATATATTGGTAAAAGATAGAGGACCCCCTCCTCCTTACTTTTTTATGTTATCTGCAATCTAACTGAATTTGAATTTCATTCGATTCTGTATCTGTGCAGGTCTTCGACGAAAGGTAAATATACAAGTTTTGTGAGTTTTTTTTTCTAGCGTATAATCACCCCACCATTGACAGGTTCCAACGTTTGCGTACGAAAAGCGTCTCTCCCGAATTGAAACCCTAAGGCTGGCCATCACATATATTGGTAACTTTTCAACCGTTCTTCGCAATATATATGCTTTATTACCAATAATTAGTACCACCCTTCATTGTGGTGTAAGAAAAATAAAGTAGTTGATCAATGACGACCAAAGAGTGTTTCGGTTTGAGCGGTATGACACAATATGCAATAAGTTATTCATTGGCGTGTTTTAGGGTTTATGCGGGATCTTATGGCGACGGGACCATCGGATGAGGGGAACAATAATAATGGCTCGTCAGCACCCATCACTACCACGAACGGGGGCAATCACTCCTCCCACAAGAAGGGGGAAAGAGGGACCCATTCCCACTCACACATGAACAATCATTCCACTTCGGCAGGGAGTCAACAACCAGGCAAGACACATTCGTATTACTACGGACAAGTCCTCCAATAATTTATAAATGCAACTAAATATGAAGCAAGTTAACTTTTCTCATTGCGCAGCGCACTTTATGCCGGGATCTTCTTCTCATAACTCGCATTCCACTTCAAACAACACGAATCCAGGTCATGTGCAGGGTCACGGTCATAACAACCACCCTGGGCTGGGAGGACTTATGAATCCATTGATGATGGAGACCTGTCACAATCACCCCCCAGCCCCTCACCCTCCGTATGGGCGCATGTACCCCCATGCACAGCCTCACATCTACATTCCTTAGGTCAGCAGAACGCGACTACTAATTCATAATAATCATTCACAAAATGATCTGCTCCAATCTTGTCTTCCTTTAACAAATCGATTTCAATATCCAACTTTATAGTCATTTAGTACACAATTGCTAATTATTTTCTGCAGTGCATTCAAGTATACATAATTTTGTAAATATTATGCAGACAATAATGTAATCATGATAGTTGGAATGCACAATAATAAATATGTGAATTTTATCACTTTTGAAATATTATGACAAAATAAAGGGTTTTGTAATAAAATCAGTGTACATAATTTTCTTCTTGTAATTGTCGTTTTATTCGGATTAACAGAATTTACGTACTTCAGACAAAGTTTTGAAACTGGTATAAAATTAGTTCCTATAAAACCAATGAATAACGAGGAAAGGGGAGCTACACATTTGTATAATTGAGCTAAATAATGTAAATATACATATTGTGAGATTATGACATGTCGTAGTCTGCAACAGGTTTATCGTCATCATAATGGAATGATTAATTGTATAATATAATAATAAAACTGGGGAAACGCACATTTTCAGTAGTTTATTGAGAATTGACTGAAAGATAAACAAAAACAATTGACACCTGAATTGAACAAAAAACACCGTACACCCGGCTGGCATTAAATCTGTAACAATTTGGACTTGAAAGAATTATGATGCGCTTAAGCTATTTTGAATTTAAGCAGGTGGGCAAACAAATTGCGAAACAGCAACAATTAAACACAATACTAGACTAATACTAGACAAACACTGAACCAAATTAAATCCACTACATACACATGCTACCATAAAGATACAACAAATTTGCGATAAAATCATTAAACAAAATTGTAAAAATCATAACGCATGCATACAAATTCATGAAAGAGAGAGTGAACTGAGCAGGCAGACAATAATTAGTAATGTACATAAAATATTAAACGTTTCCTAAAACCTAAATATATTATGGAGTTAATATTTTGAACAACAGCACATGTATGTAGGACATTCATGAAATTGTTCCAGACAAGGTTTGATAAATAATTATTTGATTATTATTAGTGTGCATATAAGCATATCCAAAAAAAGTATCAGTGCGTGCATGTTAAAACTTATCATGATATTAAAGTTGCAATTAGCTACCCGGATTGATTTGGTACTGTTTTCGGTGAGGCGTGTATTTTGTTCTTTGTTAAATATATCGTATCAGGTGAGGACTAAGAGTTATGTAGATTGTGTATTGCATAGCTGAATAAATATGTTACTATTATGCCAAACATCTTTAGTTGCGGCACAGGTAATAAAACCTGAGAAGGGATTGCGACAAGAGTTATGTACCATACTTGCTTAGATCAGTTACAATTGTGGATAATACGAATGAACAAACCCAAATCTTACGAAAGGTTTGCTCAAGCATTATACAACTATAATCAGAGGAGAAACTCCATAATCTATGTACCAGTGTAGTAATACATATACTAAACCCCATACCCGCACAGTTTACCTATATAAAGATATATGTATGTATGTAAGGTCTCACAGAAGTCACAGTCAGTTTGGTACACACGGTATGATTCGAATGGATGAGATATCTTAAACAGCTTAGGGTCCGTAATGTTAATCTATTATAGTCAAATCTATTGTAGTCAGCTTGTCGATTAGGCCAACTATGTATGTATGCATATACATATGTACATACATATAAATTGTATTCACATTAAGGCTTTTGTTCTTCCGGAAATAATAGCAAGATGACAAAAACATCCAAGTAGTAGTGCTTCTACTGAATGAGTCATTTCACCCTTCATCGTCAGATCAGTTTCAGAACTTATTCAATTCAAAGCATATTGAAATGTTAATAAGGCGTTCATCTCAAACTTAAAATTATTTCTCACTTATTTTCATTATTAGAAGTGCTAGAGGATGAGCTAGAACTGGAGCTGCTAGATGACGATGAAGACGATGACGAAGACGACGACGACGAGTCTTCATCATCAGATTTGTGTATTTCCTTGTCCAAGTTGTTCCCAAGGTTGTGGATACCTAATTCAGGTGGTCCACCAATGGGAACCGCTTCATCACTATGAGAAGGTAATACCAACTGAGGCGACACGACTTCGTCAATTGTGTTTTCGTCATCGTCGCCATCATCGCCATCGTTAGCAACTTCAGTCCCACCCATCGCCGGTTTTGTAATTATTCCATTTAGAATTTCATCAGCACCATTTACAACAATCCCACGTTTGAGCTTCAATAACTCTTCAGTTGTTAAACTTCCTACCGCTGCTCGCGGTAGTGGTTGACTATGGACATTGTCATTGATTTCCTCATCCTCTTGGTCAACTTCTTCTTCATCGTCCTCTTCCCCATCCTCCTCTTCATCGTCTTCTCCGTCACCTTCAAACCCAGCCACACTGGTTTCCGTCTTTTGTCTCAGAAACTGAGTCACATCCATAAACTGGCATTTAGTGACGTCCATTCCCATCTGATTCGGAGTACTATAAATGTTTTTACAAAAAAAATTAAGTTTATTAAGCGACTCTTTCAAATAAGATCCTGTCCACCACTGGACAGCGAAATATCGTCCCGTCCGGTGGGAAAGTCCCTGGACTCATAATTATATTAAACTATTTTTAAATTTCATCATTTTTGATTAGTTTTGTTTGCACAAAATTTAGCATTATGGTAATGAATTTATTTATTTGCCCTCCCAAGCTTGCACACTACTGTTAATGATTCGTGTTTATGGACTTTTTGTACTTACTGAGTCACATCCATTGGTTCTTGATCCTCTAAACGAAAATCAGGCTCAGGGTCCCTTCCGTTGCTTATTATTGTTGCGTGAGGTAGAGCTGTAATTATTAAACGACGACGACTGTTAGGTACATTTTGTGTATCCTCAGCCAGAAAATTATGGGCTATCAATTATGTCACAAAATAATAATAATTATTTAATACCTGGCTCGTTAGGTTTATTAATTTTTCTACCAATACTGGTAGTAATCCCTTCAATCTGATCCTGGCCACCTTCTGCTGCACTAAAGATTCCTTCCCCATTCACTATTGTAGAATTTGCGTTTTTCTCTCCATTTACTTTGGGCTGATTGAGGGGTCGCACTTGAACTTGCATCTGCATTTGTAGTGGGTTGCTTTTGCTTGGATTGTCATGAGTAGATTTTTGCATGTAATAGCGCACCAAAGCCAACTTTTCTAAAGTATCATCGCCCATTGGAGGGGAGGTCGTGTTGTACATATACAGAGACTTGGGGTTAAACGTTGAAGGCAGTGTTAATGTGCAGAGATTTGATGGTATTTGGAGAAGATGGGATGCAACTTCGGCTAAAGGATAAGCTTGAAAGAATAAGCTGCGCCACCACTCCAAAGGATCAGTGCTGTCAACATTACTCCACAATTCTTCCTCCACTGAAAAGTCGCCAACCTTATTTCGATAGTCAGATAATTGTGGTAAAGCAGCTTCAGCCTATACAATAAAATGAAGGAATGTACAATTAATATATGATCATCATGAGAAATTAATAATCTCTTCATCCGCGATTACAGTTTGTAATCGAAAGCTTGGACAAACAAATAAATTTCCATAATAGCATCCATGCAATCCGTTGAAGAAGTATACATTTATAATAAATTCGTACGTTAATTAATTACCTGAAAACCACTAAACGTCTCACAAAAAAAGTGTATAAATTCGGCAGCCTCTTCTTCTTCGTTAGATGTAAGAACGTTCCGATTTTGTGGATTTAGCAAACATGCGGCAAGGTGCAGTTCGTTCATGCAGAGGCGTCTCACGATGTTCAATTGTGTTTTGAGAGATTCTTTCTCGAGTTGGTCAAGTACCATAATATTATCGACATTGGAAGCAAATGCTTCTTTCAGCTCGCGTAATATCACCGGAATTTGGCCAATACAGCTCCCACCCTCGACCGTTTTAATCCAATTTGACAGAGGCACTATTAAGTTAGTGACAGAGGTCAACGAGCTCCAGAACTCGGGGCTGGCGAGGTCCATACTACCCTCAGTTGGGCTTAAATTCAGATCTTCTTTTTCGTTTCGACAAAATTCTTCTTTGGATTCTAAGAATATAATCCAGTTTTGTTGTTATTCAAAGTCGGATTTATAAATTAAAATACTATGCTAATGCCTTTATGTTAGTAAATTATGTCAATTTTCACCTTGAATTAAAGCTTGGAAAGCCTCCTTCTGTGATACTAATAAGGCAACACATTTCACTAACGAGGCCCATGAACTGCGACTTGAAAATTTGAACGCAGGGACGGGAGCTAACTTTAGCTCTCTTTGTATTTCTACCAAAAAAAATCAGAGAAATAAATAACTTTGTCATTGAACATGAATTAATTACACAATTAAAGAAATTACTGCACTCATACAGTAACCTAGTCTAACCTTGAAAGCGTTTCTTCAGTTCTGGATTGCTCTTGGTCTCACTATAATTAGACAATCATAATATTTAATCCTTTATTGTAATTACATAACGAGTAATAATAATGACGACTCATAAGTAGTATGCATGCATGTATATGAGTTGCAATGTAGGAGATAACAGATAATCAAATAACTACATACATACCTAACCAAACTTTTTCCTTTAAGGCAAAGTTTGTGAATTCGATCTAGTCCGAGGATATAATTTAAAAGAGAATTGAGCCCTTGTGAAATGCATCCATACGTAATAAGACCAGGATAAAGGAATCGGAGGGAATCCCAGGTTTTGGAAACACCTTGATGGTCAAGGGAGCATCCACCAACAAATGCAAGGACTTTCTGTGGACCTACATCAAAATATTTGTTTCAATAAAAATAAACAACAATCTACACAATTATGACACCGCTAATACTATCAATAAACCACACCTAACAAACAAAAACAAACCTATTGCATCCAAGGTAGACGAAAACTTTCCGGTGTCAATTTCTTGTCCTGTTTCTAAGCGAATTACACGGTAAAGCGAAGGCATTGTTGAGCAATTAATGAAAAAGCTCAGAAAAGTGGCCCCATCCAACTCTTTGAGTTCTAAACAGTGGACCGTGACAAAATTTAGAGACTCAATGGAATGTTCCAACTTCTTTTTAATAGTTGTATATTCCGCCTTGAGCAGCGAGTTGGAAACTGCGTCGGTGGTTGGGAGGGTTAGACCTGGACGGATTTTTTTGAAGGCTGCTTTCCAATGTTCATTCTAAAGCAACAAATAAATAAGTTAAATTAAGTTCGATAATGGTGAATGGATACTTTGACAAGAGAAAATGACACATTGATAGAATTGTCAAAGTTTTACCTCAAACAAGGAAAGTGGACATCCGGTAGAATAAACAGCTCGAGCTACAAATAACAAGAACGTCTTGAATAACGTCTTGCAGGGTATTTATATAATTACAAATAATCATAACCAAATGTTACCTAGAAGATTCCAGACTTCTACCTGAAAATCGATCAAAAGAAATCAAAATATTTCTTGGCCTGCATCCTTCACATGCAATAAATTTCATATCTACATATAGTATGTATGGGTTTGACTAGACTTTGAACTTACCAACTCTTTATGATTGAAAGTTTTTGGGAAGGCCTCCACTCCCACTGGAACAGGAGTTACAGCAAGGCCACCAACATTACCACCACTGCTAACTTTTGCTAAAACAACGTTAGTCCTTCCAACGCTATTGGTACCCCCATTCCCTTGATGCGCTCTTCTTTGGTTACTGATTGCTGTACTTGTAGGCACCATGTGTTTCGCTAAAAGCAACAATAAATATTAAATAGTTGCGACATTTTTTATGGGATATACATATATGTATTTATACGCTATAAATGAGGTATGAACTGTATATGAAGAAACTAACCCTTAATATGAATTCCTCCAGTTTGAGGACTTTGCACTCTTTGAGCTCCTCTTTTGGCGTTTGATTGCTGCAAATAAAGCTGATTCTGATGTTGTTGCTGCTGCTGCTGCCTTTGTTTTTGTTGCTGGGCTTGGACGTATTTGGTAAGATTATGATTGCTCAAATTGTTGTTGTTATTATTATTATTATTCGCCATTAGGCTCCGGACTTGATTTGCATTCAGCGTAATGACGTTATTATTATCCAACTTTGGCTTCTTATTTGATTGTTGACGAGGGGATGAGGGCACCAGATCAGACACAAGAGTTCCTCCAGCACGTTTTATCACTAGACTTGTCCCGCTCCCTCCTGAACTGGAGGTTGCGGTGTAGTAATTGTTTCCTGGGGAAGGACGCTGAGATTTTTGGTGATAGTTTACATTGACCGGAGTTTCTGGACGACTTTCTAATTTTAAATCAGAAAATTTTGTTTAACTAAAAGTGTACAATTCGTTAGGAATATAATGAAATATACATAACGTTCAAATCTTACCAATAGAACTGTTATCACTGCTCAAAGAAGGTGAAGGCCTCGAGTTGGCGACAGCCCCACCAGCACCTAAATTATTGTTGTACTCCTGAGCCACACCCGGAGGAACTTTGGCGTAGGCTAGACGAACTTGATGTGGTACTTTTTGACACTGGGTTACAATGTGGCTCTCCTGTATGGTTACAATAATGCTGTTATTTGAACTGCATTAAAAAATGTTGGTATTAATAAGAGTCTGCTCGTTTACCATCTTTGTAGCATTTTGTAAATATTGCCGGTCACAAAATTTGCACATGAAGATACTTTTGTTAGCCTTGTTCTTCATTGCCAAGATTTGGAAGCAGGAATAAATGTCAGACTTCTTCTTCCCCATTTTGTCCTAGTTTTTTGTACCAATTTGGTTTAAAGCTTTTCAGTGAATATGATGTAAGATGACACCACACTAGTCACTACTACGGATAACTATAGTAGATGGTACGCTGAGGATTAAAAAAATATGAAATAAATAAAATAAACAAATCAATAAATAAGTTCATAACTTACCAGCAGGGGATGGTATTTTCCTAAAGTTTTAAAAAGTTTAGGCCAACCAAAACACCACGACCCATACACCACCCTTTAACAAGGAATGCAGATGTCTTGTTTCTCGCTTACATTATGTCAATCTAATTGTGTAATCACCGAGAAATTATATAAAAACGAAAAGTAGAGGTCACATTCCAAAATTTCCTATCTTTCCGTCCAGCCAACCACCAAGTAAACCAACATCACCTACACCAACCAGAAACTTATGTTGTGTGAAATAACTTTCGTTCGACTACATAAATGTTAAGAATTTCGACATTTCTGTCAGAGTGTGTTGTCGGTGGTGGTTTTGAAGGAAGTAAAAATGGCTAATTTTTGGGTAGTGACCTTGGTCGTGTAGTGGCAATGGTGCATAAAAAAGTCCGGGGGGATGTATACGAATGTTTCCTCAGGAAACTTAGTTTTTCTTTCCCCAACTTCAACTCGACCACCACCAATCCAACCCAATCCAACCACCACCGCCAGTGCCACTAATAATTTTACGACATCCACGCACAACGTCCGAAATTCATTTAAAAATACTTTAAGCAGATCACAACCTAATTCTAAGGTTCCAGCAATTGAAGGGTCAAGAACAGGAGAACAAGATTTCCTGTAACTATTTCACATGCAAACCAGAAAATGTGAGACGATCTGATAAACGTCCTCAAACCTAAACTAAAAAACAAACTATAGGATAATCATGTAAGAATATGAATATAGTTTTTCCCTACCAATTTTCATCAAAACTTATGCCACAAGGCACAAGACATTGGGTTTAACGGGAGAGTTAAATAGCACAAGTCAATTTATGCAAAATTCATATGAAGACCTGAGCAATAAAAGCAATATATTATATTGCAACTCCTGTCATTTGTATGCATTTTGCTAAGTGCATTTTACTATAAAGTGTTTATTCTCAAACCTATCGCAAAGAACGCTTTGCGCATATTTTCAAGAGCGTAATAATGTCGAGATGATTAGATTAACAACGATTGAAATTGTAGAGATGAGTCGATTACTTCTGCATTCCAACATTGCCTAAACTCAATAGTTTTTTCATGATTTTTTTACTCTAAAGCTTTTTACTCTTAATACACAAAATTACTACAGCATTGCACCCAGTCGGATTCATTTTCAAGCTTTTTCATAAAAATCTTATTTTTCTGGAATAATCAGAAACGTTGTTGATGATTTATCCCTGCGTATCAAAGCAATGAACTCGGTTCATTTAAAGACAGACAGTTCACTCATATGTTTGTCAATCACACCAAGATATACTACACTACAAAGACTTTTGATTCAAAGTGTATAGGTTTGTATTAATCGGCGAATTCTGCAACAGTTAACTCGAACTTTATTTGTCCTCCGACAACAAGTTGTACGATTTTGTCTTCCACGAGCACAACTTTTAGAAAGAAAGTTAGTGTAAGGACGTATTCACTTATTGAGGGTAAGGTAATATAGTATTAAGTATTACCTGCATGCCGGTTCGGGGAATTTTCAAGTTTTACATACAATTTTTAAGTTTGCTTCCGAAACATTTCAGAAAAATGTCGAGTGGGGATGATGAGGACCAAGCGGCTCGTCGAGTTCGGACGATGCAAGACCTTCTACGCTTCTGTACCCAGGGCACCGTCTCGGAGGACGCCCCTGCACCTTCCCCCCTCGACCCCGAGAGAGCGGCGTGGCTCCAAAATGCACTCAAGGCCTTCAGTGTCGACATTGTCCAGGAAATGCTCCAAGCAATTTCCAATATCAAGAAGGAATTGCAAGTGTTGAGCCAAAGTGATGCTGACTTTAACAGGTGGGTGACACACAAGCAGTGAAAGGCGTCAATAGGGTCGGTCCACGTCAATACCCACGATCGGGTGAGAGTCATGAGAGCGGAGATGTTGTCTCTCCACTCCGAGCGACACTACTGATGGTGGTGCTCACCAGCAGTGGGCGTAGCACGTACTAACGTTTTAAATGTAGACGCGGTCAGTGCTACATTTTTTTAGTCACATGTTTTTTAACTCAGCGTTAAAAATAATCTTGACTGGTATGGCATTCGAATTTTGTCACTTAAAGTTTTGTTTACGCCTCTTGTTTTCTGATAATTTTTGGGAATATTCCCATACATATGCTTGCATGTGTTAATGTGTGTCAGAAAAATCGATATAATTTTTTGCACCCTGTCGTGTGCGACCTAATTTTTTTTATGGTGGATTAGAAATTTAAAATTACGTTATAATTTATGAAATTTGGGTTGCACACGACAGGGTGCAAAAAGTTATAGCGTTTTGAAGTTACCATTACAAGATGGCTAGAATTCAAATTTTTCAAATTTTTTAAATTTTAGAATTTAGTTTATAGTGCCTACAACAACTTTTAGGTTTAGGTAAACCTTCCCAAAATTACGTGACACCCAGTGCATCAAATGCAAAATTTTTCTTATATTTTTTACAAATTTAAATTCTCGGCCAATTTCTAACATAGAATTTTTATTTTTTCACTAGTAACTTTATTTAAGTCGTACGTATTTATGGTAAAATTAGCCCTAAAATCTGAGACGTGGCCCGCAACACATGATTGACATTGATGTGGACCGACCCAATAACGTCTTCAAATAGTCCAAAAATTACATACTTTTTGCAATCATGTCAGGGGTCAGGATTCTTCCATATATTCTATCGTGTCATCGGTAGATACATTGATTGAGCGTACTGAAGATTTAGACATTGCTGCAGACTTTGATAAGATTGGAGGATTCGACATTATTCCGCCACTCCTTGACTCTGGGTATTCTCAACTACAAATTAAGGGGTGTGAACTTGTGGGCGAGCTTGTGCAAAATCATGAACCCTGCCAGGCAGCAGCTCTGAGACATGGCGTTTTGGAAATGCTCATTAAACTATTGGATGAATCAACCGAGACAGTGAAACCAAAAGCATTGTTTGCCTGTTCGTGCCTTATCCGGTCTAACTTGGAAGCACTGAATATATTTGTTAATAAATTAGATGGGTATGTGTAACCTATTTTTTATACAAATATGTATGTAATCATAAATATGTGTTTTATAGAGATGTTTTTGGTCCCTTAATTTGCAGATTTTCAGTTTTGTTAAGAGCCATGCAAACTTCTGGTGAGCAAGCAGAGAGGCTTCGCACTAAAGCTTCATTTCTTCTCAGTTTAATCATTGGAGGACATTCTGACTTTAAGGAAATATTGTTAAGGATGGGGTTTATTGAGCAAATGGTTGCACTGTTGCATCAAGAATGGGATCAGAGCCATGAACATTTACTATCAAGTCTGCTAAACTTTATGACGGACTTTCCCCAGGCTGCGGAGGAGGCCTTACGCCCTCAGCTAAAATTCAGAGCACTCCTTAATCAAAAATTAGTTAGAACACAGGGAAAACCCGAGTTTCAAGAGGAGGAGGGATATTGTAAAGCTATTTTTAATTTACTGTCCGATTCTGCCAGCGATACTGGTATAACGACAGAAATGGAAAGATGAGAAACTCTCAGTACAGCTTTGCTTAGCCCGGACCAGGGTTGATTACTGTTTTGCACCCTGGTTTTGCACTATTTACAAGCGTTAATTCTTCGTATTATTTTTGATCTTTGTTACTTTTTATTAAAATGTTGTCATATTACAATGTTCAGTGTTGTTTGACTTTAATAAAAATTCCCTAGTAGCTTATCGAAGTTATCACTACAAAAATTAAAACGTTTGGAATATCTGTTCCAAATTTCTGTTTTCCAAGTTAGTTTCTGAAAATCGATGGAGCTTACCCTCTCACCTTTACTTTCTATCCCCAGCTTAAACCTCCCTTGGGGCAATTATGCCGAATCTCAGTTTCTACAACTATTTCGAATAGTCTGCATCAAATCCTCCACTAATATGACCTCATCGGCCCAGATCTTTTTCGATCGAATCCTTGCATCCATCGACTCGTTGTCGTTGCATTGCTGGTACATGCTGGTGCCAAATTTGGCCAAAGTGTTTAAGGAAAGACGGACATTACGATTACATAAGCCTGGTTCGGGTTAAAAATAACATAAATGGATAATTATAAGCCTCACAATTTTTGTGACGTCGCACCCAATCTGCATATGCAAAAAAACGAAACGTTTATTATATATTACAAAATCGTATTTTGTTAGGATTCCTTCTTATGCATTTTTCATTAGCTATTTATTTTTCAATGTATTTACAACAATATTGAATTCGCTGATTGTTGAAAATCCCATAACCCCCACAAACAGATGATTTTCTTCCTGATAATTATGGTCATGCTCAAGATTAAGCGTCACACTGGTTTGTTTGCCAACTTCTACAATGATTTCTCCATCGTGCACCACCCAATCCGGAGTTTCGTTTTTCCCCCAAGAGTACAATCCCCGAATGCTCCCTCGGACCAGCCCAATTCTTATGTTCAGCATCGTCTCGCTATTATTATTGACCTTGTAGTGAAAGTAGCGTCGTTCATCGTTTAGCACCACACTGGTCAGACTATAGCCTAATGGTGGACTTGTCGGTATGGAGCAAAATTCTAGGTTGGAACGGTAGAGGAATTCGGTCGAGAGGGAGTATGTGTACCCATTTTTTAGTACTCGACCTATCCCAATAAACAAACAATACGTATAAGATGAATTTTGTACCATAAATTGATTTACCAGGTTTGTTATGTGCGACTGCTAAAAGCTGTGAATCCGTCCAGCCAAATGCAGTTGCGACAGTAATGGTTTCCACTCCAGCTGCTAAGGTCTTGTTGGTAACTTCATCCAGGAGGTCAATTGTGGATCCATCCGTGTAGGAAAGCAGAATTTGAGGAACGCCTCCTTCCCGTTGCGAGGCGGACGAAAACATTTGAAAAGCGGAAGATATGCCAGCTCCAGTAAACGTATACCTTATGATATGCAATTATATAATATAAGAAATGATATGATATGAATGAATGAGTAATTACTGATGTGCCGGTCTTGTGGCATTCAATAATGCTTCCCTCAGCTCCTCCTCTGTCGAAAACTCGTTGTCCAGCTCAAAATTGACGACAACGTCATTGCTATACACGACGTGGCCAACTCGCAACTGGTCAAAGTTGAATAACCCTAATACGTCGGAAAAGTATGTGATGGCGTCAGTAAAATTGGAAGGATAAACAGAACACGAGGCGTCTTGAACGAAAACCAAGTCCGCAGGCGAGCTACACTTGAATAGTTTTGAAGATTCGTATGTTGATACGGTTTCCACGAAATCTGTCGCGTTTACAAAGGGATTGACATGCTCCTGATAAAACTGTGCTTGGTCTACCAACAGAGAAGCAAAGAATGGGGTCTCTACAGGAAATTCCTACACCCGTTTGTGAGAGATGACAAAAAGAGTTAAATGCAACTATTTACGAGTTATAATACCTACTTTTCCTACCCTTAAAGTGTTGATAAAGAGCTGGAAGGCTACACCACTGTGGAGAGAAATATCGAGGTGTTCCCACGTGACGAGATCCCATTCCCCAATTTCTTGGGGCCAGTGTTCTCGGACGCGATCCCTCAACAGGGTCAGCCCAGGATTCGTCTTGGTTTCGTTAAACTGCTCACGTGACAGCTGCCAAATTCCTCTAAACGTGGAAGGTGGTAGCGTGGGAACGGTCCCAAATTGAGACGCGACCAGGGCCACCCTGTGACCAAGAAAAAAGTCATCTTCAAACACTGCAGACTTGTAAATTTTCCTGGTCACAGCTAAAACCACGTCGGATCCAGTAAAATTTGGCAGCAAGGTGAGGTCTGTTGCTGCTCCTTGAGCCACACAGGCAATAAATACTAACATTGAAATAATTTTAATATTCGGCATGACGGAAGATTTTTCTGATATTAAGAACGTTCGAGTAAGAAAATGGGAATGAAACAGAGGAGGGTTGGATTAATCCAATTTATGCAAACATCAGATCGATACGTATGTCAAATCATTGCCAAGGGCGATCTCTCCGACATTGCATTGTCATCATTATTGGGCAGAAGGTCGCATGATTGCACTGATAACGACCCGGAATTATAAATCAAACCTGGAACCATATCCTGGATGGAGAAAGTGTATTGTACTATGTTAAATTATGTTAAATAATTAGTTTTTAGTGTTACACGACCTTGCCGTTTAATTCCCGTTCATTGGGTACTAACTGACCCAAAGATTGATTGCTATGTAACTCTTTGGTCAATTACATGGTATTAGAGAAAATTAGTGTATGGATTAAATAGTTGTTTCAAAAATCATTTCAGAACTAAATATTGTAAATTTTATCAAACTAAATGTGTATCTAAGTATTTTCACGTTGATCGGATAAGCCTACGCAACTTATTGCAAACCAGGCGGAAAGGCGGAGACACATGTACCGTACTGCCCCAACGACTCCACCCGACCTACATGACAAGGTCACTCCTTTTAGTGACCTTGTGCCCATCTTCGATTATTGCATATACTGGTACAAAATTTCAAATCGATAGCACGAGTTTAACGAGAATTATTGCATTTCGGAGAAACGGTCATGATTAGCGTACACACTTGATTGTATTGTATCTGTACTTAACGACTTGCTTGTATGTATCAAGTTGTATTTAATAGTTTTAGAATTTTTTATGTGTACCAACTTCATGTGTAATGTTCCCTGGTCTTATAATAAATTAATTTAATTTTGCAAGTAAACTAATAAAATAATCCCTCAGACCATCATTTTGTGTAACGCGTGCAAAATAAAGTATTTCCAGAGTTCAAGTATCTACACGTGTGGCACCAATTAAGTTATTACCTATGTTAAAATTAGTTTATCATGTAAAAATATACCACCCGATTCAGCGGAATTATGGTAATAATAATAAGATTGTTAGCTAATATGCACATGCAAAAACATTTCCTTCAAAACGGCCGACGTTAGCATTGCATATCACATTCCACTGCTTAATGTACATACACGTGTATTTCTAATGACCATAATATACCGACATGATGATTCGAATCTACGTCAGAATAATAAAATAATGAAATGAATGATGAGGCAAGTGGTTAACGACACTAATTGCATGCGGTTTGCAGTTAATTCAAAGTCAAACCTTTTATTAAATAATGACTCAATACCTAAAGGATCAACCCTTTACGCTTTCCTCGGTTGGCGAGTTTTCAGCTCAGGTGACAATACAAATGATCTATGTTTTACGACCTAAGAACGATCTCCGAAATCAGTATTTAAAATTAGGGCATGTATCTCCAAACCCTTGGTTATCCGTGCTGCAATACTGTAATTACTAGTACCTTCAAAAGGCAAAGTCATTTCAGTCTCTGTTCCGCAGCAGAGTGCGTTTGATATTCTTTTCACTTGAAGCTCATTGTCACCATGTTCAAAATTTACCATTTTATGTTTCTCGTGTTTGGGGGGTTGGCCATGGTGCGAGGTTCGCCCATAGCAGATGCCTCCAATGAGAACAAGCTGACGGTAAAAATCGATGGTCTGGGTGCCATCAGAGGGAAAAGTATGAAAACTGCTGAAACAATTGTTAGCCCTGGAAGGAACGTTGTGAGCTTCACAGGGATACCGTATGGCACCATCCCCAAGCGGTTTTCACCCGCCGAGTTGAGGGTCCCCTTGACGCCCTCGACTGAAGACGTGTTTGACGCAACGCAACCTCAGCTGGCGTGTTGGCAGGTGGCAAGCCCTCTCGTTCCTGGACCGTTTACAGAAGATTGTTTATCCCTTAACATTTATACGCCAAAGGTAACCACAACAAATGCAATATCTAAGATATACTTCTTACAAGATATAGAGGGTGACCTTCGTCGTGACGTCACCTTCGTTCTTGTTAGTAAACACATTTATAAACTAAAATAATATACATATGTATACATATGTATGTATAATATACATATGTATTTATATGGAAGAACTATATACATTACAACAGGTTTCACATGGAAATGGTCAGCCGACTTTACCAGTCATATTCTTTATTCATGGTAATCTTGCATTTAAATTTGTCCGGTTGTATGATCACTAAAGTGAATTTATATAAACAACATATTACGTACACATATTATCATAATTTTCTCCATTGTGTAAAATAAATATATGCACAGGCGGGTCATTCGTTCGCTGGTCCGGAAATATGTTTGATGGGCGTCGCCTATTAAATAAAGATGTCGTCGTTGTGACCATCAATTATCGATTGAACATTTTCGGTTTGTTAACAAATAAGCTTAACAAGTAAGCAGAGTTGGGAATCAATCCGGATTACTCAATGTTAAAGAATAGAGGGATTGGGGATTGGGGATTGGGATTGGCCATTTAAACACATTGACTAATCCGGATTGATTCCCAGCTCTGCAAGTAAGTTCATAATAAATCACTTTTTGGATCAACTTCCAGGCTTTTTCTGTTTGGAAAATGACCAGGGGCCAGGAAATTTGGGATTGTATGATCAAGTGCTTGCCCTCAACTGGGTAAAAAAATACATCGAGCATTTTGGTGGAGATCCAAACAAGATCACGATTGCTGGGCAGAGCGCAGGGGGTGCATCAGTCACGTTTCTTTTAGACAGTCCAATGACTTCAAACAATGGCTTGTATCACGCAGCTATCACCTCAAGCGGTATTAAATATGTTCAATAAGTCACTTTAATCAAATTTATGACAGTCTATAAATTTTATTACGAGTGACAATCCTATATGCAAATATATCTTCGTGATACAATAGCAAAGCTCCATCTCTGTGATAGGTGATGACCTAGCTGGTTGGACAATTCAGGCAAAGCCACGGAATGTGAGTTTAGAAGCTGCCGCAGTGATTGGAAAATGTTACAATAAAGATACAGCAAGCAATGACGATGAGACCCTTCAATGCTTAAGAGGCATTCCACCCGCAGACCTTATTTGGTTTAATTCCACCTTTAATGTATGTAACGCTTAAAATCAAACATCTTATAATTTCAAGCATTGTGTGGCATCATAACTCGCTTTTGGTAAAAATAATGATAACTTTGTAGGGTTTTGCTGCACCGTCTGTCCAAAGCTTTTCCTTATCCATCCCAAAAGTAACCCCTGTGAGTCCGTACGTAGCTCTAGCGACGAATGGGGCACAGTCGCAAGTACCTTTGATGATTGGATCAAACAAGAATGACGGTTCGATATTTTTGTCCAGAATCTATTCCTCCTTTCTTCTCCCCAATGGATTGGCCAATAATGCAACCTACTTAAAAACGCAGTTTGTCTCAGACTTACTCAGCTCCACAAATTTTGGTACTGACAGAGGGAATTTATTCATTTATGGCACAAATTATGTATGCCTTCCGAGTTTCGGATCCAAACATTTTTTTCAACTGTTTTGTAGGAATTGTTGACCGTCCCCTGGGGATCCTTGACACTGTGGTCAATACTTACTTGGGTAGCTCAAAAAATACTGGAGTGTTCAGTGACATCGCTCCCGGTCTTGTTGATGTATGTGTGAAGAATAATGTATAATATTGCGTTCTATTATTTGTTCTCGGATGATAACCGAGTCATTTTTCAATGTTAGATCTTCAGCGTGTTTTATTTTAAATCTGCTGTTTTTGCGACTGCCAAAGGACACTCCAAGTTCGCCGATACCTATGTCTACTCCTTCGACTACGAAGGGTATTAATGCTAATCAAAAATTATAGCAAATTGAGTGCTCAACTCATTATGAATGTATGCGTATAGAGTACAAACGCTGTATCCCTACACTGGAGGAGTCCCACAAGTTCCACGCGGTAGATACATATTCATAAGTAAAATAATAAAATAGCGCGAGGAATAAATTAGCTGAATAATGTGGTAACATTTTCAGGAGTTGCTCACATCGATGATCTAATGTACTTGTTCTTCTTTGGAGATTTCACGTCATTACAGGATAAGCTCATGTCAACGATGATGGTGGACTTTTGGACTAATTTTGCAACTACTAAGTACGTATTGTTTTACAAAATTTTTGAGCTCTCAAATTTTTGTCAAGGAAGGTGGTCACTTTTCTATAGGAATCCTAATGGGAAATCACCACTCGTAAAAAAATGGCCAAAGTTCACCGTGGACGGTGGAGAGTTTTTTAAAATAAACACAATTCCATCCGTCGGATCCGATTATGTTAACTACTGGGTGGATGCTACTGATTAGATCGATTAGTTTCTGAGGAATTAACATTTAATCAAGTGTTTTTCTCATTAATTAAAAAAATAAATTCTTGCAACAGTATTTTTTTACTTGCTATATTTATTTGCGGTGTTAAAACTAATTATTTAAAATAAGGCTCCTGCATATTTATTTCTCATATATATACAGATTAACAATCAATAAGTAATTTTGTACAATACAAACTTTACTGAAAATTATGAAATGATGCATTGATGCCTATTTAAACTCCGTTTCACGTTGAGTGATTTTACCGCCACAGGCAAGGAACATTAGAATCCCATGTTATTCTCGTGTGGCGGTAAAATCACTCAACGTGAGTTACGGAGTTTACTGTCTGCATAAATTGTATTAGTCAAGTGATGAAACTTTCATCATGAAAAATCAAAGGTGGTGAAATTACGGTGATAAATTAATCCTTGATAATCCGCTCATAATATATTTCTAGTCATGCACTCTTAAAAATAATGTTACCCTTTGGAAAGTAGTGAATTCTAAATTAAGTCCAGAGTAACCTATTGCACAGGGGTCGGTCCACGTCAATACCCACGATCGGGTGAGAGTCATGAGAGCGGAGATGTTGTCTCTCCACTCCGAGCGACACTACTGATGGTGGTGCTCACCAGCAGTGGGCGTAGCACGTACTAACGTTTTAAATGTAGACGCGGTCAGTGCTACATTTTTTTAGTCACATGTTTTTTAACTCAGCGTTAAAAATAATCTTGACTGGTATGGCATTCGAATTTTGTCACTTAAAGTTTTGTTTACGCCTCTTGTTTTCTGATAATTTTTGGGAATATTCCCATACATATGCTTGCATGTGTTAATGTGTGTCAGAAAAATCGATATAATTTTTTGCACCCTGTCGTGTGCGACCTAATTTTTTTTATGGTGGATTAGAAATTTAAAATTACGTTATAATTTATGAAATTTGGGTTGCACACGACAGGGTGCAAAAAGTTATAGCGTTTTGAAGTTACCATTACAAGATGGCTAGAATTCAAATTTTTCAAATTTTTTAAATTTTAGAATTTAGTTTATAGTGCCTACAACAACTTTTAGGTTTAGGTAAACCTTCCCAAAATTACGTGACACCCAGTGCATCAAATGCAAAATTTTTCTTATATTTTTTACAAATTTAAATTCTCGGCCAATTTCTAACATAGAATTTTTATTTTTTCACTAGTAACTTTATTTAAGTCGTACGTATTTATGGTAAAATTAGCCCTAAAATCTGAGACGTGGCCCGCAACACATGATTGACATTGACGTGGACCGACCCACAGTCCATGTGCACAGTAAAGATCTCTGTGGGACGTAGAAATACAAACTTAGGCCTCTTGATTTAGCATTGAGCTCACAGAGCGGGAGATTTCTACTTTGCAATAATAAAGAGCAAAGTTTAGTCTTAATTTTTGCATTTTTACATTTTTGCATTTTTGCATGCCCTATTGGGTAACAGTGAGTTTAGCATTATTTTTAAGAGTGTGACGCTACCAACAATAAGTTCTACGATGTTTCTATAGACACACCTCCTGCCTCGTTCTTGCATGTTGAGTTAGAGTACTGCAAATTAAAGCAATCGTGTTACAGTACTACAGTAAATTAGATAAAGTCTGTTGAAGAGGAACATGAATCTTAAACATTGTTTTAAAATGTGGACGAAGAATAAGAATTTTATGGCAGTAGTAGGGCTGCAGATTTGTATCTTGTTTGTAATTTTGCATTTATATGGTCCTTACAAATTAACTGTCCCTTCATTCTTTAGAAGTCCAAACAATGTGTCACAGATCACATACACCAACTGTAAGAATAATTTTTTCTCAAAACTTACTCATATATTCATACAAACTTTCCTTTCTTGGTCATGATGTCGGGATAAAATTAATTCAAGTTTGCATACACGTTCTGTACAAGATTTCAGCCAGGCTTTCCGACTCCGTGATCTTGGCCTGCTCATCAATACTACCAACTGTCGAATACCAGACTTTAGTCCATGGGAACCCGAAGTCATACCTTTTCTCAAAGAGGCCAACCTTATAGAAAATTGTTCCCAAAAATACCAAAACTGGTCTCACATGGATGAAGATAATCTTATTCTAGATCACAAAGAAATGTTGAAGACTAATTTTACTTTCGAGAAGAACTTGTCATGTTGTTACAAAGCCATTGAAAGAACTGCGCCAGGAACGCAATACAACGACTGGTCGGCGTCGTAAGTTATGTATTTAAAAAATTATTATTATTTTCCTTTGAATTGTTACATATGTATTTGCCTACGTTATGTAAAGATTTCAATTCGTGAATTTTATAGAGTATCAAACTGCACACCAATTAAATCGTCAAAGACCAAAATCTCAGCCGAATTCATAGTTGTCGAATGTTCCATTAAGAATAAAGGATCAAATGAACCTCCGAAATATCGCATGTGGCATGGAATAGCCACAACTTCCAATATCGAAAGGAAGCATTTGATAAAGAGAAAATTAGAATTCTGGAAGAAGCATAAAACAGAAACGAACTACCGACCACCAAACATTTTGATTATTGGACACGACTCCACGAGCCGACTCAATTTTCGGAGACAAATGCCAAAAACGTTGACTGTTCTCGAAAATCTGGGTGCTGTCGAGATGCTGGGCTACATGCGAGGTGTTCATTCATTCTAACGTTCACAATAAAAGATACCATTTTTCGTATCTTCACTGCACATATTGTGCGACCACGTAGTACGGTTGTTGATTTATATTTTGTTTGATACATAGTTGGCGAATCTACGTTCCCAAATTTTGTGGCTTCTCTCACCGGATATAACATAACGGAGTACACAGAATTATGCATGAAAAATGATATGTTGGATCAGGACGATTGTCCGTTTATATGGAGGCGCTTTGATGCTGCGAACTACCTCACTGCCCTTATCGAGGATGAACCCAACTGTGCGATTTTTCATTACAAAAAAGCAGGATTTTCTCGTCAACAAGTCGACTTTTACTCCAGACCAATGTTCTTGGATGCAACTAGGCAGCACCAGAAGGATAAGAACCCAAAATCCCAAATACTGTTCACAGCCCCTTGCATAAGCTATCAAACCAATGACGAAGCTATGCTAACCTACTTGGAGTCCATCATTGATTTTGGAGAAAAAAACTCTGTCCCCCTATTTCCAATCGCATTTGCAACGTATAATACCCACGGTGACTTAAATGGTCTCAAGTTGGCTGACGGAACGTACGCGTCCTTTCTCCAAAAGATGAAAACCAAGGGAACTTTGGATAACACTATCCTATTTGTGCTAGGGGACCATGGGGTAAGGTTTGGGAGCATGAAGAACACACTGACTGGAAGTTATGAAGAGAATCTTCCAAATTTGTGGATATTTCTGCCACATCGAATCAAAAAAAGATTCCCAGAGTGGGAAAATGCATTAAAAATCAACTCAAGGTGTGAATAGTTAAATTTCATCTTTTCAAAAATTCTGTCTTGCAAGGAAATCCAAATAATAAAGATATGCAAATTTAAATATATTTTTACAGACGCTTAACTTCGCCGTTTCACATGTACTGGACGCTCAACTATATCCTTGACAAGTTTACCCAAACGCCGCCGCCGCAAAACGAAGCTTTAACAATAAGTATTACTAACAATAGTAGCAAGCAACATAAAAACATTTCCAAAATTTTTCGTCGAAAATATCAACATCGTCATCTGTTTGAACCCGTCATACGAGACGCTTCATGTTCTGATGTTGGAGTGCCCGATGAGTTGTGCACTTGTCATTTCAAGAACTCGCTCGATCTTGGGGATCCGCTTTTGGAGAAAGCATCAAATGCCGCTCTGAATGAAACGAATGCAAAATTTCAGTCTACCAACTGTTCCAAACTAAAATTAGGAAATATTATCGGAGGCGCAATTATTGACCGACCGAAAAAGAAGATTGTGGTGGGATTTACAACTAACCCTGGCAATTTTTCAGTGGAAGCGGTGCTCAACTATGAAGAGAAAAAGCTTGGATTATCGCATATGCAGCGCACCGATAAAATTAACCAAAGTCATGTTTGGTGTGTAAATAATGCAAAGTTGGAACTCTTTTGTTACTGCAAAACTTAAAATATAGGCGGGGAAGATGGCAGCGCCACAGAAAATAAATAAAGTTTTTTTGTTGAAAGAGGGATACTTAAATAAGTAAGACTCGTTACAATAAGCCAAGTGACAAATGTTTGAATTTCATACAAACTATCTGCTTCTTCTCACTATTTCATTTTCATTTTCCTAAACTAATTGTAAATGCATAAATGCGTGAGTAATGTACATTAAAAGAATTAGTATGAAGGCCATAGATACACAATTAAAGTACTGAAAAGAATTTGGCATTGTTTTTTTCTGGGTTCAGTTGAAACCTGTTTCACTTTAAAGGGACACGTTGAAATTAAATTTCAGTCTGGCTCCAATGCTAAGTGAATGAGCAGGTTTTGGCGCCAAAAATTCCGGCCTCATCACCTGTGAAATGCATCCTTGTTTGTATTCTTCGGTCCTTTATACCTGAAATAATTTATAAGTACAATGGAGCATGGATGGATACAAGCAGGGTACAATTTTCTAAATTTCTTTGCGATTTATGTATGGACTTGCTGGGTATTAATGCATGCATATGATTTTATTAACGAATGTGGTGTGAATGTGGTCAATAGTGGTCATAGGTTTATTTAGGAAAAAACTTTCAGAATACTTCCGCGCGATCTTCCTAACAAATGTGAAATGGAAATTGAAAAAATGTATACTCCTAATAACTAAATAAATATACACATAAATTACTCATAAAGTTCAGGCATGGTGCTTATGAAGAACATTAACACGCGTGGCTTGGCAAATAGAAACATGGATTATAGTATAATATCATGATATTACACATAACGAAACAGAGTTAAATTATTTAAATAGTTCATTAAACACACCATGAAAGTGCTGGCAGCACTGTCCTGCACGAATTGATAAGATCAACATTGGGGGTCATCACAGTCAATAACTTATGTGGAATTTGTGCTACGTGATAAAAATGACACGTTGTGATAAATACTTGAATTGCGGTGAATTTTTGAAGCAGTCTATCAAGTAGAAACATGCGCCCGATTCAAATGGGATTGACTTTTCGGTTCCAATTAAACTCCGTTTCACCTTACATGGTATTACCGCCACACGAAAATAACATGGGATTCTCATTTTCTTTGCCTGTGGCGGTAATACCATGTAGAGTGAAACGGAGTTTAGATCTCATTTCTCGTAGTACTTTGTATGCTTTGATGGGCATTTTTTCCAAGTAGCAATGTTTAAATGGCAGTAGGAGGAACACAATTTAGGCCGCATGCATGACAAACAGACAGGTTTATAAACTGGTTTGGTGTTGCGAATTGAACAACGAGGTGTATATATTATAAATTGAAAAACTGGAATACAGAATAATGCATACCTACTCGAATATTCGTTGATTCTATGATATATCAGCAACCAAGGCTAAATAACCGATAATAATTTAACTTGCGCAATGACCTCGACTGTCATTTCGAGTATTGCGAGTTAGTTGGAATGGAATCAATCGTATTCAATCGTCCTGCCCTTCAGTGTTGTATTAAATATGCATTCGCATTTTGTATGCATGCACGCGTAACATGTTTTTTATCATCCAACAAAAATGCATCCGATGACGTGGAATTATTCTGGTGATGCTAGAAGCGGATAAATATTATAAAAATATTATGCACAACTAATATATTCTATTTATCTAGCTACGCTATATAAAATATAGCATAGCAATTTCAATACGCCTGCACTCTACATGTCATACCGGCATAATATTAAATTATACTATTAATATTATTATTACATCATTAATATTAAGTTATGCGTATACATACGTGGCCAAGTAGTTCAAGGTTAAAAATCCGTATACATTTGCAATTTCAAGAGTTATTTTTAATTTGTACGTACATATATTTTACTTACATTCGTTATTGTACAATATTAAATATATATACAATAACTGGAAATAGAATAAATGCATTTTGAAATTTGGACCCAAAGTTGTAACACTTATCTTGTCAACAAAATATTTAAGATGCTGAATTCACCGTTACAGATTTATTATTTAAATTTGATTACATTTTATGTACATATTTATGCATGCACGTTGTATATATATAAGTCAACGGTGGAGTTTAAGCGATATAATTATATAGAGTTATATATTCAATAATGGCGGCGCGTTTGCAACGGCGTCGTGATATATATAGCTTCAATTAACATTGTTCCATATCCACAGCGAAATCCCTTCCAGCATGCATGTTTGATGACTAGTTAGTAATTCGAAATTAAGCCTGGTAAATAGGTCTGTAATGTGAAAAGAATGCAAAACTTTGTAATTAAAAAATTTGTAATTAAATTCGTTTTACGTTCATTTCACTTAATTTAATTTTACGTAATTAATTATGCCGGAATTTCTAGCCGCTAAAATCACGTGCGCATTTACTTAACATTGGAAATTGGATTGGCGGCAATAGTGAAACAGGTTTTAAACCAAATGATGTTTATTTGAAGGGTTACATTAGATTTTATTCAAATGTGAGTACGGCATGGAATGTAGTATGTAGTCACCTTTAGTCTCATTATATGAGAGGATTTTTTTATTAAAACTTTAATTAAAAGACCAAAATAACATCAAACTCTACACAAAGTCCATATCGCACGACCGCTATTACTGACTTACTGTAATATATCTACATATGTAGGAATTAGTTTGAGGGTGTGTCAATGTAATATTTGCACTATCATGCCAAATTTCCAACTCTGAATTTTGCCAATTTCATCTTTTTGAATTTGTCCGCTTTATTTGATGCTTGAAACTATGTCAGACAGATATGTATGCATGTAATAAAAGAAATATCTGTATAGTTATTAGTTTGGTATTGTTAAATTCGAAAAGCCAGCAAGGTGCGATAAAATAGGCATTAACTATCCTCATACCTCTTGAAAAATTCTAGTCGCAGTGTTCTAGCATACACGTTTATATTTTACCTGCATTCAGCTTCTCATACATTAACTCTAAGGCAACCGTCTCCAGTGAACAGACCTTTGTGCTTTTACTTCAAGATTGCTTGACAATTTATCATAATACATGTAATTATTACTAAAGTTGTCAAGCAACCTTGCTTTTACTTATTGGTACTTGCAGCATATATTTACTATCACGATTGCTTGACTTTAAGTATCTAGGTAACGTTAGTCTCCCTTAACCTTATAAAAACTAATTAATTTTGACCTGGATACCATTTAAAAACGGAATTAAAAATGGTTTCTATTGCATTTGGGGGCGGATTTACTGGGGGGCAGAATACTATTGAGACCGACTTGTGGGGCGGTGATAAAATCAGTTGGGGACTGAATTAATGCAAACCGATTTTGAATATTCTACTGATGCAGTTATGATTTATTAGAGACCTGGAACTGATTCGACAACAAAAATTAGAACATAATACATTTTTAACATGAAATTGCAACTGAACCAAATGAACACACGATATTAATTTTGATAAAAAGATCGGATTTGATTTTGATAGTACTACAAAAATAAACTAAACGAATAAATCGTCATCATTCATGTCATCAATTTGATGACACTGATTTTGGGATGCATTTTATATTTTAAACAAGTTATTAGCTATAATTTTGTCCTTCAGTGTTCTGTGACTTGTTCCGATCGGTGGTGACACTATTGCGAATATATTAGCTAAAGAGAACGTTGTGATAATTTAAAAAAAATATGAACTGTATCATATTTACAACATGATACAGGTCAGAGGTCAACGCCGACCAATTTATTAGCGGCGCCAATGTTGGATAATTTTTCGGGGGCGCGGCGTGACCTCTGATGCACTTCCTCCGAGTTCCTCCCCCCACTACAACTACAACTCTAAACTCTAAAAAAATTAGTTCAGGCTTGAAGAAAAACCAACGACAAATAAGGAGGAAAGAATGGAACTGAGAAAATTTTCTCGGTCATTTTATTTTTATTTTTTCCTACACCTTATTGATGTAGCCCGGTCTCAACGGAATTCTGTAACCATACACCTTATTGGTGGAATCCGTCGCCAACGAGAAAAAGTTGGCCTACACCTTATTGGTGTAGTCCGTCGCTAAGGCGAAAAATTTGGCCTACACCTTATTGGTGTAGTCCGTCGCCAAGAGATCGAAATCGCCCTCCACCTTATTGGTGGAATCCGTTTTTAAAAGGTTAAGGGTAACTAGGCACTAAAAGTCAAGCAATCGTGATTTACTATTTCAGACAAGTAAAAAAAACGTTCGAGTCCTACTTATCTAATTTTTACGTGATATATCAAGTTCGCTGAAGCCAAGATGAAAATCATTATTGGTGACAAAATAGTGCGTCAAGGTGCCCATGGGATTTTGCACTTTGGGGAAGTGACTCGCTCCCAACTAGACGAGTCAACCTTGCTCGCCCGATGGAATGATAACTCCATTTCTGGTGATCCACTCTTGCCACGCTATAATAACCACAACAATGTATAAAGATTTAATTATAGAGCAAATAATATGACTTTGCATACAGTACATGAGTTTTCCACCGTTTCAGATTTGGCTGTATGACCGTACGCTGAAGAACGGTGACCGTGTCCGCCATCAAGGGAACGATGGTTCCGTCTGCTCAACCAAGAAACTGATTACCGTTCAACTCCTGGAACAACACCATCTCCACACTTATCGTGACCTGGATCGAGAGGTGGTTACAGAGGTGGACTATGTTGACCCTCCTTTCCCAAGTTCTGGCACAATCCTTCCCCAGCTGAATGAGCATACTTTGCAGCCCGTGTTGGTAAATAGGTCAATATGAGGAAATTTGGCCATTTGTATTTTTAGGCAAAGGGAGGTCCATAAATTATGTCAGCTGAGGAGGATGGGAGGGAAGGTAAAAGTTTGCGTGACAGGTCGATTTGCGTCACATGCGAAAATGGGGTGTAAGTAATGCGTGACAATTTTTGCATTTTTGCATTTTTGCGTGACATAATTTATGGACGTTCCCAAATGGCATTTTTTGTCATTAAATTTAAATATGTGCTTATTACGTTTGTATTATGCAATCATTATTTCTGCAGAAATTCCAAGTTGGGGACAGCATGATGCATAAAGGCTGGGTTGGAGTTGTCATAAATGGAAAAGTGTCTATCACTTATCGGTTTGCGAATAGTGGTAAAATGCGGATGACAAGTATTCGCGAATTGAGTGCTATGTCCGGCTCCAAGATTTATGTTGGCTTACAAGTGAAACAACTTGGAACACCAATACTGAAATCAGGTCCGGCAAATAATTTAAGATATATTTTCTTTACTTGCATGAAACTGTTTTGTCTCATTTGTCTGACAGTTATAAATTGGGTAACACAAATTTAGGAATATGGTCTGGAGGTTATCGTCCCTACAATCGATTAACTCATGGGAGACATCCCGCCACTGTGACCGATGTCCGGGTCATCTCCCTGCAGGTCATGTGGGTGGACAGGATTCTTCAACGTTCTTGTGACACTATCGCGACGACGAAGGCTGACGATGGAAATGTGGTGGAAGTTGACTCCGAACCGTCACCACCGCCACCTACTGAGCTGGAAGGAGAGTCAATTTTGTCCACAGTGTTCCGACTTGCTGACCCTTCTAAAGAGTTGGGCGTGGACTCAATTGTGACGGTCCGATGGGACGATCGGTTGCAAAAGAATGAACAGAGTTGGAGAAAGACTTTTCTTGACGACCTTTCTTTAGGCCCACAGAATGTCGCAACTTTCGCACGTATTGAAGATGATGAACCTTCCAGTAAAAAATTGAAAGCTGTTAAAACGGTATAATATAATTAACCAAAGAAAACCATAAGACCTATATTTTAATTTATGTCTATTCAACATATACTAAAAAGCTGCTTAATTGCAGCCTATTCCATTCTCTCGCTTGGATTGGGTAGCTTGCCGAGTGATTTTCTCTCAGACCATGGTCGACGTTCTGTTTGACGTACATGTCATTCAATTACACCATTTATAAGCATACCTTAAACTAGTAAAAAAACAATTGCTATACAATTTTTTATATGCAGGACAACAGTGTGCAATATTCAATTCCATCCTGGAAGATTACCGCCGTGCTTCCTCACCCAAGAATGGGCATCCCAGATATGCCGTATCCAGACATGGGTTACGAGTTGGGCGACGTTGTCAAGAACTTGGTCGACTTTGAGCATACTCATTACACCAAGTACGGCTTTGTGTTGAGAACGAATCCTCTCAAGAGGACGGTGGACGTGAATTGGGTCACCGTCCTTGAACTTGGGTTAGTAGTGCTCATTCAATTTTAATATGTAGTTTAAACCATAATAATTCTCTTGATATTTTACGGACCAGAAAATCCCCTCGAGTTCAAATTGAACTGAAGGAAATGTCTCAATACGATGTCCAACCAGTGAATTCCTACCTTTGGCTTAAAATGTGCCCACAGATCGTGCTGGCAAAGGGGATTTTTGAGGGAGTAATTTTAGAACAGAGTATCCCAGATGCAAAAATTGTGGTAAAATGTGCCGAGGGTCCTGTGAAATCCGTCTACCTTCATGAACTGACCTTTCTTCAGAAAAAGGTGTACCGTTCGCTTGCAGATGGAATCTATGAGGCTCGGTAAGTAATTAATTTGAAGAGCTAATGAAATTAAGCGGAACAGAGAGCGTAAAAATGAAATTGATATGATATGGCATGAATTGCACAATAGAACTCTTGAAATCCGACCAGACATTATTCCTTTCGTCGACTACTGTATCCCCAACGCGCACTCTGTATTTATTCACGAGGATGAAACGGTACAAAGAAAATATCGATTTTTTACCTCAGCCAGTGTTCCCAATGACCACACCTTCTACACCTCACGACCACAATTCCACATTCAAACTCGCACTAATGGAATAATAAACCATGAGGAGCTGAACAACCTCAACATCTTCAAAAACTATGTAGAGAGGGAGTTACAAGTTTTGAGGGGAGCAGTTTTGTCCTCCGGTAACAAATATTTAGTAGCATGATTTCTTTGTAATGAAAAATTGCTAATTAAAATTGATATTTTTTGCATTATTAATTATTGTGAAAATATATTATGTAGTGGATCAGACGGGGGAGTTCTGGCCCATATTTGTAGAACGAGTTGGAGCCAGCTCTGAACGCTGGGATCTGCTAACGATGGCAGTGATCGGTGCAGAAGGGACCGTTTACGAGGACATTCCATTCTTTCTGGATATTCATCTCCCATTTCGCTTCTGGGAGTGGGAAATCAGTCGCAACCCTGGATTACGGCCACTGGCATGCGCTCTTTAAATATTAATGAAATTATTTAATTACTGGATTAACTAATCCATTTTAGGTGGTTGTCCGTTTACCACGAGTTTATTTTCCCAATTGGATTCATCCCGCAATTTCAATGGAAAATTCGGCCTTGTCGTACCCAAATGAACTTCTTACTTCCTGGAAGCCTGGTAACGCTGAATCCGGAGATGTAATCGGGTTTCTTTTGAATGTTGCTCAGTATTTTTCAAGTGAGTCATATAAATCTCATTGCTTGTTTTACAAAGAGAAAATTTTGTTTGTGGCATTTTTATAATCAATTTTCAGAAACGATCCTCTGTGCTGAGCCACATCTCCAGCACACTACCGGCCAAGTTGTGAGCTTTTGTGGGGCTGGGCGAGGAAGTGGGAGGAATAGAAATGACGCCTCGATGACAGACTCTCCTCCTGCCCCACCGCATGAGAACAACAACAACAATTTTGAAACCGTGGCCAGTGTTGCGATGGACATGAGGAACGGCATAACGAAACATGAGATGGAAAGGTCACGAAATTTCAATGAAACGGCCAGCGTGGCCCTTATGGATCATCTGCACTCGCTCCTGTGTGCTCCACCCTCTTCTTGGAAAGAGTTTTTGGAGTGTCATTTTTACACAGCATTGCCAAGGTACGTGTGATATCTTAAATAATGGGAACAGTAAAGGTGTAGCTGCTATGCACTCAAAACAACAACGTCGTACGAATTAATTATGTTCATAGAATCAACGCTAGGATTACCGAACTGCTCAAGGCGCAATGGGCTCATGATGGTGATATTTTTTCACATACATAATTTATTCTTCTGCATCTATAAAAAACATTAACGACAGCTTTTATTGTAATTGAATGTACAGCTGAACGAGCGAAAAATGCAGCTGGTATTATTCAAGATGATGTATTCGTAGTGAACGAAGCTTTGGGAAGCAAGTACCTTATCCATCCTCTCAGCTACTCGTTCACCTTGGCCATGGGAAACAGGTTAAATAAACTTATCCACCCGTTTCTGCAAAGTGCCACTCTTCCTCAAACAAAAGTATAAATTCTGCTCATCAATAAGTTGTGCCTTGCATCGACCCGTGTACTACCTCATATCGATTAATATTTCTGGTATATTTGCCAATACTGTAGTAAAAAAAACATGAGCCAGTACATGTATCCCAGTTTAATTGATGCATCAATTTTACTGCGACAATTAAAAATAGATGACTAAATTGCTTAAACCGCACCAGAATATATATGTATGTAGAACATTCTTATTGCAGTTTACGAGTATAACAAAAGGAGGATGATGAAATCGATACAATCTGTTTGTATATGTACATGTTTTCCTTTTGTGCAAACTTGTGAGGATTTATTTTATTTGGCAATACCAACCATGCTTATTTGATATCCATCCATAATGTAATTAAATAACGTGGCCCTCAGTGATAATAGTTCCTAGAACTGCACTGGCGCATCATGTATTTACTGATCTCATAAGTAAGGTTCCAAACCAGATGATACCCAACTTGGGTAACCCAAGCGCGAATTTAGACAGATATGATATACGATTTTTTTGTTAAATCGTCGCAATTTACAAACATATCCTTGACTTTGTCGGATTACAAACCAGGGGCATTTAACTAGTTGGTGGAAGCAAAAAGTTGTCCAATAAAATGCGTGAAAGACATGATGTTATATTATGGAGTCTCATATATCCCCTAAATCTAGTCAACTACTTTTGGTCTTTTGTACTATTGATTTTAAACGATAAATAACTATTGCCTGACGATATAAAAGGAGTTGGCTTGTTTCAATAAACACAAAAATTCTGCGTACAACTTTACTGCAACTATTTACAGTTTGCTTCATATAAGGGTTTTATAAAGTCGTTTTCTCAGATCTGAAGATATTCATAAATATTTAATATCCTATTTTGCACGGTTTGAGAAATAATTTTTTTAAACAATTTATTGATAGAATCAATAAATAGGATCCTTATTGATTATTTTCAAGGCGTAAAATAAAGTCTTGCAAAAAAACCAAGGATCACATTATTGTTATATATTTTTAAATGAGAAACCCTTGGCCTTGTAGGGTAAGATGCATACATAAAAGGAATCAAATAAATGTAACGCAGAAAAACTTTATGCAAGCAGAGGAATAGGCTCATCATCGTCAGCGTCACCTGGTTGGGGACAAGTTCAAATTAGGCTTCAAAGAAGTAAATGGGCACGTGATTTTCGCGGCTAGAAATTCTGCCACCATGACCTATGAAATGCACTTTAAAAATATACATGACAGTTACTCGGATGCAACATGGTTTGCATTATTATTATATTTCAATAATTAAGCATTATTAATATATTTTTCGAAATTAGCTTTGGTTTTTACTTGTGTACTTATTTTCTAAGCCCACAACATGCATAAATACGTTATTATATAATTTCGTCCATCCAAATCAGCCGCCAACATATATGCACATATGCCAAAGTACGTAGATAAATAGTGGTCTGCCAAACATTGCTAATAAAGTTTGTTTGTGGAATAATTTTGCAGTTGATTTCGTATCTCGCACACCTGTTATTGAGCAAAAAAACATGTATATAAAACATGCAAAAAATATGGGCAAAAAATATCTGGGATCACATGGCATTAGACTTTCTATTTAGAACGCAATAATTTTAATGACCGTGGTTTGTGTCGTAGTTATTTACACTCACTGTTTGTTAAATACCTGTTGGAGTACGATATCCGATATCTAATCGGTTTCCAACTTCAAGATATGCATGCAATTTACTAACAAATTCATATTTGAAAAGTGCGGTAATGAGTGAATTACAAAGATGAGAAAAGGAAACTCATTGAAATTTTAAAGGCCAATTAAACAAAGAACAAGAAAAAATATGAGCTTTGCCGGATATTTTTGTGTTCTTGGTTTAATCGGCTTTTCAAAATTTTACGAGTTTCCCAATTTAATAACAATTTGACACATATCATTGAATCCCCACCCTGTATAAACAGGAAAGACTGCTTACTTACTTACGGTACTATATTTAACTACCAGGGACTCGTTGTATAAATACATCAAATTACACATAAAATTTCAATGCCCAAATATTTATTTCGTTACATAAATTCAGCTCAGCAAGAAAAATTAACCATCAAACTGAACCAACCGCTCATGCCAGTGTAGGGGAATAATATTTTGTTCAAGAACTCGATTCAACCAACATTCAGAGAAACTCGCGAGCAATAAGCAAATAGGTTGAACCAACTTTTAACTAAGCATGCAGACGTACGTATCGAATAAATTTATGTTGACGCGACAACATTCCACTAAGCGAAATGTACTGATTTTTTTGGCCAAAAGTCCTTAAGGGTTTCTTTAATGATATTTTTGCATATGCCGAACACTCACGGCCTCAGAACACGATAATAAAAAAATTGAGGAGCCACACCCACTTTGGGTGTGGCTTTTTCGTATTGCATATAGGGCCAAACGCCATACCAGAAACTGTTGCCCATGCGATTCTATACATACAGTAAAATTTTCATCGAAATCCGTCCACAGGGTCTCGAGATATTAGCTGGGAAACATCGGCGAAAGGCAAAAATCCACTACTTTGGGGGTGTGGTTCTCCGAATGGGGCAAATGAAGAAATTCGAAAACATGGCCAGCTGTTGAGACCATCAATGGCTATGAACTCCAATTTAAACGGAGCGATCGCATCCGCCCCTTTCCAAGATATCACCAATGGAAAATTGGGAACAATCATGGCGAAATTGTCGCAAACTAACGAAATTCATCATGTCGTAAACCAGTAAAAATTGATATCTAGCTTCAGCTAAACCAAAACAGAACGATGCTAGTGAAATTTGCCCATGTCGTTGGTGGATGGCGCCAACGTGTCGAAATTTCGACATGGGTCTGCAGCGATAAAATTTAAACTTGTTTTACCCAACACCTCAAAAGACATGCACAAACATTTTTTATCAAGTCGACATCCATTTATCACAATGGGAATGTTTAAATTTAAAACAAATGCCTCATAGTTTTAAAACTATAAAAAATGTTTGTGTCTTTTGAGGTGTTGGGTAAAACAAGTTTAAATTTTATCGCTGCAGACCCATGTCGAAATTTCGACACGTTGGCGCCATCCACCAACGACATGGGCAAATTTCACTAGCATCGTTCTGTTTTGGTTTAGCTGAAGCTAGATATCAATTTTTACTGGTTTACGACATGATGAATTTCGTTAGTTTGCGACAATTTCGCCATGATTGTTCCCAATTTTCCATTGGTGATATCTTGGAAAGGGGCGGATGCGATCGCTCCGTTTAAATTGGAGTTCATAGCCATTGATGGTCTCAACAGCTGGCCATGTTTTCGAATTTCTTCATTTGCCCCATTCGGAGAACCACACCCCCAAAGTAGTGGATTTTTGCCTTTCGCCGATGTTTCCCAGCTAATATCTCGAGACCCTGTGGACGGATTTCGATGAAAATTTTACTGTATGTATAGAATCGCATGGGCAACAGTTTCTGGTATGGCGTTTGGCCCTATATGCAATACGAAAAAGCCACACCCAAAGTGGGTGTGGCTCCTCAATTTTTTTATTATCGTGTTCTGAGGCCGTGAGTGTTCGGCATATGCAAAAATATCACTAAAGAAACCCTTAAGGACTTTTGGCCAAAAAATCAGTACATTTCGCTTAGTGCATTCTCCTCCTGTTAACCAAAACCAACATAACACGTAATACAGGAATATATTATACGTGTGTATGTCCACATGCATGCGTCGTCATCACCATTGGTCTTGCGTAATACTTGTACAAATAATTCATTTCCGACGAATGGGGGCTTCGGAACGGGAAAAAAAGTAGTGAGAAAAATCGGAAAAATCGGGAACTATATGTTTCCAATTTTTTAAAATTTTTCCAACGTACTGGAGAATTAGTAGGAATATTTTAAGGAAATTACGAGAGGATTGAGGCCGGATTGGAATATATTATTCTGGGTCTGGTGGTGGTGAGCGAGGAGGGTGTATAGAGTTCAAGCAGCAGTGAGTGGCTGAGTCTTGTGCTAAGCAACGAGGGGACACGGAACTCGCCTCAGCAGCACAACTTTTTTCACCACCACGAAAATACCAACTTGAGTTCTTTTTTACCAATATTTCAAATTTACTGACTGACATGAACTTGTTAATAATTCCAGAGGAAATTTAGTGGTAGTGCTCGCCTGATGTAGTGCAAGCTATATAACTTACCACATTATACAACAATTTTACTCGGTTGATATTTTATATCGCAGTGGTCTATTTATAGTATAGTTCAAGCTCTCGGTGGTTAGAGGGCTGAAGAAATTATCGGAATTTTGTGTCAATTTTCTCATGCGGAAGTACACGTGGACATGAGAGGATGACCATTTAGAACTAACTTATTTCCTGTGAATATATACTAAGTAATCCTGGTGGATCAGCTGAAGGTAAGACGACCGTATCACTATTATTTATTTTACTACTAGAAAAAATTGTGAAAAATCAAAAGATAAATCGTTTTAATAATTACACCAGAGTGAGCCTGAACCATGAGATAGAGATAGGCCAGATTTACTGATTCGTTTAATTGTATATGTATATAATAAAAGATAAGCTAGGGTAAAGATAAGTGGTTCGCTTGCAACTAGTTTGAGGTATGTAATTTGTGAAATAGATAATTAAAATATGGATACATGGGTTGATGTGTTAAAAAAATTATATAATGGGCATTCCGATTCAGAGGTATTGATGGTAGGCGCTAGGCAGGCAGGATGTTCATCATCAGCAGACACGTCATTTCCAAAAATTCAGGATTATTAGTTAGCTTGCACTTATCTCAAAGATGATAAGGTTGTCAGCCGGAATAGCAAAACAATGTAGATTACAACGCCATCTATTTTTATTATTGAGGAGTTGATGAATTGTAATTTGTGCAAATTTTTTATTGCATTGAAATAACGTGTTTATTCGTTTTTCCACCAGATGGCGGAATCCACTGGTGGTGACCTGCCGAAGACTGGGCCCAACGTTCCCCATGACACGCTTGGCACTGTGACCAGTAATTCTTCGGAGATTTGGCCGCAATGGGGAAGGTGTGTGGGGTGTTTTGAGACGGCGATGAAGAGCACGACCGACGGGGTCGAGAAGGATGCTCAAGAAGTGTACGGAGAGCGCGACTTTTTCATCCTCCCCTGCGCCCACCTCGTCTGCTCTCCCCAATGTTTGAAAGAGTGCGCCCGCACCCCCACCACGAGCGAAGAAGGTATGACTGCTAGTCTGTATTTCTAAATTTGGCGGTGCCATTAAAAAAGGACGAATCTGTGCGAACGTTTCTCAAGTATTCGACCTCACTGTATACATTAATTATAACATTAAAAATAGTACTTGTTTCCCGACCAGTTTTCGCATAGAACAAGTTATGCAAGGTAAATTGTAAATCCTCAATGGCAGAGTTGCATCAATGTCTAAATGGTTTCAATAAGATGAACCGCATTCTATTCAGCCATCTTGTATCATTATGAACGGTTGCATAGTTAGTGTGTGATGAGAGTTGTCAGTCTGGTTTTTTAACTGGATGACCATTTTCATACCGGTTTTTATGGATTTAGTTTTATGTCGGTTTTACTTCCTCTATGACTGATATACTCAGTTTAGAACATCACAATCAAATAATAATAGGTATATATATATAACAAAACAATCATATTATTTAAATTCATATTTATTCAAACTATGAAAAATATATCCATCTTGTTTTCTCAGTGACTATTCACATTCTGTCGCATATTCCCCTTCCACCTTTCCTAGGTTGATAGGGATTATAGCGTATAATTTTAGTACTGTGTGCTGCATACTATTACATTTATGTATTGCATAGTAAAAATCTCTGTAGGACGTAGAAAGACTATCTTACCTCATTTGCCGGGAAATAATGATCAAAACCTGGAATGGGATTTTTATCAAAACCGTTAAAATATGATTTTGCCTGTTATTCCCAAATTCAGATGCTGATGAAGAGAACTGTAACTCGAAATCGAGGTGCCCTGCATGTCTAATCATGTTTGTGGAAGCTGAAGTCATGCAGTCCAAGACAATCCGCCCGTTAGAGGTCATAGGCCGCGTTACCCCGCAATCTTTGAAATTGAAAAAGAAATGCCAAGGATGCATTCGACCTAATGCTCTTGCTGCCAAATTCTGTGAACAGTGCTTACTACCCTTATGCCAAATTTGTGTCAATGTATGTTTACGAATTAATTGCTCTTAAATTATTATATTTGTTCTTAAAAAGTGTTTTTAGCCCGAGCCAGGGTTCATGAAGGGATTAGCATGACGTAACTCTTTCGCAATTGCTAGTAAAGTTCGAAAAATAACAAGAAGATCATAAAGGATGGTTTCCCTATCTATCCACGTTGTAACTCACAAGCTATTTATAGCTATTCAATGAGGTTGAATATTCTGAAAGTTGACAGAAAGTTTAAATTTTTAAATTGGACAATTTGCAGTATGCATGATTGTAATGTAATGCAATTCTACCCTGGCTCTGACTTCTGGCTCTATTAATTTGCAATATGGGTTTGCATACCTGGGTTTAATTTAATTTGTTTATTTTTAAATATATATCTTTCAGCGTCACGCAGTAATGATTGACACAACTAACCACTCGGTCATAGATTCCCCCAATATTTTTGAACTAGTTTCAAGCTCTGAAGTTTGCGGTGGACATCCGAATTATAGGTTTACATCCTTCTGCAATACTTGTGATCTCCAATTGTGTCAAATGTGCAAGTTTGAAGGAAACCATGCTCAACATGACATTTGTGACTTGAAAGAATTTGCGCAAAAGACGATTACTGAACTAAAAACTCTGTACAAGGAGCATAGGTAAGTAGGAAAACAGTTACATTTTTAAATTCATTTCAAACGTCTTATCTATTTAGCGATAATACTTCATGTTATTTTGCAGCCAAATGGTTGATGGACTGAAAACTGCTCATCAGAATCTCTTGAAAAAAGTCAGTACGCTTGCGGAACAGACAACCAAAGTTAAAGCAGATACAGAAGTGTCCGTTAACCGGTAAGTAATAATTGCATTTAATTCAATTGAAATGTTGTGTTGACACAAGTGTGCTAATTATTAAATTTGTTTTGTGTTGTTCTTTAGTATCAAAAACTTAATCGATCAACAGGGACTTGATGTTACTGAGGACATTGTTGTTGCAGTTACTTTCAAAGTATTTCGAATTAACTTGCAAAACAAATGCTACAAGAGCCTAATTAGTCAAGCTCAAGTGTTTAAACTTCTGAGCAAGATATTTGATTTTGGATCTGGACCACTGGTCCAAGACAAATTTCAGGCTACCTATCAATTATACACGTAATAACAATATATACGCATATCTAGATATATATTTGTTACTTATTTATTGCATGCCAAACGTTGAAGACATTTTATTTTTAATTTTCCCCAAGATTCCTAGACTTTCTAAGATTCCTAAACATACTAAAAAGTCCAGGAATCTTGAATTTGGACGCATTAATATTGACGTTTGTTGTTTGTCACAGTTTAATGAAGCAGCAATTTAAATACATAAAAGCAACCACGGCCAATGTCATTGAGAATGAACCTGTGGGGAAAATTGAAATCAATACTGATCATCAAGCACTCTACGAAGGTACATAAATCTAACAAGTAGTAACACTTGACTTAAGCCATATCACTACTGTTTTAATATCGTTAATGTGTATAACAGCTTTGGAAAATCTGGGAAAGCTTCAGTTCTCCTCATCTCCAGCACCCTCTGAGTCAGAAAGTGAAGACGTCAACTCCGTTGAAAACACGCAACCAATTGTAACTTTGGGAGATGACGTTATCCCTTCGATATCACATGGGTTACATCAAGGCCTGCCGCTTATCGAGAAGCCCCCTCCTGAACAAGTTAGGAACGAAAGTTCTATCGAATCATCGACATTATCTCATCAACTACCTGCTGAAAAGAAAGGAGGTACGTTTGCTTACAAAACTATCCTGAAATCGAATTAAATTAAATCCGATATTTGAAAATAATAACAAGTCTATTCAATATGTTTATATTTAAAGATATGTCGTCCATTCCACAACCAGCCAGTGGTAGAGCAAACAGTCAAACAGTGGCGTCACATGGAAATACCTCTGAAAAATTTATTCAAAACATTGTAGCTGATGTATCAGAAGCAGATCGACATACAAAAGGTGCAGAAGTACCAATTGCCTTCTTTGTTGAGGAAGAAGACGATAGCGACGATGAAATGAGAAAGATAAAGGCTGAACCTGTCGATTATGAAGACAGAGATGAAGAACCACCAGGTACGACACAATACCATACGTTGCACGGTTACGTTTTCTTAAAAATTTACAAAAATTGATGTTTTACCTATTTTCTTAGATGATGATGAAAATCAAAACGATGAGGAGGACGACGCTAATGTGCTAATTGTTGATAAAACGTCGGAGAACGAAGAATATGCTTCACATAACTCTTTAGTTCCATTCTCCCAGTTGCAAAATGGTTTTACATTTGGATCAACACCAGCTTCCGCTTCCTATAACTGCCGAAAGGGAAGCAACACATCCGAAGATAATCATACTCACAAAGAATCGATGAGGGAGTCGGCTAAATTTATCAGGAGCATAAAGTGTGAGCCCGTGGATATGACAGACTCGGAGGAAAGTTGTGACGTTGACATGCAAGAAGGCTACACCAGCCCGACGCCATTAACACGAAAGACAATTCCAGAGACGAAAACAAAAGGAATTGTTACGAATGTTCCAACAATTAATAATGAAACAATGATCTCATCAAACAAAAAAAAGCGGAAAGCCTCAAATAGTGAGAATGAATTTATTCTACCAAACATACCTTCACCCTTTTCAGACGACACGACCGGATCGGATGAATTCTTTAAACACTTTAACCCAGACTTTGCCAATTCACCAGAAAATTTCCCGGAGCCCACAGAATTTTTAGACCCTGAAACTGGCATACTTTTTCAAAGAGACGTTGGGTCTGCTGTTGGAACCCATGAGAAAAGTGAAAAGCAGGATGATGAGGCGAATGAATCTTTAACGGAAAGCCAGCCCAACGATACGAGTAATAATAAAGTAGACGATACACGACAAAGTTCGTCAAACGACAGCAAGGACGATAATCATCTAGTCCAGAAAACTCAAACGAAGATTAATAGCATCATCCGAGCAAATGATGCTGAAAGTAGGATAGAGTCTACAAACATTTTAGTTTCACTTCTTGGCAAACGGTTAGATCGTGCAATCAGTAATCAAACAAACATGCTAAGAGAAACTCCAATTATTGGTTCCACACCGTTATCAAAAGCTTCTCATTCCCAAATTATTACTGGAAACACGAATCAAAAACCAATCGATCTAAATGAGACTGCAAAGAATAGCAAAGAGCTTCGTCAGAATAACATTTCTAACCCATCGTTGCCAATCTTCAAGGAAGTAAATGGCTCACTTGAACTTCTCAAGAACAAAGTTGTTGAAACTCCTCCACCTCCAACACCAATCACCCTATCTCTCAAAAATAAAAACCAGTCAAAACAAATCAGTCCAACTTTTCCTTACTCCGTGTCAACAGATCTCTTGAATTTTGCTAAAAAACTTGATAGTGAAAAGACTACCGCTTCGTCCTCTACTGTTTCATTTTCAGAAGACAACGGAAAAAATGTTCCCTTGAAGAAAACTCCATTGCAAGGACAGATACTAGAAGCTAAGATCTCCGCATTGTTAAAGAAGCCAGAATATAATGGGCAAGTAACGTCCAACTCCTCCAAAGAATTACATCAGCAGATAGCACCAAATCCAGTTGGCTTAAATTCAATTGTTCTAGCTCATCACTCACCATTACTAAAAGTAGCACCTACTCCTATTCTTCTTCACACCACAGTAGGTCAGACCATTAGTGATGCCACAACATTGACGGAGAGAAATCAAGTTAATACTCAAAAGACGCCAGTTACCGTCACCACTACACTTTTGAAGACCACCGCTGACACTCCCATAGTCCATATTGCTCCTCAGCCTCCTCAGGGACTGACAAATGTTGTTGCTCAAGAAGGAGATTCTGGGCTCAAAGCAATTCCAACCATTCCAAATGAACTCGTTCCACTTCCATTAGAGTCCATAACCATTTTAACGCCCTCAGTTACTGCTCCAAAGATTATTGGTACTGTCTCACCATCAACAGCTACATTGCCATCATCCTCATCTGCAACAACAACAGCTCAACCAAGAATCACTTGGAATGAGTCTAAAGAAAACGTTGACAACTCAAATGGCAACGATTCAATGGTTAACAAATCGAGATCTAAATCTCACATTCAGAAAAACGATAACGCCCCTATCGTCCCCATCCGAGAGAGCGCATCTCGCGTGCATATAGTACGAAGAAAAAAACATACTGGTAAAACCTATGCCAACGTTGAAATGCAGACTGATACACCGTCAACTCTTTCAAAGAACAAACCTGCCGCACTTTTAGAAATTATCAAAACTGAACCAGGCTCATTCATAGATCCAACGAACATGATCTATTTACCAGCCGGAACGGTAACCACAAGATCAGCTTCACCAAGAGTTAATCCCAAACCACCACTAAAACCATCTCAGCCCCCTTCAGAGCCAATCCCGACGGAAATGATCAACAACCAAGTTGTGATAAATTATAACGAAACAGAAAAATCGTCGAGAACATCGGAACCACCACCGATTGTCAAAAACTTGTCTATTGAACTACCGGTGAATCCAGAGTTTGGAAATGTACAGAGACCATCAGTAATAATTGAACCCACCAAGCAGAAGGAAACCATCCTCCAACAAAATGGGTCAGATCCTACCAAATCAATCAATTTGAACACACAGAGATCACTTGGGACGGAAAGTAGGCAGCAACGCATTACAGGAGCTGGGGACCAAAACAGAATCATTTCCAAGGATGTGTCCATTTCACGAGTTGTGACAAACAACAACACCCCTACCACGTCCACTTTCGAAATGGGATCCAACCCAACATTTGAGAAAAATAGCAACACTTCTCTCCTCTCGGTCGAGAAAGTCTTGAGGAAACCAGCAGAGTCTCAACTCGTGCAAAAGTTACTACCATCAACTAACACAAAGGCGACCGTCCCCCCTGTGACCAGCAACTCGGCCATAAAAATGACTCCATCATCTTCAGGTACAAAACACCAGGAGAAACGAAACTCGATGCCAAGCTCAAGTGGTCCTATCGTGACTCTTAGACCTGAGAATGTTCTGAATAAACCAACTGTTGCACAGTCAGGTGAGAAATTTCTCAAGCATCTTCTCAATTAAGTAGTTAATTAGTAGAGTAGTTATATCAAAAGCTCGTACGGACCTTCCTTTCTTTCGCGATCGAAAGATCTTGTCATGATTGTATGATTGTACCTTCTGCATCTGAGCAATTGTCATCAGTCTCTTTTTCCATGCCCAAAACATCAGAATTTGGTCATAATTATTTTACCACATTAATAAGAGAAGCATAAAAATAATTCGGGAACTTTCGGGAATTATAAGTTCAAAATCTCGAGTTAAGGGGTTAGGATTGGATAAAGTTAAAGTGTGCTTACTCTCTTTCTCGTAGACATTTACATATCGATACAGAAGAGGCTCACAAGGGACACTCACGACCTGTCGTTTGAGTCCAGGGTACCCACTATGTTTTTTAGAATCTACTAGGACCCCAGATGAAGGATTCATTCATATTTCCGTGTAAAACTAATATTTGGCGTCGTGCCGTGGCGCCAAATATGAATTTTTAGCCCGAGTCAGGGCTTATGGAACCGTCATGTCCGTCCGTCCGTCCGTCCGTCTGTCCGGCACGATAGAGCCAAAACGGCTGAACCGATTGACTTGAAATTTTTACCATATGCATATTGGACAAAATTAGGAAACGAGTTCGAAGATGGGCGAAATCGGTCAAGTGGTTGACCGGTGGGGGTGATCGGAGTGGGTGGGGTATTATGCACCAAAATTTCAAAATTGTCGTAGAAAGCTGAAATTTGGTACAGAGGTTGCTAATGGCTCCTAATAGATAAAAATGACTTCAAGTTAGAAAAATTTTCATCTTGAGGGACCCTACAGGGTTACCCATACCGATTTTTCAAAATCGTCATACCAAGCTGAAATTTGGTAGATAGATTGCTAATGGGTCTTAATAGAAGAATATGGCATGAAATTGGTAAAATTCTTATCTGGAGCGACCCTATGGGGTGACCCATACCAATTTTTAGAAATTACTTTAAAAACATTAAATCTGGCACGGTTATACCTAATGGCTTCTCACGAAAGGATATGAAGCTAAAAGTGAGCAAATTTTAACCAGAGTGACCCTGGAGGAGTCAGTGACTCTGTCCCTGACTCGGGCTATATGGAGTCTGCACTGTAGGTTTTTAATTTTTGAAACCGCCATAACTTTTGAAATCCTGGACGGATTTTCAAAATTTTTGGCAAAAGTCATGACAAAGAGTTCAATTTTCTTATCCCATGAAAATTTTTCCAAAATTATGGCTTTTGACTTTTCGCAAAATTTCGTAATTTTCTTAGAAATGGGGGTTCGTCGAAAAAATGCTAAAAATATTTCCAAAATTAGAAATTTTTTTTTCCTCAAAAATTTCGACTTTTGTGATCATTTTGAGCATACAATGTTGAAAATCCGACATAAACTGCAAAAGTTATTGGGGTTTGAAATTAGTCGAAAATGCAAAGTTTTAAGTTTGTCGCCCCGGCACGACGCCAAATTGGAGTTTTACACGGAAATATGAATGAATCCTTCATCTGGAGTCCTAGTAGATTCAAAGATTCCTAGTAGATAAAAAACATAGTGGGTACCCTGGACTCAAACGACAGGTCGTGGGTGTCCCTTGTCAGAAGTAATCACAAAAGGACGGGGCACTTTTAGTAATAATAGCGTATACAAATAATTAACATGAATTATTTTGCAGTAGAAATCCCTGTCGCATCGCAAAGTCGAGTTTCTTCAAACCAAAGCAAACCTGATCCGGGAGGAGAAATGAACATTCGACCGACCTCGACAGCATGTTTTTATGGGAAGCCTCTCCCACCAACTGCTACAGGTATCATGCCTCTGTGATTAAGTGCAATGAAGTGATGAAATGTTGAAAATATTTTTATAAATAAAATCAGAATTTCAATTTTACAGCCTAATCCTAGCAATCTAAATCACACCCCTCTTATGTTAACTTAGGAATGCTAACACGATGTCCTGAACCCATTGGCCAACAAGATCTAATTGATCGCTTGCTTCCAAGGAAAGGTCAAATAGCTAATACTTCTCCGCCCATTCAACAGACTGGTGTAGGGAACAAACCTGGTGAAAGAGACTTACTTCTAACAAACCAGCGGATAGAGAAAGTCCCACGCCTCTCACCTTTCCAACTACAAGAAGCTCGGCTCGTTGCAGGAAACCAGCAGTTCACTACGTTGACTCGTGTTGAAATTTTACCACCCGGAAAGAAACAGCAACCTGTGACCACAACCCAAATCAGCAATATCGTCCAACAGCCGTTGGGTCCACAAATTTCTAAAGTGTTGTCAGCAACTGCAAACTCCATAGGTAAAACAACAACCCAGCGGTCTCAACCAGCAGCAGTGGTTTATCCCCAGCGTATTCTGTCACAAGAAACTCAACAAGAAGGAAACAAAACTATTCCACGCATAATCTCTCAACCTAGAAAGTCTACAAGCGATGGTCTTTTGAAATCGTCGACAATCAGTACATCAAATTCTTCCACTACCACCTCTGTAACAACTACTGCTGCTTCGACCTTTAGCACAATACTTCCCCAAATTGTAACACCAATAACTTCAAAAATCACGACTACTATGCCTCGGATTATACGACCTGTCACCGCTCAAACTACTCCTCAAGCGCCTACGGTTATTGTGCCTCAGCAAGTCGTCGCATTGCAAACCACCGCATCTGCCCAAAGCGCAAACCAGAAACCAGTCACACAAATGTCAACTTCTGTAGCCCCTCGCCCCAGCAGCCATGGTTCATCCATGCCAATGTTTGCAGCGTCAACCTCAATAAAGTCTATGAGCCTACCAGTGTCAACATCAACTGTAGTTCAACAAGTTGCACCGGATTTAGCAACAACAACTCCTACGTCAGTTATTCCTTCCAGCTCGACCATGCTTAGCTTGTCCACATCTCTTCTACGACCCACAGTCCAGCGAACATCAAAAGTTAGGCCTCCAAAGAAGCGCAAACGGAATCGTACTACGCGATTTTCAGGCGATAACGAGGAAGATGAGCTTGACGACGCTGCGAATTCAGACACGAGCGACATGAGCTACAGGCCAAATTTTAAAAAGTAATTACTAATCATGTTAATGTATATCATTGTTTAGAGAGCACTCTCTAATTCTGTGAATAATATAATAGGAAAAGAATCGAGACATTTATGCTTGAGTCTAAGCGATCACAACGGGAGCGAAAAAAGGTGGTACACGATGGATGCGTGGATTCGGAAGAAGCGATATCGCCTTTTATAGCGGAAGCAAAAAACGAACGAAAACAGGATTCGTTAGAAGTTCCGGAAAGACCGTAAGTGTATTATCTATCTCGTATGTTATTATTATTAGGCACAAGAAACCCGTGATATAAATATTCCTTTTAATTACCAAATGATTTTTGATTTGATTTGATTAAAATATACTTTATTTATACAAATAGGAGACGAGCAAAATCAGATAGAATAAGTTCTCGTCCAAGAACTTCGTATAATCCTATTAACGAATCTGATTTAGGACCAACTCAATTATCGTAAGTAATTAATTAAATATCACTTTAAATGACTTTCACATGCTCTATCCCTACTTTTCCTGCTAAACCTCGTGTGAAATTGATTTTAGAATTACTGCTGGGGAGGAAGATATGGATGATGAGTCTGAACCAAACAAGACACAATCAAGGACAGAGAAGGAAGGCAATAACTCTAAAGGCGGATCACTTGTTGGGAACAGAATTGGTCTTAATTCGTACGTTAAGATCTGTAGCTTATTTAATTTATTATAAAAGTAAATATTAGCGGAATAATTGTATGTTTTATATATTATTAAATTCAGGTTTCCCATTAGAAGTTCGTCCGATTCTGCCAATAAATTAGTCCCTCCGAAAAAGAGGATGCGATTTCCATCCGATACAATAGTAAATGAAAGCGAAAATACACCTAGTCGCACTACTAGTAGTACTGCTACTGTGTCTATTGCTGCAGCTGTAAATACTCCAATAGTAGTAATTACTACTGATGTGGTGGTAATTCAACAACCTTCTGGGATGCATTCGCCAATTCGGAATCACGAAAATATTTTAGAGGTGGTTGGAGAAGAAGGGGAAAAGAGTAAAGTCACATCTTCGCCAGACAGAATGGAATGCGCATCCGCACTTCTCAGGCTTTCCACAAGTACGAGAGTACCTGCTAATGTAGTCACTCCCATAACATCAGCACAACAAACACAAACTGCTTCACCAATTACATCAACAGGAAACAGTAACATCACTCAACGTACGTCCAATGATGATGTTGATGACTCGACGTCTAAACATACTGAAGAAGAAAAGCAAGGAAACGGGGCTGAAAATGTATCAGTCAATTTACCTGCAATTAATGAAGACTCGACTACTACTACCCTTGTGACTCTTTCACAGGTTCAAGATGGTCAACGGACTCCTCTAAATTCTAGCTCTAGAACTCGAGAGGTTGAAAATATCAAAAAAGGTCCACAGTGTCAAAATAGGATCTTTAAATCAAGGAATACGCCCAAACCAAAGGAAGCTTTGAACAAGTCTGCATACAAAAATATTTATGGTGAATTATTTGGGGCTTCTGGATCTGATGGTGATTCACCAACTCGTGACAAATCAAACAGTAATACGTCGCAAGAGGTTCCAGTAGTCAAGCGAAAGCGCGGCCGTCCAATTGGTTTACACAAGAATTCTGAAGGGACCCAAAGGGATTTGCGACACGCTTCTCCCCAAAAAACTCCTCCTATTAAAAATGAAATGCAGTCACCGGGTCGAGATTCTGACTACGAGTTTAATTCTGAAGATGAAGTGGCTCCACCATCAAAATCTCCCCAAAAACAAGATGGTTATGATTATGATGATCGCCGATTGAGTACACGCTCAGCCTCCTTTGAGTCACGTGAAAGATCATTGTCCTCCTTAGGGACCATAAGTCCAACAAGTCGAACTAGTTCACCAAGAGGGGGTTCCCGTTGGTCCTCTCGAATCGTACGGACTAGATCACATTCGATAGAGTCATCTTCTCATAATCGTAAAACCCCGGTGAGTCGAGGTCGCACCGAGAGTCCAAAAGCTGCAGGATCCCCCCACAAATTAATTCTGACAAGAAGCAAAACTCCCACTTCTCGTCCATCAAGTCCATTACCGAGTCGGTCATCCACTCCCGGCAGCGTTTATAGTTATAAGAGCAGCCCTCGTGAACAGAGCCCTCGTGAGAAGAGTATGCACAGAATGTCTGGGGGTAGTAACAGGCGAGGGAGAGGGAGAGGTAGACCAAGGAACAGCCCTGACATCCCTCGTCCCATGCCTAACCCAAATTTGCCACGACGAGGGCCTGGTCGGCCCCGAAAGCATCCTCAAATGGACCGTGCATCTACTGCACTTCAACAGTTGCACAATCTATCATCGGACGGCGATGCTCTTTCATTCACCAATCAGTTTACAGTCGGAGAAGAAGAATTAACTAAAGGTGTTGGCCCATTATTGGGTTAAACTAGTTGATTAAACGAATTTTGCTTGTTTAAAAACCAAGTTGTGCATGTTTTATATGCAAACGGGCTTACATCACTGCATTTAAATATTTATATGTATAAGGAGTAAATCATTTGTTCTTATTTACGAACTGCCCTGTGTATACACTCACTTAGTTTCTGTTGAAATCCTACTTTCGCAGATATGTCATAATAATGATTCCTGATAATCATATTGTTAAAAATGTAAATTACGTCCTCTACTTGAGAACTTACACTTCTGTGATTGTTATGAAATGAGTGCACATCTAAATAAATGTATGTAATTTTACTGAATAGATATGTCATTATAGAATAAGTTGTTGTTCTAAAATCCTATATTTGTGGTTTAAAGTTAACCAATAAAATATATTTCTATTTATTTATTTTACTATAAAATAAGAATAAAATTGTACCCAGGAATTGGATATATACGTTTTGATATTTGTAATGTACCTGAATTTGTATCATTAATTGGAGCACACGCACGTACTTAAAATTACTGCACATGGTTATGGGACTTGGCCAATTAGAACCATTCTTAAACTCACCAGAAATGCTTAGTTAACAAAAGTTAGTTTATACCTGCTGCTTTTAGTAGTAACAACCAGAAACTTATAATCCATGTCGGATTAAGGCCCTGCATGCTATTTCCAACAAGTTGTTATGGGTAAACTTTCGAAACAGGATAAGGAGTTACATACATAGTATTTATTGCATATCGACTATTATTACTGATAAATATCTGAATTAATGTGTACTAATTTATGCTGCACATTGATGCCCTGCAATTGTAAACAACATAGAGTCAAAAGAGGATTTTCATATGAGCAATATCATTAATTTGACATATGCACAGGAAATACCTGTTTTAGAGAGGACAGCGTCGTGATAAAAGCATCTTTTTGTCGAGGACTTTCTAAACCGTGGAGCCACTGAGCTGTTGCTTTCCTTCTGTCCGACCGTGAAAGAAGCGGATCTCGATATACTGGCTGTTGCTCCTGCAAATCATAATCCTCTACATAATCCTGATTACTTGGACTCTTGGATGTTTTGCGACTTTTCCCTGATGTGAGAGCATTTGGAGCAAAACTAGATGGGAGGCGAATGTTGAATTCGATTATTCCTTTCTCTGATAGCTCGCCTTCTCTGGCAGAAAGCTGTTGCTGAACCTATATAATTATAATTAGTTTCAATTCGTTCATCAAAATAGTGAATCACCAAATAACTAAATATGCTGTATAAACAACCTCCTTGTGGCTCATGAGATCGTGTATAAAGTCTTCCTGTCCTTGAAGAGAGAAATCGGTAGCATTCGTTACCGGTCTCGATACTTCACTTCTCCCGGAAATTATTTCTGTCCTCGTGGCGTGGGAATTTTCCCTAGCACTAAGAAGACCATGATGGCTCAAATCACTTCTTGCCGTCGTAAGGGCTGCAGATTGCTCCATCTTGCGTAAAAGTATCTGAAAATCTGGGTTAGATGCGTGAGTGATGGCGATATCAATGTCCACTTTAGCTTCGGCGCTAGAGATTCTGCTCCCGTCAGTAATGCTGCTAAATGATTCTAAATCTGATGAAGGTAATGGCGGGATGTAGTTTGAAACCATTGCTCCCAAAGAAATTGTTGGCGTGGGTAAAAGAAGCTCAGGGGGAAGGCTGGACAAACGCCCACTCTCATCCGGTCGCAGACCTATTTCGAATTAATATTATAGTATTGATACTTGTATCTTGTGAGAATTTACTTGCATATTATTGGTTCTAAAATTACTAATTATATATAGTTTCTACTAACCCAGCTCCATTTTATTCGCAAGTGCAGGCACAGGAGGAGAAAATAGTCTTTGATGGTGATACTCGACATTTTTATTGATTTCCTCTCTTTCATCAATACTTCTTTTGTCGTGCTGAAGAGTGGAATTGGCTTTTTCCTTAGATTTTGACTTCAAGGTTGTTGAACTGGGTTTCTGCCTAAGTTTCACCGAAGCCTTTGAAGCTTTTTCAAGTAAAGTTTTATTGTTCCCTGCCAATGCTGTCTGAATATATGGGTTTGACTTAATCCCACCAATTGGAATTTCATCAAATTCTCTCTGAGTTTTGAATTCCGAACTGTACATTGGAACATAATCCGAATTTGATGCAGATGAAGGCAGAGACGTAATGTTAGACTCGCCAGTTGAACAGTTTTGACGAGTTTTCCGCATGACTGGCATCATAGGAGATGGGGAAGTGAATCCACTTCCAGTACCACTTTCTTCACTGCCACCAACGGAATTCAGACCATCACCAATGGATGAAATGCTCCCGAGATGCTTTTGGGCAACATTATGGTGGGAAGAATCGCTACCAGAAAATCGTGGACTAACCCTCGTGCGCTATAATTACAAACAGGTTGTAGAAATTTATAAAAATAAATAATTGTTGCACTAGGTTTCATTACATGTTGCAGTTTCACCTGTTTGGTGTCAAAGGTGTTATTCCTCCCAATTTTTGGTGGACTACGACTCTTGGTTTTAGTAACTCGATGATTTCCGTTCAACTTTGAGTTGCTATCCGAACTGAGTTCTTTGTCTGTTTTCAAGTGGGCAGACACATGGCTTTGGCTAAGGCTTTGACTGTGACCATGAACAAGGTAGTTCTTTGATGACATTGATTTCAACGGACTTTTGCTTTTAGCAAGTCGATCCTGCTTTTCTCTGGTCTTTGCTGCTCTGTTCTGCACACGGTGGAACGGTATACTTTCACTCTCAGTTTCTCGGGTGCTTGTGGAACACCCGTGCATCAGCTGCCGTCGTCGCAATATCTTTTGGTAGTTGGGATCTTTCTCCGACTGCTTTATATATACCTTCTTCTCTGGGTTGGATCCCCATCTTGGCTTTTCTTCTTTACTTTCCAAGTTAGAAATTGATCTGGATCTTTTGGACAGCTCGCTGTTTTTATTATGGGTTCCTATCTCTCGATCTGTTTCGGCATCTGTTGTTGTAAGGTCAGACACTTCAGTCTGTGTCCCAAACTCTCGTGATCTAGAAGTTTCCATACTTTGACTCCTATATCTCTGCGTCGTGGGAGTTAAAACGCGTTGGTAAATGTGGTCCGAGTCAGTCATTAAACATTGATCATTTGTTCGTAATCCAGAACCTAAACAAATTGTCATAAAAATCAAAGATGGGAAAGTTATTTACAAGAATTTTTCTACCATTTCCATTGTTGAATTCAGGAACAGTAGGAGGAGTAGTACTCGTTGTAGACCGTTGGTTGGCAAAGTTATTGTCAAAAAAAGTTGACGCTGGTTCTGCCTCAGACGAGAGAGACGCTTCTGATTTTTCTGTAGATTGGGATTGTGATCCGGCCAAGGTTTGCGCTTGCCTTCGTGCAATTGCCATTTCATACGCGTCCGGTTCAGGCACAAAACGATTATTCGGAATTAAAGGAGATTCACGTAATTTGGGCTCAGTAATAGATGCACGTCCCTCATAAATCTGGATTTCTGATGGTTCTTCTCCCTGATTTAAAACGACAATTTGTTTAACTCTGTGGCTTAACTATAATTATTAATATTTAATAATAACTAAAAATGTTTACGTCTTGTTGTTGCGTGTTTGATTCAGAGGGTAAACCATTTATATTCTTTTTTCGTTTCTCCATTTCCAAACTATTTCAGATAAAATTCTTATAAACCAGTTAATACACAGTAGCAGATGTCTCCGTTATGTTAGTCAATTAGATTAGTGTTCTAACCGTTGTAATTCCAATTCTCTTTGTTGTTCCATTCGAATCTCATGTTCTCTGTCTTCTCGTTGCTGTCTTTCTTTTTCCTCTTTTTGGCGACGCTTATTGTCCTCGATCTACAAGTGATGTCAAGATAGATTCATTTATTTGCATACAGTTTACATTTCAAAATTGGTTAATTGAGGTAGTCACTTGTTTCTTGACGTCCTCTAAATACTCTTGACGAGCTTTGGCTTTCCTCTCCTTCTCCATCATTTCAATTGGGACAACAGGAACGTTCTGCCCACGGAAAGTTCTAAAAAAATAAATTCATTAAAAAAAGCATCCGTAATTTTGGATCTCATGAAAAACAACAGTGCATATATACAGAGACCTCCGGAAGCGCAGATTAAAAAATAGGTATATATTTATGCTATGCATTTATTTGCGCAGAAAAGTCAGATTCTGTTCATCCATAAAACCAGCATCGCTTACTGTTATATTACAATGAATGAGAAACCCCGACTGAGATAACAATGCATCTATTCCGATTTTGTTAGAAATCAACGGAGCATGATTATAATTTATTAGGACAACTACAGCTCTAATCTGCTCTTAATCTCTAAGAAAGTTGGGAGGTTCATATGGATTTGACTTATATACAGATTTGGGACGCAAAAACCGAAAACATGGACACGCAATAAACTCGTTAAGAAAACGATAAATAGTAATAACCGATTTGTGACCTATTCAAAGGCCGAGCTGTAATACACAGGTCAGAATATAACAGAGCTATGATTCATTCCATCCCTCTCCAGTACTCATGCTATATGTGTGTACAATATCGAAAGTCTTCAAGTCATTGGTTATTCGGTTATTTGGTTATTACCATGTTACATATGACTTATGCACTTTTTGCCCAATTTTGAGACACGGTAACCTCGATAAGTTGCATTGCATCGGAAACAAAAAATGACCTATTGACATTCATTGTGTGTACATAATAATAAACTGACGTTTAACTTGTAAAAAATCTAGCCCAATCACATTTAAGTGTTATGCTCTGCTATGTTGTTTCTGCAAGTTACTTATTGTGCTCACCTTTGCGATTCGTCGTCATCGCCATAATTACGGTTGCTGTCAGCCATCTGATCCACTGGCGGAAATGGACTACGGCTACTACTGAGTTCAATCGAACTCCTGTTAAAGTTGGCAATGTGGCCCTGACTAAGTCCGAAACTGGTTTCTGCAATAGCACTTGGATGAGATGGAATGGTTCCTCCACTATAAAGGTTTGGTTGGGAGCGGCTGTTTTGCATTTCTAAACTTCGTTTCGCCCAACCCGGCGGTGATGCCACGCCATCAGTCCCACTGCTTGACCCAAGTCGTGCGTCATGCTCCCTGGAAGGCAGCCTGGCTCGGGACGAGTCAGAGGGCTCCCAGAAATGACCAACGCCAACCCCTCTGTCTCCCCATCTCGCACGTTTCTCGTCTTTCTCCATCAGTTTTCGGAGTCGCTGTTCTTCTCTTTGTTTTTCTAGTTCGTGGAGCCATTGCTCTTTTTCCTAAGTTGGAAAAGCAATTAATTAGTTTAACTAGCTAAACTTTTAAATAACCAATCTTCAATGTATTTTTCATACTTTTTTTCCAATGTCCTCGAAACTGCCCCCGAATCTTGAGCGGGGGGATGGGAGTCCGATGGTGAGAGATGAACGCATTGCAACTGGGGGTGGTTTACTCATGCCACTTACGACATTACCTCTCTCGTAATCCCCACTGCCGTGTGCTCCCATCATTCTCTCGTAAGACTGAGAAGATATTTGTTGCGCTGGCAGGTCTGAGAATGCATGCGCATCACCAAATACACCCATTCGCGAGTGGGATGTCCTCTCTTGCACGATTTTGTGGATTATGACTCGAGGACTCACCACGGCCGTGCGGTCCGTATCTCCGGTTGGAGTTATTGATGTGCCAGTGCCCCCCTCGTTACTGAAAATATGATGAAGAGTTGATCAATGAATTTTTACGTAGCTTATACGAACTCATATGTAAATGAACTGTAAATGAACACATTTCCCTTTCATGCATACATATTTTACGTGCAACGCTACGCGACCTAATAATAGTCGCGACTAATTAGAAAAGTCAACGAACTCATAGTTAAATATTCAGTCAGAGCCCTCATTACTGATGGCGAGTGACCCATTTATACTGTATACTTCATTTAAATTCCATCAATATTTAAATATGTCGAGACTCAGGGGAGGATATTTTATAGGCGGAAAAGATAATGACAGACTGACCCAATTCCGTTCTGTTCGGAATTATGAATGACCATCCACTCTGCGTTGCCCTCCTTGTGAAACGTAGTCCTTCGCTCGTAGGGTTGCAGTAGTTGAACCGTCCTCTGACCCCCATCCTGCAAGCTCCCCTTCCGTTCAGGAAAATCCCGATTCGCATCGTTTCGTGGAACTAGAGAGTGGGATCGCTGGGCAAGGCGAAGGTTTTGCTGGGCATGACTACCGTTGTCATTTATGGGGGGAAGGTAGTGGTCACTAAAAGGCAGTACAACATTTTTAGAGTTTTGTAAATACTTATGTACAACAATTACAGTGGATTAAAGAAAACCCGCAAGACAGTAGAGACTCATTTTGTACAAGTATTTTAAATTCGTACATGTATACAAACAATACACACAACTACGATAATAATGTATGCTTTACCAGATCCTTAGAGAGGCAAGTTGAGACATGTATATATTATTTCCTTCTCCCGATTATCTTAAACGATTACTTTCACCCATTATGTGCTTGAATAGAATAAGCAATCAATCTCGCTATCCTTTTGTTAAACGTAACAAGCAAAGAAAACCAGTATATATCAACTTGTCGACTATGTGACAATGCAGACACTGGTCTCGTATCGCGAGAGAATTGGCACTTTTCATGATGGAGAAAGTGGAACAATTCCTCCACAAAATGAAATGCCTTTCTCTGGTAGTGAAATATCATTATACGTCGCGACGTAATGCATTGCATTGTTTGTTTGTGGAACATTCTTAGTTACACAACCATGTATATGTAGCTTGAGAAGACATGTAGATACTGGGGTACGAGCTGAATACAACGGCAAAAAGAAAGCTGGTCACGCATGCACATGTACACACCAAATGAAAAGGAAACCAATACCCTTAATGTTTAAACCAAGCAAGTGAAAGAAGACTTTAGGCAAAATGGCATAAATGGAGAAGGGTATTGAACTATGACCCAGATTCCAAATTACACATCTGAGATAGGAATGCTTAATGAAATGGTTCATGCAACCCGTGTGTTGGCACAAAATACCTAATCGCCATGAATCAAGTCATAAACTTATTGTTTAGTGTGAATGCATAATTGAAAAATTTACCTGGAGGAGTAGAGGGCAAGATTTTGTTTCGTCGCGTCTCGTGGCAAGGATGAAGAAAGTACGTCTCTACTGTCAGAGGGATGGTTTTGTTTGCCCTTTCCCCAAGGACTCCACAGGCCGGACAACTCTTCTAAAAAAATAAAAACAAAACTTTTAAGAACTTTTGTAAAGTTTTTCAATTAAATATAATGAATTTTAATTATCCCAATGCATTATTTGTCATTTGAAATGTTGACATATGTCAACATTTCAAATGAACAGCAGCATGAACAGCAGCATGAACGCAATTTTAAATTCGGAATTACTAGAATAGTCAATCAAATCAAATTGATAGATCTCAAAAAAAGTCCAATTGGACAATTCCAGTCATTCATTCATCGGAAGGAGAAAATATCGTAAACGAAAGTGAAAGGAAAATCAATGCAGGCACAACAAGAGACAGAACGTCAATTGGAGTGACTGACGCGACGGTGGCTTCATTCATGTTTCATTACACAGAACTGAAAAAAAGCATTACTCGATTGTTGTTTGTATTGTGAGTTCAGTCTTGACGTTTCCGGAATGGGGAAAAATTGATAATCAATACACGGAACTACGAAGTAAATCGAACGAAATGTATTAAGAAAATAATAGATAAACAAATTAACCAATTGGAGCCTACAGCTTTAATGTCAAACTATATGCATACAATCATTGAACTATTTAATCAGGGGAACAAAATAATGTCTTTGAGGTCTACGCTACCCAACTTTAAAACGCAGAAGAAAATCTGGGTAGAATTATTGTCAAATCCACCGAAGCAATCAACGCACGCACTTTTCTCCTGTGTGCGTGCTAGCTTTGTTCTAGAACAGAGATGCTACATATTTGTTATGTGGAACAATTATGGTATGCGTTTAGTTTGGTCGATATTGTGACAACTTTGGTATAAGGCATAGAATAAATAAAAATATTATTGGAAATGGACGCTAACCCCTTTCTTGAGCCCACTGCCGTTTTTTCTGCTCCATCAGGGACAACTGATTTTGACTTTGGGAAACCATTCCTCTCATGGGTGCGTAAGATAAAGTAGTAGATCGTCCACCGACGTGTATTATTTTTTGACTTTGATGAGCAGAGGGGACAGGAACGAGTTTTCTGCTGCTATTTCTTGGAAAATTTGCTAGGGAACTCTGTCTAATCAGGGTAGAAGGGACTCCATTGTCACGGCCCAATTCAGCCACATCCCCAAGATTAGAGTCATAGCTCGGGTCAGCTCTAAATCTCGTCACTCCTGCAAAAATTTTTGATGATCCACGGGACTGGGAATGGGCTTCTACTGATCCGTTGTTTCTGCTAGCTGAATAGAGTTGGGAAGTACTTTTCTTGTAGTTGGTACTGGTGGTCTTATTCTTGGGGGCGAAGGCGTTCTGCGTCTCAGTCACACTGGACGGTGTAGCTGCGGAAATCCAAAAGTAAATCAACTTGAGAATATATGCAAACAAAAATCAATTGAACTACTACTAGATAATTTAAATAGTCACACAGCAATCATACTTACGTACATACGAAAAAGGAATGATCACATTTGCTACGCTATAAATTTCTAATACGATGAACAATTTGTTCAGAACAAAGCTTCCCTTTACGAGACACAAAATACACTGCAGAGCAGACACTCTTGCCAAACCTTGGTGCAGACTAAGAACAAATTGGTCGGGCAGTGGACATTTATAGAGAGAAAATTGAGAGAAAGTCAGGTTGGGTGCAAAACAAGCTAAAAGTATCGCGTTATACGAATAAAAGAGTGGCTCTGTTTGCCGCAACGGTCACCTGGCTACTCGCCCCCAACCAGATGTACACCCTAAAAATTTTAGACTAAAATGCTAGCATTGGACAGGAAGGAAACTTCAAAACATGAACAAATTCAGAAAATGAAAAATGTTCCTTCAAATAGCTTGACCAGTAGTGTCAATTACTACTTTCTTTCCACACAGACAGAGTTTATGACCAACAGAGTTACATAATATATTTAAATCGCATAAAATTAAATAATCTCGGCAATCCACATGCAGTCCATAAGTACATTCAATGTTGTCACTTTGCCCCCTCGATGCAACCGGGTAAAATTGGTATTGTTGTTCATAGCATTTATCGATTTAAGGAAGACCGAAGACGAAGTTTTGTAAATCACAATTTGCAATTTTAAATAATTTCATTTGAGATATTAACAATTAGTAAAATTAGGGTGTCAAACTAGTTGGAACGACAGAGCGATATCCAAATGCAGTTTAATTATTCAATACCTACAGTTATATCTAAAATTCCGAACAAGATACATTTTATAATACTACACCGTCAATCGTACATTTATTTTTGTGAACTTATAAATTTATAAGTTATCAATGTTATTGCATCTGTGTCACTCACCATGTCGCTTATTGGTTTGCCGTCCATAATACGAGGCTGGTCGTCGTCCTCCAAAAAGCAGGGCGGAAGAGGACGTTTCATTCCTCGCCTTGTACATTGTTGCATTTGACCTCGACCTCTGACAGCTCGGCTGTAACATCAAGGACGACGACGATGTTGGAATAGTTCGTCTCATTTGAAGAAGGTAAAGAAAGGGTTTATCTGTTGGATGTAGATGTTGACAGAGTAAATATTCAGTTAGAACTCGTATTCATTATATCTTGTATCACATACTATCAACTATCAACTGACTGATAGGCGTTACTTTTTATAATAAATAAATATAACAACAAAATTATCCTTTTATATTCATCACCCATTCGATATTCATATATCTCCATTCAAATAATATTTTACAACAGGTATTTATTGATTTCAGGACACCGGTTTGTTTCCTAGTTATTCAGCCTATCCTCCGTCTCCATTAGGAGATATGTAAACGAAGATGAACACGACAATGTTGCTAATGATACAGGGATGTCATCATGGATGCCTTTGCAAAAAAAGAAACACTTTACTATGATCTTGTTGCTGATTAATTGGTGACCATGCAGAAAGATAAGAAAGTATCAGATTTTGAGGAAAACGATGGACTTGACCAGGGTCCAGATGGAGTTGAAGGGGGAGAGTCACGTGGTTTTGACGGCAACGCTGCTCCAGATCAAAATGAATCATTCGAAGCAAAGAAAAGTAAAAACGGTGTACAATCTCAAGTCGACAACCAGGTAGAGGACGATAACCAGCAGCAAAATATGAATAATGAACAAATGTCGTCATCTGATCATCTTATGGACATGGATTTTAACGTCGACGATTTGTGTGAGATGGTCATGGCATTCAAATGCCGACAATGCTCTTTTCTAGCCCAAGACAAATCTACCCTTATAATGCATATTAGACATAAACATGTTAGTGGTGGTGATCTAGGTAGCATTAAACGACATCGACACAAGAGTAATAATAACAATAATCATCATAATGGTCATGCTACTCAAGATGAGGCGATAGAAAGTGTCGGATTTGATGTTTCCAAGATAAAGAGTGAGTCAATTGAGTCACAAACAAGGGTGTTCGCTGCTATGTCTCTCAGTTGCGAAACGCAGCCAGGTTGCCGTACCGGAACTATGAACTTGGACCCTTGCCGGGCCAAAATTCATAATTTTGGCTGTAGGCACCTGTCTCTGGCTTAATTGACAATTCTTAATAAAATAATACAATTTTGTAGTGTTTAAAAAGTATAAACTTCAAATTTAAGAACAATTTTTTTAATTCGAAAAAAATATTTTAAAAAAAAATAGCAGTTAGTGTTTAAAAATATGTTTTAAACACTCCAAAATTGTATTATTTTATTAGGAATTGTCAATTAAGCCAGAGACAGGTGCCTACAGCCAAAATTAAGAATTTTGCCCGGCAAGGGTCCAAGTTCATAGTTCCGGTACGGCAACTTTGGCTGCGTTTCGCAACTGAGAGACATAGCAGCGAACACCCTTGGTCACAAAATATATTTTTACGTAGGCTAATAAAATTTGCGTGATGTTTTTAATATTTTGTTAATTCTATTGGGTAATAATTTTACAAAAATTAGTGAATAAGAAGGAAGTCGCCAAAGAGGAGCCTGTTCCATCCATGCCCCCCACACCCGAAGCTTTCTTCCCTATGTCTGACGAAGAAGAAGATGAGGAAGAAGAAGAAGACTCGTGTCAGCACCTTAATAGTATGAACCAAACACTGGAAGATGAATCCAACAGCGCCAGTCGCCGAAACCACGAACACATTACCGATTCTATGGATAGGGATCCAATGGAAATGGACGATGTTTTTCTGTGTGCAGAGTGCGATATTGTATTTGCATCCAAGGAACTTTGTTGCAGACATATGCACGGCGTTCACAGATTAACACAGTTTAACGCAGAATTTATTCAACAAGTTATCATTTCTAAGAAGCCGGGGGAGGATGAGGAAACTATAGATGAGGACAGATCAGATGATGACAATAATGAAGCTAGTTCCAAACCCACCAAGACAGCAACCTTACGGACGAGAAAAATTGTACGTCATTTATCGTACATAAAAGTTTATACGTATCTATTTCTCTAAGTAGTTCCATTATTAATTCTATTTTGGTTCGTCCAGGTTAAACCACCAAAAAACTTAACCCTTGAAGAAGGAGCGCTCGTTCCCAGAAGATACCGTGTAGCGAAAGGCATAAGTTACCTCTGTTCCAAATGTTTGATCAAGTACGAGTCTGAAGAAATCAAGATGTTGCACGAAAAGTGTCACATTGTAGATCATGTTCCTCGAGATAATGGGAATGGTACAAAATCTGGAAATAATAAAGATTTTGCAGAAAAATTCCGATCTGAGGAAAATGATGATGACGAAGACGAAGATTCACTCGAGCAAGAAGAGGTGGATCATCAACTTGAAGAAGGAAAGAATAATCAGACTGATGACGACATAACGGAATACAAGTTCAAATGTCCTATTTGCTTGGCGGAACCGAAGTCAGAAGATAGTCCAAATAAAAAAGAACTCGATGGACTGAAAAAGAAAGTAACAATTCTGAAGTATTTCAAGGTAAAAACAGATTGTGATCCCTTATGTCAGACATTGTAAGGTTAAATGTTAAGCTGGATACTTATGCTCAAATATATCACAGAAATGGAGTAATTGTGCCGGTCATTTATGGAGAGAACATCAAATTGATTGTGAACTATATTCTTGTACCGTATGCAAGGTTGGTGTCCATTCCAAAACAATGTGAGTTTTAAGTACATGAATATATAAATTGCAATTTTTATTTACACTTTAAACAGAAATTCAAAAACTATTACATAACCAAAGTAAAGGACCATGAACGGCTTCACAGACCCGAAGCAAACTACGCGTGCAACACATGCAATAAAAAGTTCAAGCAAAGACATCAAGTAATGGTTACTAAATACAATAGTGACATTCAATATTTCATGTTAAACTACTTTTACAATTTTGTTTTCGATTTTAGTTGACAACCCATCAAAAGTATCACAAAGATAAGGCTACGCGTCTTCCTCCTCCCATAGACTCACGATGGTATACTCCCAAGGAGTGTCATATTTGCAAACGAGTCTTGTCGGATGCAAAATGTCTAAAGAAACATATATCTGCAGTGCACAATAAACTGAAACCGTACTGTTGCAACATTTGTGGGCACATGACTGCAAGAAAAGCGGAGTTGAGGGTTTGTGAATTTTGAGATTACATTAAGTTAATATTTTAGAAATATAATTTAACAAACCGTCTTGTTACACGTTATTATTATAATAATTTCAGCTACACATTAGACAACATACTGGAGAGAAACCTTTCAAGTGTACACACTGTACATTTGTCACTGGAGATCATAATTCTTTGAGGAAGCACAAACTTAGACATGGGAACCAACGCCCCTATGCGTAAGAATTATATATCCACCTATTGGCTATTGACTTCATATTGTTAAATCATTCCACGTTTTCATACGGTGCACTATTTGTATTTATTTAAAGATGTCCATATTGTGATTACCGATGCATTCAATCTTCAGCATTTAAGAAACACATGGTCTGCTTACATCCCGATCAAGATGTCGTCATCTTTCAATGTCATCTTTGCCCTCACGCATCGGTCAACGAAACCCTTGCTTCCTCGCACGCAAAAGACCACGAAGAAGGAAGAATTGCGTCGACATCTTCTAAACACCACAGTCAAAATGAAAACTCGACTCACAACAATGAAAATGATAACAGCAACAGTAGTAAGAGTAGCAATGAGTACCCAGAAATTGGTATTCGATCATTTGGCAGATGGAGACCTTCTATTCGAAAACCAAAGGTATACAGAACAGATTCTTGATGTAAAGTAAATACAAAACTAAACGTCAAGTGTATTATTTTAAATTCGCTGTTGTAAATGCAGAGTCCACAGAAGCGATGGTTGGATGATGATAGTGTGGATGTAATTGATACTGGTGGAGTTACTATTCCTGCATCTCCAATGCCCGTCATTATGGATAACTGTCTCGCTCAAGAAGCAGTTGTTGCTCTCAATTCGAGTTGTAGTTCTTCGTCATCTCAAAGGATTGAATGCTGCAAAACTCCAGCGGAAACCTCGTATCCGGCAGAAAATCCCACACCTGGTCCTTCTAACGTAGCTTCAAGTTCGGACAGAACCAATCATGTGGAAAATGAATTTCAACCGCAACCTGAGGTATCCATCAGAAATGGGATGGAAGACTTAATTACAGTTAATTTAGATGATATCGCATAAGCCAGGTATTTCCTATTCGCAGATGGTAGTAGTTATATGTAACGCTAGTTTAACGACTATATACTTTATTATTTGGGCAACCGATTACACGTTTAAACTAATATGTCTTTAATGTAAGCAGAATATGGTGCACTGATTATCTTAGCTAATGTGTAGCTCGCCAGAGTCAGAATAACTCGTTATATAAGCTCTACAGTAGTACTTTTGTAGATCACCGAACCGGTATATCCATCGATCCGCTTGATGTAATCTCGAGTATATGTACATCATGTACACATGTATTCATAAATGTGTAATTGATGGTCTTGGGAAATATTATGATAAAACAATTTTCGACGACTGATTGATCTTGCTTGATCACTATTAGACTGAAACTCAAGTATAAAACTAAACTATTTTCCAGAATGATAACGAATTTTGTATTTTAATCGAAGCAATGAAGCATGTCAATGTATTTTAATAATTTCGACGTATTGATTGACAGTGGATGTATTATACATCGTGCATATATCTCTTTCTGTGTACAACAACTTGATCCGCTATAAATTTTATTTGAAATTTGTCAAATGACTATATAATAAATACAAACGAAATTGACCCCTGATCCAGTTAGATAAAGATTGTTATTATTATTTCTCGACCATCGAGCAGATCACCAAGGTCTCTTTGGGCTCATTGAGGCGTGGGTGAGAAGGCGAGTGTTTGCCCAATATTTCTCCTTCTGCTTTTGGGTGTGGCGTGGATGTGTTTTACACCTGAATACAAGGAAAGTACAATTATATAATATATATCAAGATTATAATATAGTCTTTAAAGCACAACATATTATGCACGAAAGTTGCATTTTACTTGTTGTGGAGGACTCCATCGATCCAAATCATATAGCAATCCTTGCACCTCCGTTTCACACGACCTTTGATCTTCATCCCACGACTGGGGACGATTAGCAGGCCTCCAAACATCGGGGATGGTGAGCTGACTGGAGGGGGCGATGATAGTGAAGGAGACGTACAGTTTGATAAGAAGGAGACAGCCGAAGATTTCCACATGGAATAATTCCAGGAGGACGAACAGGTCGACATCAATAAGTTCTACGCATTGATTGTTAATAGTTTATGATACAGCTGCTAGGTCCAAGAGTATAATTAACCTCAGTACTTACTTGATGACAACTAATTGGTGGAACATGGGATAATTGGCTAGTTGTCAACAGCTGGGGTTGTAATTTGGTACTTATTGAGCCCTGCACTACACATTGTGTCTTTTGTGCTACTTTCCGTATAATAGCACTCCACATTTTTTAACAAAATTGTCTCGAGTTTAGCAATTAGCATTCAATTTAATATTTCAGTCTTCTCCATTTATCTCAATCTCGGCTTGAAACTTTAGGTGAAATACGAGACCGCCGCACAGTAAATACACACGGTTGTTTCAAGTTGCCCAAAAATGATGTACAGTTCACAGTTTGTGGTGTGGATGCAAATTGCAAACAAAATGTAAAATTCAATTCAATTTTTTATCGATTCCACATTTTATTAATTATGTGCAGATTACGAAAGCACAGCGTCAGAGATATCACCAGAATAAAACTGGTTTCATATATAATGCCATGTAAAAATTTGAAATATTAAAATCCGAAATTAGAAAAAAACGTTAAAATTTGCATAAGTTGCACCTACCTGAATGCTTTTCTAGAAAACAAATAACAATTTGGTATTTGGTATCACTAAAGAAATCAGACTCACATACTTTGTACGTTAAGAAAATTTGATTTTTAGTAAAACATTTGAATATTCCGGAACAGTAATTCATTCAACGTTCAATTTTGTAATCTTACTATTTTATGGTATAAATACATGGAATAGAAAATCAGAAGATATGAGAACTACAGGTTTGTGTTTAGAAAAAATGAAACATAACTTAGAAATTATAATACTTAAAAATGTATGAGGTATACAATATGAGTATCGCAATATTTTACACAAGTTAAAAAACTAATCGTCCATCGAATCATTGGAATCTTCATCATCAAAATTGTATTTCTTTTGTGCAGCAGTCGCACGCTTAGTCCTGGAGACAGCTGTGGGGTGGAAGCTTTCTTCGTCAGAAGAAAATTTCTCATCCTCATCCGAAGTAGTTTTCCTCTTTTTTGGTGGAGATTTCTTGTTTTTAGGACTGGGATTAAAGGATGCATCAGACCCTGAAGCTCCGTCATCATCAGAGTCACTGTACTGTAGCAAACAAACATAATAATAGTTAGAGTTATAAATGTCTACCACACATACATGGTAGCCGAGTGTATAATTAAAATGTTACAAAACCAAATAGAAGGATTATATTTATTCTGATTACTTACAGCCTTCTTCCTCTTAACGGGTGACGCTTTAGCTCTGAGTTTGGCCGGAGCTTTCTTTTCTTTCGGTTCCTTTTTGGGACGAGAGGTCGCTGTTGTTTTTGCTTTCTTGGGTTTAACTTTCTCGGAGTCAAATTCTATGTCTGAATCGAGGTCATATACATCCTCACGGTCCTTTGTTAATTTGGTTTCCTTCTTGGGTGCACTAGTTGCCTTTGCCTTCTTTGGCTTCACTTCATCATCAAAGTCAATGTCCGAATCGAAGTTGTACGAGTCATCATCTTCCTCCTCATCTTCGCTATCACTTCCCTTCTTTTTAGATTTTGAACTAGGTCCAAAGTTCAATTTTGTCTGCTTCATCCCATCCTAGCAGCAAATAGGAAAAATAAATAAATTGTTGATCTTTTTATAATTTTCATGTTCAGCTAACAATCTGAAATCTTTAACTTCAATACGAACCTTTCCGGAAGTATCTTTCTTCTTGCGAGGTTTAGCAACGCCATTCGCTTTAGGTTTAGACGCTGCCTTCGGCTTGGAGGCTCCTTCTACCGAACTATCGAGTTTATCTCTGAGAGAAAGGTTAGCATCTTCCAGCATGAGGTCAAATTCATCTTTCACCTCAACCTCTGCCTTGACCTATGTAGAATCAATGAAAATATTTATGAGACACCCAGAAAAATCACTGCTTGCATATACTTGAGAGAAATACTATGCGTGATGATTTGTAGCAAATACCTTTTTGGTTCTGCCCTTTCCTTTATTCTCTCTTGATTTTAGAGCAATTTCAGCCTTCTTTATGATGTCGTCCAGTCTTGGCGCAACTCGTTCTCCCTTTGGCGAAGGAGCATACTCAGGCAGACCTTTTCTCGAGGTTCCTTTCTTGCTGGTAACGGTTTTCTTGTCCAATGAAGATCTAGACTTTTGCTCGTCTTCTTTTTCTTCCGCTTCTATTTTGTCCAATGCCTCCATGAAAGCGTCCAAATCATCAATGTAGAGATCTGATGGAGTTTTCTCTCGTAGCTCGTCGAGTTCCTTTAATTTTTCATCCCTATCGCGAAGAAGTTTTTCTTTCTGTTCAAGGGTTAGCCTCCACATACTGAGATTCATGAGGTAATTGTATGATTTGGTAGTAGGATCTTCATCTTCATCGTCCTTTTTCTTTTTCGATGAGTGTGGTGTATCCTCTTCCTCATCTTCATCTACATTTAGCTTGGTCTGTTGGGTTTCCTTCCACCTCATAACTGGGTCTGCTGGGTATCTGTGACAAACACACATTCAACACTTATGTAATAAAAGTCACAAATATATATGATAATGAATAATCTCGAGAAGGTCTATATCAGTGCTTCTTAGAGGATAATCTGGTGTGGGATATGATCATTTCGCATCACACGTAACGCTCATCATATATACACTATATATGTGTATATTGCAGTTGATAATATTGAACATGATAAAGTTCACGATCGACTTACTTTTTCGCAATCAACTCCTCCAATATTGCTTTCTTCTTTTTATTTTCCACAACCAGACGACCATCACATTTTTCCACAATGAATCTCGCCATTGCAGATAACCGTTCCGCTTCTACTTCCAACAGTCCCAACATGTAATCACGCCTCTTTTTGTAAAAAGTCATCCTCAATTCGAAAAAGTCTCTCAAAATGTCCATCACACTTTCAAATTTTTTCATGCAACCCATGTCATCAAAGAGGACCATGCAGCCAGTGCTGATGGACGTCTGTAGTTTGAAGGTTTTATGAAGCCCCTCGTCTTCATATTTTCGGAATTGTTCATCTTTCATGGACACGAGAAATCGCACAGTTGTATCTGTGTGATATTCTGAAGTAAATAATAAAAGTAGATCAATTAGTGAAAACATCTAACATGTATTGTGATGCGACAGCAAATATTATTCATAAAAGTAACAGTCACCTTTATAATCCGTAATCATGCTCGGTTGTTTTTCTGACCCATTAAGGAACGGTTCCATTACACCTTCTTTGTACGACTGCGTCCAAGTTCCGATGGGAAGTTCAGTGATTTCTAAATCTTTTTCATTCAGAATTGCTACTTCACCGTTACAAGCATAACGTTGGGGGCCTATCTCAATTATTTCGCCTTTGAAATTTTTATACCAAGGTATCATTGGCTTTGGTTCTTGACCTGTACATACAAATATAGTTCAACTTGAGTAAATATCGGGATAAGTTGCTCAAGACATGCAATAAATATTTAATATCTATAGATAAATAATAAGGAGCACACAAACCATCAATCATTCTCCGAATATTTTTAACAATTTCTCTCGGGTTGAAGTTTGGAATTTTAGTCATCCACCCAGTACCAATCCCATCTGCTCCATTTACCAGCACCATAGGAATCAAGGGAACATAGTACTCAGGTTCAATTTTCTGATTATCGTCGTAGAGCGTATTTAGCAAGGGAGCATCTTTGGGGTTGAAAATGTGCTCTGCCAAAGGACTCAACTGTGTAAAGATGTAACGAGGCGATGCAGAATCCTTTCCTCCTTGTAGCCGAGTTCCAAATTGACCATTGGGCATGAGGACATTAATGTTATTCGATCCCACATAATTTTGAGCCAAACCTAAGTACACATTTTTAAACAAATGTTACACACATGATATTCATCTCGATGTTGTACTGTCAATTTTACTGGTTTGTTCGTTTTATATTTTTTAAACCTATACAATTCTTCACATCTATTAAGCACAAATAACTTTTACTTCAAAACTCGGGCTAGTACACAAAAACAACAGATTTTTGAACTTTAAAGACACAAATTGCTCCTTTTCCACAGCGGAATCGATGGATTCAGTCCTCAAACATAATGATTCCACTGTGGAAAAGACGTGGTTTTTAAACTTAAAAAATCGGTGAGTTTTGCGTACTAGCTCGAGTTTTTAACTAAAAGTTATTTGTTCTTAGTAGATGTGTGGAATTGTAAAGATTTTTTTTTAATCTAAAACGACTGGTATACATATTGTAAGTCATGGATTTGATTGAGAAATATTTTCCATTTTCATATTTTTAATGTGGAAAATGGAAAGAAGGAAACGGAAAATTACCAATGATGGTGCCCATCAAAGACTGTTCTCCATGATGATAGGCAGAGTGCTCAGCGACAGAGCCAGCCAATTGCGCAACTTTAACTTCTTTTTTATCTTTCCTCTTCAAACATGTGAATATTACTTTCCGCTGTCCTGGCTTGAGCCCATCAACCATGGAAGGAATGGACCGAGAGTTGTCAAGGTTTGAGAAAAGGACGAGCTCTTTGTTAATAAAATCCGTGTATGTAATACTTCTGACATCCTTGGAGTAGATGACATCCTCTCCCATGCCCATCTCACGACGAGTTTTTGTAGCTGAAATGGCAAATATTAGCATTACTATTTATATAAACCTCTTTTAAGTATTAGATGAACTTTAACGAAATTCACAGAAACATGAATAGCAATGGTAAATGCGCAACTTACTCTCCATCCAATTGGTAAGCTAAAAAAATATCAATGCATTAATTAAATGTTTGTATTTTAATTTCATTGGGAAAGCTTAAAACCAGAGTATGAAATTAACGTGTTGCATGTGGGAAATGAAATGAATTTTTCGGTTTCTTACCCAGTCTTTTCTTTGGTCAACACACTTTTTGGCAAACGCCATAGTAATGTTGTCATCGTCCAAAGTTCCTTGATATTTGAACTTGATTCGATGTCTCTTCATGTCAGTAAAGTACTCTTTCGCTTCCTTAGAGGTTGAGGTTCCCAACCCCTTGTAATACTTGAGTTTCCACCCTTTCTTCCAGGAAGGAGTATCTCGTTTCCATTCATCAAGCTCGGGCATTGAGAAGAAGCTAATGGATTCTTTCCCCTTGGTGGCCTTCACGATGGGTGTAATGAATTCTTCAATGAAATTCATCTTGAGGAGACCAGGCCAATTGTGATGAATAAAGTTAATGATGAGCCCTTTAATGTGAGAACCGTCGTGGTCCTGATCCGTCATGATCATGAGTTTACCATATCTATAAACAAATAAGACAATCAGTTTTAAATAAAATATATATTCGAATGTATATGAATGTATAAGATTATTCATAAAGTGACTGGACTATATTGTCAATTCTCACTTTTTATATCATTTCTGAAATATGCTTTCTAGATATTCATTTACCTTAAACCTTTCATATCGTCGTGTGATTCATATTTCTTTTTGTACTGGAGTCCAAGAATTTTAATTAATGCCGAAATTTCTGCATTTTCCATGATCTGCTTTGTTGGAGCCTCGCGTACGTTGAGAAGTTTTCCACGGAGAGGAAATACGCCATACAAGTCGCGTCCAACTACACCCAACCCAGCAACTGCCAATGTTTTAGCCGAATCTCCTTCCGTCAAAATTAAAGTGCACTCCAGAGATTTTTGTCTAAAAATTAATTACAAATAATAATGAATGCAAGAGTCTTTAATAAAAATGAATTTACAAACTCTCTTTATTAAAGATAAAAGGATATGACCCATACCTTCCAGCCTCATTTGCATCTTCCAACTTTGGAATTCCTGTAATTTTGTTCTTCTTTGTGCCTTTCTGTGTTTTCTGAAGCTTCTCTTCAGCCTTGTATTTTGCCCAGTTTACACAAGCTTCCACGATTCCAGATTTAAGGACTTTCTGATAAAACTGTTCGGACGGAGCACATTTTGACCTGAATTTAAGACAAATATAGTTAGTATTCAACACAACAACAGTAAATTAAGTCCAACTACTAAAGTTTAAATATTTCATTATTTTAAGTATAAAACTGCATGTGATCATATATGTAATTATTTTAATTTTCACACTAGAACGCTCATCATTTAATGTGCAATAATATAACACAATTTAACCCAAACTATGAACTTCAAACCAATGTAAAAAATAGCTTTGGATGATCGTGTTCTTACCCTAATTTACTGCTCTGTAACGTCATAAATTCTTTTGTTTGAGAATCGAATGTGGGGTTCACGACTAAGCAGTTGACAAAGAGCCACATATGATTTTTAATCAATGCTGGTTTCATCTCTACTCCATTCTTGTTCTTTTTCTTGATAGATTCGGCCAAATTTTTGACAACCATGTCTGCCACATAGTCAACGTGTTTGCCGCCCTTTGTGGTTGCAATGCTATTGACGAAGGATATTTGCTGAAATCCATTTTCAGAGAGGCAACATCCGACTTCCCATCGCTCGTTGACCTTTTCATAGTAGAACTTGATTGGATTTCCAGCGTCATCTGCCCTGTCCTTTAAATAGAGATCAACGTAATCCTTAAAGTTCTTGACTGGGAGTCGCTTCCCATTTAGTATCACTTTGCATCCGCTTGTTGCAGCCACATCATAGGCTCTTCGATGGAATATAGAAACAATATCTTTATCCAAGGTCTCCATCTTGAACTTTGTCAAGTCTGGATAAAATGTAATTTTGGTGTAGTCGTCCCCATTGAAGAAATCTTTGATCTTGGGTTCCCCTGCCTTGCCCATGTTATCCTGCCACACCTGCGACATTTTAAAGGTATACAGCTTTAATGTAAGTCCCTTTTAAACCACGGAGCAGTGGGGTTGTATGTTTATTTTATCTCTGTTTAATCGTTTCATTAATTGATAATAGAAATTTCAAAATTTGCAAACCTGTTTAAATGCTTTCTTTTTTTTGCGACTTGCCGTCTCCACAATAAACTTTGTGCTGAATACGTTACAAAGCTTGGCCCCGTAGCCATTTCTCCCGCCTGTGACTTTTTCTTCTTCATCGTCAAAATTGGAAGATGTCAACAAATGGCCGAAAATGAGGGTAGGAACATACATTTTCTCCTCGGTGTGCATCGCCACAGGAATGCCTTCTCCATTGTTGTATATGGAGATCGAATTTGCCTCTCTACAATAAGTATGACATAACGCTAAAAAGTATGAAAATATGAAAATTATGTTTCGTTACGTACGGGTCGATATCAATTTTGATGCAGTCCATGTCAGCATCCCGCTGCTTATTGTCTGCTGCGTTGACCAAAATTTCGTCAAATATTTTGTACAGCCCAGGGACAAAAGTGACATCTCTGAGGACCATTTTTCCGTCTTCATCTACCACCCACATCGTCTCTTTCACAGTTTCCACGGATCCAATGTATGTATCCGGTCTGAGGAGGATGTGTTCCAGCTGCGTCTTCTTCTGATAAATGTCCTCAAGTTTCTTTTTCCCCTTCTTAGGAGCAGAAGCCCCATTCTGCAAGGGGGGCGAGTCATCCATCTTCTTGCCGACCACTGATTGGAGTGGTAGCTGTCAGACAAAAATAAGCATTAATTATTAAAAATCCTCTTTAAAAAGGCATCTTTGTCTTTCTCTAATTCGTCTACAACCTCATGTACTGCATACTTGTCCAAATTAAAACAACGATGATGCATACCTTTTGTAAATTTGGAAAAGAGGTGCAAATAAAGTAACTTTGAACGTGGGAAGAAGGATTTAAGAAGGCTCGCGATATTCGCAACGATGAAATCAAACCCAATGAAAAACACCGGGTGGTGAAGATTCGAAGCGACAGTTTTGGTCGTCGACCGGTACAACCGACGACGATGCGAAGGCCGTCTCGATTTGATTTTTTTGTCTAGTGCAAAAGAATAAATAAGGGCAAACTGAAATGAAATTGATAATCATAATAATATTGTAAAGTAAAAGCAAGAAACGGCCAGTAAAAAACAAAGTTCAACGACCAGTCGACAGAGCCGGCACATTTATCGCAAATGAAGCAAAGCAAATGAAATTGACATTGCAATTGTACATTTCCATTTCTGAACCACAAGGTGAAAACAAGGATTCAAAACCCAAACTGAACTGCAAGCTAAAGCCAAAAATCTTATTTTCATGTGACAATTTCAACGAACGACAGAATAAATGCTAATTGCTAATGCGAAACGATGAATGAACGACACAGATGGCAAAAAATGCTCAATGCAAAATGACACTAAATTCAACAATCTATCATCAATTGAAGGAAATATGGCAACTTACCTAGTTCCGCTCAGTAGGGTTGTTCGAAGTAACTTTTTAATTGACTTGAAAATACTTAAAATCGGTTAATTTCCAAGAATTTTACCAAGAAAGATGTGAAGTTGAGTGAGAGGTGAGAGAGACTGATGAGAAATGTTGGCACGAGAATGGAGAGCCGTGAATGAGAAAAGTCAACGGCCGAAGCTTAGCTTTATCCAGCGAAAGGGCTGTTCACACAAACACACCACCAGCTCAATGTCATCCGATTAGCTTTGAAATACCTTTGATACAAATGATAACTTTTCATAGGTTATGCAAAATAGAATGCTTACAGTAATATGATTCCCCCCAAAAAATTGCGCAAACAGAATTTACATAAGATTTGAAATTATGAATTATGATGTTAAAATGCATGATCGACTCATTAATGTTGCCGCTATTTTTCGCTCCCTCCGATTTCTTGGACAGAGGACAGACCATGAAATGAAATAAACCAACAAGAACTAAAATGACATTTTTTATGATTCTATAAAATTAGATTTATTGGTTGATAATTTGTGAACAAATTTTTATTACAAAATCCTAAAGTCGATTTTTTCCTTGTGCCTGTGGATGTAAAAATGGGGTAATAAGGTATTTTTTTAGCGCGAATTTCAAAGGACTCCAACTTGTCACTACCGGATTAATTTTTTGTAGAGTGCAAAATGTAAACAAAAGTGCAAAGTTTTTATTAGTTAAAGAACATACGTATTTGCAAATTGCCGTTAATTGTGACTTGTTAGTTTGTGCAAAATGACGACAATTGATATTTCACAAGTTAGCAGCCTTGAGGAGTTGGATGCTCTGGAGGAAGCCTTAAACAAGGAAGAGGTGAATATAAATTTACATCTATCCTTCCATTACACATTACCTGTTGTCTTCAAAAGTTTTTATTCAAAACCTCAAGTTTGTATTTATAAACGTGTTACTTGATTAATTTGTACTAGGAAGAGTGTGACAAAAAGATTGACGAGTTATTGTCCAATCGGTCAGAGATTGAATTCCAACTAAGAACTTTAAGTAAGAAGTTGGCCAATTTGAAACCTGTTGAGGCCGAGGCAAAACATTTTGCCGAAGTTATCCGTAATACAGCTACTTTAGCGGAGGATGTTAGTGCAAAAGTTAGGGTGCTGGATAAGGCCAAGGTAAGAAGCTAGAGCTGTATCACAATATTTATCATGTTAATACGTTAGGATTGGTAGGATTTGCCTGAATGAGCAAACATTGTAAAATTTTTCATTTTTGTTCGAGTAGAACCGTGTGTCTGAGTGTCAGCAACGTGTCAATGATCTTCTGGACCTCCAACAATGCAGCGTTGGTGTCGCTACTGCGATGCAAAATGAAGATTTTGAACAAGCAGCTGCACACGTGCATAGATTTCTCACGATGGATGAGAATTTGCTTAAACACACTGCAATGGATGTTTCGGAAGGTAAGTAATTAATTGAACTTGTGTTGTTGGTCGATCATAAATTTTGCATAAAACAATAAGCTGTGAAATAATTGTAATTTCAATTCACAAATTATTATGGTGTGTGTGTGATTAATCATTAGGAAAGAATATGGACGCATCATTCCACAAATTGCATGAAGCTGAACAAAAGCTGAAACAGGTCGTTATTGCAAAGTTTGATGAAGCCGTTAAAGATGAGGATTTGGCATCTGTGGAAAGATTCTTTAAAATATTTCCTCTTCTCAATATGCATGAAGAAGGACTTGGAAGGTTTACCACATATTTATGTTCCAAGGTAATAAATATACATATGCATAGTAGCCCTTTCTACTTTTACTTTGGATTATGCAGTTGCGCGAAACCTGTCAGAAGAATTTGACTGAAGCTAAGCTCACCAGGGACAAGGACAAGAGAGCCAGCGTTATCTATGCTGATAGCTTGACTTTATTGTTTGAGGCTATTGCCCGCATTGTTGAAATTCATCAGCCTTTGATTGAAACCTATTATGGTAATTCGTAGAAATGAATCATAAATGATTAATTATTTGTGATTTGTGTAAAATTAATAGCGTACGCCATAATTATATGTAATTCGGTTTCAGGACCTGGTCGTATGCTTTCTGTTATGGAGTACATTCAAAAGGAATGCGATCACCAGGCGAAAATGATCGTGGATGAGTTTCGGAAACACCGAGACTTCATCAGGAAAATCCATATTGTTACGCAGTACATGAATCAAAAATCCGAGACCAAAATTGATCCAAAGGAATTGGACTTGGTTCTAAGTGAGCTGACTTTGCTAAACGCAAGGACAGAGCTGTATTCTCGTTTTGTGAAAAAAAGAGTCACTGTAAGTAGCATTGAAATCAGCTGTATTTCCACTATTGTCTGTTCTAATTGCTGATTTATAATTATTTCGTATATTTAGAATGATGTGGATGTATCCATAACTGACGAGAGCGAAAAAAGTGAAAAACTGTCCAATTTGGACCGTTTGTTAAAAGACGGAGACACTTTCCGAGTTATGCAAGTTGTGTTAGGACAATACATTCTTTTAGAACAATATTTTATGGCGGAAAGCGTCCAAAAAGTAATTAATTTGACTGCTTTAACAGACATTGTAAATTTTAAATAAATAGTCCAACTGTACTATTAACCTGGAATATTATTTCTATAATACATAGGCTGTGGAGATGGATACATTAATTGAAGCAAGCAGTCAGGAAAGTTTTGTCTTGTCCAGCATGACGGATGATGTGTTTTTCATTGTGAAGAAATGTATCAAAAGATCTCTCTCTAGTCAAAGTGTGGATGGGGTTTGCGCTGTGATCAACAATGCTTGCGGTATACTAGAGTCAGGTTTGGACTATCAAATATATTTGAACATTTGACGTGTTTCATTTTTTATTGTCAGTCTAATAATTCTCATTTCACTATAGATTTTGCTGATTTGCTGCTCTCACAGCTACGGCAAGGTATTGTTTCATTACTTTACAACTATCTTATTGTAGAGGTTTAGTTGAAGTAATTCTTTGAAATTGTGTTACACATTTGAATAAATTTTGCCTAGGATTTCCTAGTGGGTATTTGGACCTTGCTCAGGCCTACAGTGTGTTGCAGTCTTCCTTTCAACATGGAAAACTGCAAGGTTCTGACATTGAAAAAAGTCGGGCTCATTTTGTTGTAAGTACTTGAAGCTATCCGTCGTAACATGACATGAGCACGTACATGTAGGAAATATAAGTTAACCCTCGTATGCCCATGTACTATGGTAGTGCTCGACAACAAATTAAGTAATATATTAATTAATTACGTTTTAATTCGCTTAGGCGTATCTCAACAACACTGACACGTCTATGGAATATGTCACGTCGTTAAAAAGTTCTCTAGAAAGTTCAATGAATGACTCATTTGGTCAACATTTGACTCCATACGAAAAGGACAAAATAACGAGTTGCCTTCAAGGCCTAGCTTCAGTCAATATTAGACTCAAGTCGGTTTTCGAATTCGGTCTTTCACAGCTGAAGTCCAGCGCAGTTAAACCTCGAGTTAAGCCCTGGCTTGATGCATTTTTTCATGCAGTAAGTGCAGAGCTCAAAATGTGCATAGCTTACACTTAGTAAGCCTACAGATTTCCCAGTTTGCATATTATGATTTATGTTGTTTGTTGCAGAGAACATCATACGAGCTGGATGAAGATCAATTCACAGATGACTCGGTTCCAATGCAAACCTTTATTTCTGATCTGGATTCCATCCTAAAATCTTTCAAGGGATGCCTATCTCCTTCAGCTTATGAAGCATTTATCAATCTAGTCACCACTGAAATTGCTTTACAAATGGAGAAATCAGTTTTGAAAAATAAATTCAACAGGGTAAGTTAGCACAGCTTAAGCTTTATGAATACTGGAAACAACTATACTACAAATAAATTTAAAATTCATCCAGATTGGAGGCCTCCAATTGGACAAGGAACTCAGAATTTTGGTCGGATACCTAACTAACGCTACTACCTGGTCGGTCCGTGATAAGTTCTCACGATTGACTCAAATGACAATTTTACTAACGTTGGAAAAAGTTTCCGAGGTGGCAGATTACTGGGGAAAAGGTCCCGTCACATGGAGACTCACAGCTCAAGAGGTTCGACAAGTTTTATCCCTTCGGTCCGACTTTCGCTCTGAAGATGTTAAAAGATTGAAATTGTGATTCTAAAATAAAGTATTAAGCAATAAATCACTTTTTACTAAGAAATAAGCCTGGTTATATTATTTATTTTTTATTAGCGACATAAAATGGTAATTATTAAAATTATTGGTAATACGAAACTATAGTTAGAAAGCCGACGCTTTAGCATCTGCAGATGCGGACGCTGATGCTCCACCACCCCCGCCGAATCCTCCACCTCCATTTGCATTTGCAGCAGCACTTGCCTAATTGTTAGAAAATGTAATTATTAATAAAATTTCCAAGAATGTAAATGATTATAATTTACATACATGAGCATTTGCTCCACTATGACCTCCTCCCCCACCGCCAAATCCTCCTCCTCCCCCAGCAGCTAAGGCACTAGCGCTGGCATCAGCATGTGCAGCGGCTCCTCCTCCTCCGGGTCCAATTAATTTTCCACCGATACCATGACCATGGTCCCCATGACCATGACCATGGCCAATAGGAGGACCTCTTCCAGGTTTACCTTTGCCCCACCCTGGACCTCTCCCACCACCAAATCCTCCTCCACCTCCTCCTCCTCCTGCAGCAGAAGCTTGGGCACTGGCTGCAGCAGATGCTTCCGCACCTGCCCCGCCGAACCCCCCACCACCACCACCACCGGGGGGCCTCCGTCACCCCAACCTCCCCCTAAAATACGGAAAATACACCTGCTGAGACTTAACTGAGGTTCCAGAATGTTCTGAATTATTCGTACCTGGAATTAGCCCAGGACCACAACCCCCAGGAGCATGACGTCTCACTGTCCTTCTGAAAAGTGGAGCAGTGTTGATTTTAGAACCAATTGGTCTTGTGCTTTCTGCAAGAGCTTCACTGGCTGCGAAGGGCTCATCTCGTTCATTGGATTGAACTCGAGCACTCGAGAAATGCAATCCAATCATGAAAACAAATGTAGCAAATATTATGGGGCGAACCATGTTTGCAAATGGTCGAGGTGGTTCGGCAATGCACTAAATAAAATTTCAGTTGGTTTCAAATCTCTGCATTACCTGACACTATCAAAATGGAACTGGGCAAGTAATCTCTAGGTTCGGATCTTTTATCGCTGTACACCAAAAAATTCATTTTTACAAGATGACTGACAACCTCTGTAGAAATACTTGTCTGGATAAAATTGGGACGGAGATATGCATCATTGCTTCAGATCTGAATCAACTTTCATGGAGAAGCAATTTAACGAACATAAACGTTCCTACAAGCTCTTTTTCACATTAGTTATCAGAATGAGTGAATTTTACATAATGTTTTCTATTGGATACGTCATCCTACATACCCAAGAAGAAACAGAAAAAAGTATACAAATTCTAATTTGCAATAGTCATTCATACAATTTGCATGTGTGCACAACTACTTATTTGGAATTTACGGCGAGAAAAGCGTGCCTAATCCGTTAGATCCTGTTAAACCTTTCAAGCCACATTGCGACCACATTGCGATCACAAACTAACATATTTAAGGGTTTGCTAATTATCTCTACCAAATGTGAAAACTAACTCCTCTGTTGCATCCAACTTTTCATCACTGACGTATTTTAAATGACCAAAACGTGAAACAAACACTGGGGAAAAAACTGTAATGCAAGCAAAATTGTATTAGATACATTTTTTTTATTTTCATTTTTAGTCAAATGATAGATGATAGTTATTATTAACACTTGTTGGTGGCATTGTACATGTTACGCTGGTATGGATGAATATTTTTTTAAATACGTGGACAAATAAAGTTAGAGCCATTTATTAAAGTTTAATAATAGGAAGTCTTGAATATATGCGTAAGTACATATTGCTTCGCGTTTTCAATTCTTTAAAAAATATTTCATGAGAACTAGTTTAGTTCTCGGTTTCAGCATTGCTTCTGCCAGAAACTTTCTGGTATAACGTATGTAGTACGAGTATGATTATTACTATTTATTACATGCTTATCAATAATGTCACAAAATATTCGTTGTAAGTATTTCTTCATGATATTTTTCAAACTCTTTCAAATTGTAATTTGTATGTTAAGAACTGAAGTAGAGCGATCCACTTTTGATGGCACCAAATAGAACGCTGGCTGTACTTTTGCACCACACGGACACAGACACCCTGCAAAATAAATAACCAACTATGTAATAAATGTGCTTACACATTATGCAAAAGAACTAATGAAGCACTGCGTACTCATTTATGTGTAAGTACTATTTAGACATTTTACTATTTTGTGTGGTCAAACACTTACCCATCACCCAGCTAAAGGACCCCAATTTTGACTTGCAGTTGGCATTAGGACAGTGCAACTTTCCTTGTAAATTCTGTGTTACATCCGTCATCCAGGCGAGTGGTTCTATGAACAGCATTTGGGTGCAGATGGGAGGTGGTGGCAGGATGAGGTGCTGTTGAAGGGGGGGAGGACCACTCCCAGCACCACCACTGCTCTCACCCTCGCTCTCCCCTTCGGCGTCCGAGGGTCCAGCCCCCGTGGCCACCGACTCGTCCAGTTGTTGGCTGTTGTCCAGTTGGGGGCGAGGAAAATCAGACCAAATTGGAGCCTTTCCTTCCGTGTGGGGCAAAATATTTGTCGCACAGGCCAGAATTCGCCTAGAAGCATTAAAATGATGTTCATGACTCACTTTTATCCGCCCCCCTTGTTCAACGTCTCCAAAGAATTTCACACTTTTAGGAGTCAATTAGTGCAAATATTTCGGAGTCATACGTATCAGAAGATAAATTGAGCTTCTTATTACAAAGTCTCAAGGAAAGAGGGAAATTGAGTTGGAGTTGGAATTGGCACAGGATCAAAGCTCATGAAAGGATTTAGGAGGCTGGTGCCAAGAAGTGGCAAATTAAGTTTCTCCAGCACTCCAATAATAGTGGCAAAGTGTTCCAACTCTGGTACAACAGTTCTTTCATTCTCTTGCTCTCTCCTCGCCGTGCTTCCGGTCACAGTCAATTAGGTGTGAAACTAGGCGAGGAACAGAATAAAATGTGACTTGGGACTTAAACTGGAGATGACATGAAGTGAAATGATGGAGAAATGATAGAGATAGAGAATGAAACAAGTCTTATGTGTACAAGAGTAATAACGTGTATAATATCCATACCCACCTGCATATTCAATATATATTTAGGTCATTATAAATAGTTATAAATAGTCCATAACATACCGACAACGTCGACATTGGTAGACGACGGGTTCGGGTGAGACACAAAGAAGAGCAGGGTCCGGTTTTATCACATCTTTGTACGGAGTGGATAACACTTTTGCTGACAGGCAGATATGTAAAAAAATGTGTTGTGTTACAAAATCAATTCTCAAAACATTCAAACGTGTGCAAGCAAGTCAATAAGTCAGAGAAAACCTGGTCGCAAAATATTGATTTGATTGACACATTTCTAACAGCGCAATCATCCTTTCTCACTTTCCTCAGCAAAATGAAAATATTGAGATGTGCCTGCGTACAAAGTACATGAATTCCATATGTGCGTCTTTTTCTTTATTTCATACCAAGCCATGATGCCACTATCAACTATGTATACACGAATCATTGTCTTACTAAAATACCTACAGGGTCGACTTCATTTAGTCCGAGTCAGTATCCTTCCAAAGTTTTGTCAGACGACCTAATTATCTTTGTTGTTCTGAAGTACACTTTAAACTTCAGTCTTCATGCCGAATTCACTTTTTTCCGCCATTCAAAAACACGATTTTAAAGGGTACATCTGACTGCAAAAATTTCTCTTTAGAATCTGTTATTACATATAATCCATTTGAGGCATGTGTGCCGAAGTTCAGCTTTCTATCATGTTTCGAAATTTTTGTGCAGAATACTCTACTCACTGGACGAATTTGGCTCATCTTAACTCCTAACTTTGCCTAATGCATTTACATCTGCACAAAATTTGAACTCAATCGGTTAAGCCGTTTGGCTCTATCGTGTCTCGGACGGACAAACATGACGATTTCATAAGCCCTGATTCGGGATGGTAAATTACAATTCAATCTCGAAAAAAATCGAGAGTTATCGGCAGATGGATGGATAGATACGCATAAATTCAGGTTCGTGCTAAAAAAGTGAGACGCCTTTATAAAAACGAACGTCATTGTAAGTAATCAATTCTGACAGGTGTTCCTCCCCTGTGACATACGAGCCCTGTGACACATGTCACATTTCAAACAAAAGCAAAAGTACACTCGAAAATAATTTGGAAAATATACAAGTTCAAATGGAAAAGCAATATTATGAGTCGCACTATGCTCGAGTCTCACCTGCTTTCAACTTGTCGGAGGCGACGTGGAGTCGAAACCTTTTGAAAAAGTTTGTTGTAATTTGTTTTAAATAATACATTTTATTTGTACATAATTTGCAAATACAATTACCTTTTGAAAAAGAGGTTCTTCTTTTGGATTTTGTACTCCATTACTTCGTAAAGTTTGAGTTGAGATAGGAATCCGTAGTTAGGACCCACCACACTGCGTCGTTGCTCGAGTCTAAATTCAAGAAAAGTAGTAGAGTAACTCACATCAATTTGGTCGGGGAATTCGCTGATTATTTGCCCTTAGCCGAAATTGGATTGCTCAAGAGATGGAATTTGTTTGTTTGCTTGGAGGCAAGAGGGGACCCTGAAGAGTACTTCAAACCTACTACGGAGCAGCAGCAGTGGTGGTGCAATGACAATAACCAGACCAAAGATAGACCACCACCACAGGAATAATACAATGTTCGCTCAATCATGATGAACTTTCATCATACGTGCTTTCTCTATCTGACATGCTACCTGACTTCTGCAAGTCACTAGCCAAACCCAAAATACGAAGTTGTACATAGTTGGGTGACCTCGACCTGTTCTTTACACGTTTATAAATATATCACCTGTTTTGCGCCTCCTCCAGGGAAAGTCTATATTTTTGCATGAGGTACGCCAACACTAATGTGGCACTCCGGGAGACCTGGGGGGAATATCATACTTAAGGTCAAAATCATTAGTATTTATGTGAATACCTCTATACATCCATACATATTTACACAGGTATGTTAATTGATAATCTTCCTACTTACCCCGTAATAACTGAAATGTGTGAAAAATGAAACACATTCATTTCTTTGTTTCTTCATAATTGTGACAAATTTGATTGGACTGTAACTTACCAATGAACCAGGACGCGTTTCTTGAGCCTGAGAGCAGAATCGATAAACTCGTTCGTGTCATCAAAGTATTGCAAAATATCCTCCCTTGGCATGTCGCTTACTGGTAATGAAATAAACAGAAAGGTAAAATTACCAAGTTAGCCAATTGCATTAAAACTTGTTCTTTATTATTATCGTAATCTACTCCAACACTAATGTGATTTATGTTCAAAGTTGAGACGACAAAGTTACTTAATACAAAAGTCGTGGGTGCTGGATTAAATTAGTTGTCCCCACTAATTTGAGAGCTTGAATGAAACTCGGGTTGGTGCGTACGCTTCGTCGTTTTTTTCATTGTCATGCAAATATTTGTATTCCCAAGTCTGTAATAAGTAGGTAGGCAAGTTAGGGCTTGGTAGAAATGACTAGGCCATGGAAATAGACGCTGCACTATGTGCTGGACGTTGTTCTGAAATGTGCGTCCCTTCCCGTCCGTACATATTTAATCTGATTTGAGATGAACCAAAAACTTTTAATGAGTTGGGCGCTGACTCGATTAGGCAGTTACGAAAAGTTTTCCATTGTACAAATCGATCTGATTGAGTGTTGCAATACACTGCACAAAAAAGGCCGACAGTCAGGTCATACTTTCCTAGCCGTCGTTCTTCTAATGAAAACCCAAGATGAGCATGGAAGCGGAAATTGATTTTCAGTTTCACCAAATAAATTTTGCAGTTGATTAAATCAAATCCAATGGTGATGATGCCACTCCAAGGATTCTACGAAAAACGGGCATCATGAATAAGGAATATTGATTACAAGCTAACCTTAAACCTAGAAATGCATGTTTTTTCTTCCCTTCAGTCTTCGATTTTGGTATCTTATTTTCTCCTCTCAGAGAAGTTCTTGCTATATAATGTAGATTCATGCTTCTCATTATATTCCGTTCTGTTTCAAGTAATAATAAAATAAATTATGACTCTTTCCGACTCTGTGCTCTCACTTTGTGCTCTCACTCTCCTTGTGAACTTTTCCCTGTGCACAGGTATTATTGGTGCCAGTATATTTCGGTGTGATGGGTTTCCGATATTTCATTTTCAATATCCTAATGGGATCATATTGTGCTTGGATGGATGCAGACTCCTACAAAAAATGAGAACTTGCAGTGTTATCATTTGTGACAGCATGGAAATTCTGCAGATGATGCAGAATGTGATATGCATAATAGGTGCCTACATATGTACATACATACGTGTATGTACATACGTATAATGTGAATAGTTTGGTCCATTCTCGCCTGGATTCAACCAACTTTCATGTGATGTCGTTCTGATTTACTTGGTTTTGTTCCTTGGGTTGAGTTGACTACTTCAAATTCATTCTTCTTCACGTTCCTCCCACTCATTGAACTCTCGACATAAATGCGCAAATACGCAATTTGCACAAAGTTGTCGCTTCGAGCCGCATAATTTCAATTACAGATTAGCCAGTGTCAGAGTCAGATGCGGCATATAGTCAAGTGACATGGTGTGTGTGTAGGCATAAGGTTTCATGGGGTTGGTTGGTGGTACTTGGATTGAAGTGAATTGCTCAGTCGACTGGTAACTAAATGCTTTCCAGGGCAGCTCCGTCATTTCATTTTATTGAAGGGAAAAGAAATGAGGCGTGAACTGTATCGCCTTCTGTTCTACGTACTCCTTAAATGTAAGCTAAAATCGTCGACAAATATTCTGCTGACTGCTCTTTAGTCAGAAATGTACATGACCTACGTCTCTTTAGTCAAGTGGATTCTCACTTTGTGGATAGAAATTGTACTTTAGAATCAATTGTGCAATGGACCGAGAATGAGAAGAGAGAGAGAGAGAGTGAATTAAGGAGTGAGGAGGAAATGGCTATATGTCATCAGAGATATTCGCAATTTGCATAAATTCTCGCACAGGCTTGGGATTACTTGGGAAGTAAATATTACAGCTTACCCTTCAGAAACTTGGTGGTGACTTGTGGAAGATCTTGGATTTTGGAGGGAAGGGGGCATGAATCTATTGTAAGAATGTGACTTATCCGATATTTTTTTAATAGGTGGATGTCACAGGCTGCTGCCAAATTTCCTGAAATACGAAAATAAAAACAATTTATCATTCAACATGTTCACATACATGTGTTTCATACGTATTAATAAGGCAACAGAGCTGAACCAGCCCAACCGTTTCACAAACGCAGTTTCCATTATTTAGCGAAAGGCAGAGTGAGACTCGGATTCTGGTGGGTATCCACCACCACGGCTGACTGTCGTTGCCAGTGCCGTATGGTGGTCCGTCTCACTTCTCACTCTCTTCAAATTGTTTACCGGGATTATGAACCAACTCGTGTTGAGATGCTTTTCATCTCTTACACGAGTTGGTTCAGTTGATAAATCGTTGAGCTTAAGTTTTAAATTTGGGGCGAATTGGACAAACTAAATTTGCTTATCTTAAAAACTGATAAGCGCAGTGATAAGCCCGATAGCGTTTATTTTCGAGTGGATACTACCATTATATATTCAGATAAGCTTAAGTTTTAAATTTGGGGAGATTTGGACAAACTAAATTTGCTTATCTTAAAAACTGATAAGCGCAGTGATAAGCCCGATAGCGTTAATTTTCGAATGCATATCATCATTATAAATTCAGAAAAGCTTAAGTTTTAAATTTGGGGCGATTTGAGGCTGTTTTAATAGCTTCTATGTAATTACCTTTATGTATATCATAAATACCTATACATTGTTACGGCTCCTGCCGTATAAGCCCCTCCCTCAGAAACTTTGACCCCAAAAAAGTCATGGTAGCGGTCATTTCGCAGCGGACAACAAAAGCGGAAAATGTGGCACTTCTGACGAAGAAAAATCTGGCATCAGGTTGTCAGCCGCGAAATGACCGCTAAGGTCACTTTTTTAACGATTTATATGTAGGTCGAAAAACCGCCAATTTTCGAATTTTGAAAGTCTTGATGCATCAAAATGTTCATATTCATGAGGGAAGTCAAATGTCAAATGCAAGTTGGTATCTACTTCTTTCTGTACCGAGTGTACATTGACCTTCTCATTTTTCCCAATTTTCTTCCCCAATTTTTGAAGGGGGTGTGGTTGAATATAATTCAAAAACAGCTATGCTATATTAATCCCCCCACCCAAAACTGAATTTGTAATTTTTTATGTGCAATTTGGTGAAATCGATGCGAAAAAGACTTGCACTTTTGGCTCATTTTGTACCAACATCGAACATTAGGGTAACTAGTCCCAAGGGATATGCATATTCTGCAATATCGAGACTTGGGTAATCTGTATTTAGTTTAGCCCCTATTTCATTCTCATTTCATTGTTTCCATTTTGATGTAATGTACATATTCACATGAGATGCATTGAACATGAATTATTACGAATGCTATTGTATTTCCACCCCCTTTATCGTGCGTTATTGTTCATCAATTTCATCTTTTCGCAACCAATTAGAAAAACCAGTGCGGATCATCCTGGTAAACACGTTTACAATTTGCCTTATATTCTAGATATGATTCCAGCTTTCCAATACAATCTTCAAAAAACCAGCGTGAGCCACCTTAAAAATCCTTCCAGGAATAAATAATTTGATCATTATGACATTCTGATTTTGGCACTCAAACATGACCATTACCTCGAATATCAGCTTTCTAAGAGTACCAAAATATTCTTGACCCCCCTGACCTACTTATACCCAAGGTCCTTATCAGTCAAAGACAAGACCTATCTCTTGACCATCTTTGAAAATGAAAATTGATTGCTCATTTCCCCAACACTTTGCATGTGTGCACCAAGTTTCGGAGTAGTTCTACGAAGCTATCGAAACACAGAGAAAAAGACACATGCATAGAGATACATAATATAAATGAACAGACATTGCGATGTCATCATTGCTGGTACAACGCTCTCATGGCTTCCGTCTTGCATACTATGCATAAAGAGCAAGGAAATACATAGAGGTTAAGACGAAGGGATTTAAGGTTTGGTCTCTATGGCCATAATGGGATTAGATTCCACCCTCAAGTGCTCCAAACTAAGCTGAAAATCTCCCTAACGAGCTGTCAACTTTGGTAGAATCGCAACATAACAGCTGTCTTTTATTTTCATTACCTAATAAACAAAGCACTACTTTTGCGGAATTATGATGCCACTTTAGGAACAGCAGATGCAAGTGGAGGTTAATCATAATTTATTATATGCATGTACTTTATGGGGTGGCCAGACTATTCATTAATAGAGACAGCCAGACCAGCGGCGGTGGCGCATTTAAGGCCAATTGCTGCCAATTTATTGTACAGAGAGTTAGTTGGATGATGATAATGATGTTTTTGTACCTATGCATCGTCGACCATGTTCTCGTCTACGCGTTTCTGGGGAACATTTTATGTAACGAGCGAGAGAAAGGGCATACTAATGAAACCAAACCATTCGACCTATACCCAGCCAAGCCACCTACCTGCCTGCCTGCTACTCGGATTCGGAGACCATGAGCACGCTAATTATATTTTCAGGCGAGAAGTAACAGTGGCTGGAAATCATTTTGTCCTAAAATTCCACCTGCTGCTGCTGCTGCTCGCGTCTCCGAGAGACCAAATGGAACGACCGATGAAAATGAAAGCGAATGAGACTCATTACGCCGAATTTTGGATAATAACATAATTAGAACTTCCCCAGTGTTCGTTCCTTGTAATACTTGGTAATGACAGTCGTAGTGATATTTATCATAATTGACGACCTACGAGCGAAATGGCACCACATTTACGTAATACGTAGGCTCAGTAAGCATACCCAAGTACCCATTTTTGTTTCCACTTGAAGTATAAAGTATTAGTGCTTGGCCAGAGTTTCCTGCCCCAACGTCTGTAACGAAGAGAAGCATAGTTTTCTCGATTTTCTCTTCACTTTCACTTATGAATTTGAGTGCGGTTAATTATTTATTTCAAAGAGAATATAATATTTCTTTGAAATTTAGGAAAATTAAAGAGAATCTTCAAGTTACTCTGTACTTTTCAGAGGGACAGAGTTCTCGAGAAGAATATGACTGGATATCGTAACCGTATTATATTTCAAAGTATGTATGCGACTGGAATCACTGAAGGTCCCATAGTTAACGATACTTTGAATTGCATTACAAGAGTATATACAACGCAGGAGCATGAAGCACTATTCTGTAAATTTAAGTAACATCGATATCGCTGTTGTCGTTCTCGTCGTATATAAATACATTTTCCCAGGTTTGGCGACAGGTCTTGTGATGGTTATGGTATGAGGGTTGAATAAGAAGGAAAGTAAACCCCATTTGCATAATTAATGTAGCGTTGTGCGAGAAGGAACAAAGACTCCGTCCAGCCGTGAAGAGGAATGCATAATTAATTCACAAAATCTCTAGACTCACACCATTACTGGGAAAAAGGTAATTTAGAAAGGGGACTTTAACCAACCCTGCTCTCCAAGTTTCAACGGTCTACAGAAATGACTCATCTAGAATTGGAGAGAAATGCTGTTAGGATGAGAGAAACACAAGTTGTACACCTAACATGGTCATAAAACTCTACCCGTGTGTACATACGAGTAATCAGTAATTAGCAAGAACATCGCCGCAATAAAGTCTCGTCGCGAGGAATGCAGTTTTTAATTTCCAGATGGGGAGAGTGAGAAATCCTGTATGTAGCCAATAACAAATGTGCCTCGTTCAACACTGCCTAACATTTGAGACAGTCGAGACAGTCACATGCACATATTTCATTGTCACTCGAAGAACTGAGGATAAGAATGGTTGCCCTCGTAGAGAACAATAGCCCCAAGAACAAGAAACACGTCATCATGTCATCATAACTACAATTAGGTTAAACATAGCAGTAATTCGACCTTCATATTGCATTTTGATTAAATGTTACTTAATCATTTTTAAAACTTGCGACGTAATGCAAGCACTCGCCATTCGCTGTACTTGAGAAATTGATCAGAGGACGGTGCGTCCTAAAATTTTTTATAATCAATCAATTTAAGCTACAAGTTATACAAGTATCAATTTTGGAAATGAATTATGAATGAGACGAAAGACGACCAAGCGGAAATTAAACCCATAACTTTATCTTGACAGCTATAAAAAGCCACGGTGGGGCTACTCTCGAACATACGGGAACAATAAAACCTGTACTTTTGCAACAATGGGAACAACCGAGTTAAATGGACAGTGTCACAGCCTCCTGCAGACGTGTAACAAAGTCCTCTGGGAGAGATAAACTGTAGAATGTATGGCTTTTAATTATTCACCAAACCAAACTGTGTCCCACTTTCCCCATTTCTCAACCTCGGGCATTCACCATGCGCTACACAATTTTCATAACCTACTTGAATTGCTTAAACCTACGAAAAACTTACAGAGCTTGAAAATCCTACAAACTGGTTATAATACTGAAGCAGAAGAAAACCTCCATGCATTGCAAAAAAAATAATCTGAAATACTACACCTTATCCACATTTTCCCAAGAGGGAAAAGCATTGATTTCCATTATCATTACCATTAACAAACGATGCCACCACCATTCTCAATGACCTGAGACGATACATTCCCGTTTTCCCAGTATAAACCTGACAAGAGAAGGAGAGAAAGAGAGAGAAAGTAAAGTGCTAAAAAGTCAGCAGACGAAACCGAGCCAAGATAAGAAGAAGCCTGCATTAATTCTTGGCTTTACTCAACATATATTTCCCTCTCTCATCCTCCCTTATTTCACACTTTGCCATCACCCAGGGTTAAAAATTGGCTCTGCAAATTCAGTGACATTTCCCACTTTTACTTGCTCCCAGTACAACTTTCTGCCAATCCTGTAAAAAGCCGAAAAAGAAAGACGAGGATGGTCTTTGATAAAAGAAATCTCTCCAAACTACGCAGGACAGCAGAACTATAAAGACCTTTTTTAATGAGAGAATTAAATTGGAAGATATAAAATAAAACGGGCCAATAAGATTCCTCATTTCATTCTCAAAAACTTGGTCTGAACTTGTGCGTTTGTCTTATTCTGTCGCAAAGAAATGCGACACACGTAGTAAATGAGTGGTAATTTAATTCAA